TAGCTGGTTATAACCTGGTTATGTCCTGAGACATTACCTGGTTATAACCTGGTTATAACCTAGTTATATCCTGAGACATAACCTGGTTAAAACATAGTTATAACCTGGTTATAACCTGAGATATTACTTGGTTATTACCAGGTTGTAACCTGGTTATAACCTGAGACATTACATGGATAAAACCTGGTTATAACCTGGTTATACACTGAGACATTACCTGGTTTTAACCTGGTTACTTCTTGAGACAATACCTGGTCATAAACTGGTTATAACCTGAGACATTACCTGGTAATAACCAGGTTATAACATGGATATTACCTTGTTATAACCTCAGACATTACCTGGTTCTAACCTGGTTATATCCTGAGACATTACCTGGTTATAACTTGGATATATCCTGAGACATTACCTGGTCATAACCAGGTTATAACCTGAGACATCACCTGGTTATATCGGTTATATCCTGAGATATCACCTGGTTATAACCTAGTTATATCCTGAGATATTAGCTGGTTATAAACTGGTTATGTCCTGAGACATTACCTGTTTATAACCTGGTTATATCCTGAGACATTATCTGGTTATAACCTGGTTAAATCTTGCGACATTACCTGGTTATAACCTGGTTATATCCTGAGACATTACCTGGTTATAACCTGGTTATATCTTGCGACATTACCTGGTTATAACCTAGTTATATCCTGAGACATTACCTGGTTATAACCTGGTTATATCCTGAGAAATAACCTGGTTATAACCTGAGATATTACTTGGTTATAACCTGAGATATTACCTGGTAATAACCAGGTTATAACCTGAGACATTACCTGGTAGTAACCAGGTTATAACCTGGATTTTACCTTGTTATAACCTCAGACATTACCTGGTTCTAACCTGGTTATATCCTGAGACATTACCTGGTTATAACCTGGTTATATCCTGAGACATTTATGGTTTAAATCTGGTTATAACTTGAGACATTACCTGGTTATAACTTGGTTATATCCTGAGACATTACCTGGTTATAACCTAGTTATATCCTGAGACATTACCTGGTTATAACCTGAGATATATCCTGAAACATTACCTGGTTATAACTTGGATATATCCTGAGACATTACCTGGTCATAACCTGGTTATAACCTGGTTATATCCTGAGACATTACCTGGTTATAAACTGGTTATAACCTGGTTATTACCTGGTAATAACCTGAGACATTACCCTGTTATAACCTGGTTATAACCTGGTTATAACCTGAGACATTACCTGGTTATAACCTGAGACATTACCTGGTTATAACCTAGTTATAACCTGGTTATAACCTGAGACATTACCTGGTTATAACCTGGTTATAACCTGAGACATTACCTGGTTATGACCTGTTTATAACCTGGTTATAACCTGAGACATTACCTGGTTATAACCTGGTTATAATCTGAGACATTACCTGTTTATAACCTGGTTATAACCTGAGACATTACCTGTTTATAACCTGGTTATAACCTGAGACATTACCTGTTTATAACCTGGTTATAACCTGAGACATTACCTGGTTATGACCTGTTTATAACCTGGTTATAACCTGAGACATTACCTGGTTACAACCTGGTTATAATCTGAGACATTACCTGGTTAGAACCTGGTAAGAACCTGAGACATTACCTGGTAATAACCTGGCTATAACCTGGTTACTACATGGTTGTAACCTGAGACATTACCTGGTTATAACCTGAGCCATTACCTGGTTATAAACTGAGACATTACCTGGCAATAACCTGGATATAACCTGGTTATAACCTGATACATTACCTGGTTAAAACCTGGCTATAAACTGGTTATAACCTGATACATTACCTGGTTACAACCTAGCTATAACCTGAGACATTACCTGGTTATAACCTGGTTAGAACCTGGTTATATCCTGAGACATTACCTGGTTATATCGGTTATATCCTGAGATATTACCTGGTTATAACCTACTTATATCCTAAAACATTACCTGGTTATAACCTGGTTATGTCCTGAGACATTACCTGGTTATAACCTAGTTATATCCTGAGACATTACCTGGTTATAACCTGGTTATATATCCTGAGACATTACCTGGTTATAACCTACTTATAACCTGAGACATTACCTGGTTATAACCTGAGATATTACCTGGTTCTAACCTGGTTCTAACCTGGTTATAGACTGAGACATTACCTGGTTATAACCTGGTTACATCTTGAGACATTACCTGGTCATAACCTGGTTATAACCTGAGACACTACCTGGTTATAACGTGGTTATAACCTGGTTATAACCTGAGACATTACCTGGTTATAACCTGGTTATATCCTGAGACAATACCTGGTTATAACCTAGTTATATCCTGAGACATTACCTGATTATAACCTGGTTATGTCCTGAAACATTACCTGGTTATAACTTGGATATATCCTGACACATTACCTGGTCATAACCTGGTTATAACCTAGTTATATCCTGAAACATTATCTGGTTCTAACCCAGTTATAACCTGAGACATTACCTGGTTATAACCTGAGACATCACCTGTTTATAACCTGGTTATATCCTGAGACATTACCTGGTTATAACCTGGTTATATCTTGCGAAATTACCTGGTTATAACCTAGCTATATCATGAGACATTACCTGGTTATAAACTGGTTATAACCTGAGACATTACCTGGTTATAACCTGGTTAAATCGTGAGACAAAACCTGGTTATAACGTGGTTATATCCAGAGACATTACCTGGTTATAACCTGGTTATATCCTGAGACATTACCTGGTTATATCCTGAGATATTACCTGGTTATAACCTAGTTATATCCTGAGACATTAGCTGGTTATAACCTGGTTATGTCTTGAGACATTACCTGGTTATAACCTGGTTATAACCTAGTTATATCCTGAGACATAACCTGGTTAAAACCTAGTTATAACCTAGTTATAACCTGAGATATTACTTGGTTATAACCAGCTTGTAACCTGGTTATAACCTGAGACATTACGTGGATAAAATCTGGTTATAACCTGGTTATACACTGAGACATTACCTGGTTTTAACCTGGTTACATCTTGAGACAATACCCGGTCATAACCTGGTTATATCCTGAGACATTACCTGGTAATAACCTGGTTATATCCTGAGACATTACCTGGTTATAACCTGGTTATGTCCTGAAACATTACCTGGTTATTACTTGGATATATCCTGAGACATTACCTGGTCATAACCTGGTTATAACCTGGTTATATCCTGAGACAATATCTGGTTCTAACCCGGTGATAACCTGAGACATTACCTGGTTATAACCTGAGACATCACCTGTTTATAACCTGGTTATATCCTGAGACATTACCTGGTTATAACCTGGTTATATCTTGCGACATTACCTGGTTATAACCTGGTTATAACCTGAGACATTACCTGGTTATAACCTGGTTATATCCTGAGACATAACCTGGTTATAACCTGAGATATTACCTGGTTATAACCTAGTTATATCCTGAGACATTAGCTGGTTATATCCTGGTTATGTCTTGAGACATTACCTTGTTATAACCTGGTTATAACCTAGTTATATCCTGAGACATAACCTGGTTAAAACCTAGTTATAACCTAGTTATAACCTGAGATATTACTTGGTTATAACCAGGTTGTAACCTGGTTATAACATGAGACATTACGTGGATAAAATCTGGTTATAACCTGGTTATACACTGAGACATTACCTGGTTTTAACCTGGTTACATCTTGAGAAAATACCTGGTCATAACCTGGTTATAACCTGAGACATTACCTGGTAATAACCTGGTTATATCCTGAGACATTACCTGGTTATAACCTGGTTATGTCCTGAAACATTACCTGGTTATTACTTGGATATATCCTGAGACATTACCTGGTCATAACCTGGTTATAACCTGGTTATATCCTGAGACAATATCTGGTTCTAACCCGGTGATAACCTGAGACATTACCTGGTTATAACCTGAGACATCACCTGTTTTTAACCTGGTTATATCCTGAGACATTACCTGGTTATAACCTGGTTATATCTTGCGACATTACCTGGTTATAACCTAGTTATATCCTGAGACATTACCTGGTTATAACCTGCTTATAACCTGAGACATTACCTGGTTATAACCTGAGATATTACTTGGTTATAACCAGGTTATAACCTGGTTATAACCTAAGACATTACGTGGATAAAACCTGATTATAACCTGGTTATACACTGAGACACCTGGTTACATCTTGAGACACTACCTGATTATAACCTGGTTATATCCTGAAACATTACCTGGTTCTAACCTGGTTATATCCTGAGACATTACCTGGTTATATCGGTTATATCCTGAGATATTACCTGGTTATAACCTAGTTATATCCTGAGACATTAGCTGGTTATGACCTGGTTATGTCCTGAGACATTACCTGGTTATAACCTGGTTATATCCTGAGACATTACCTGGTTATAACCTGGTTATATCTTGCGACATTACCTGGTTATAACCTGGTTATATCCTGAGACATTACCTGGTTATAACCTGGTTATATCCTGAGACATTACCTGGTTATAACCTGAGATATTACTTGGTAAAAACCAGGTTATAACCTGGATATTATGTTTTTATAACCAGAGACATTACCTGGTTATAACCTGGTTATAACCTGAGACATTACCTGGTTATAACTTGGTTATATCCTGAGACATTACCTGGTTATAACCTAGTTATATCCTGAGACATTACCTGGTTATAACCTGAGATATATCCTGAGACATTACCTGGTTATAACCTGGTTATATCCTGAGACATTTATGGTTTTAACCTGGTTATAACTTGAGACATTACCTGGTTATAACCTGGTTATATCCTGAGACATTACCTGGTTATAACCTGGTCATATCTTGCGACATGACCTTGTTATAACCTAGTTATAGCCTGAGACATTACCTGGTTATAACCTGGTTATAACCTGAGACATAACCTGGTTATAACCTGGTTATCACCTGGTTATATCCTGAGACCTTACCTGGTTATAACCTGAGATATTACTTGGTAATAACCAGGTTATAACCAGGATATTACCTTTTTATAACCAGAGACATTACCTGGTTATAACCTGGTTATATCCTGAGAAATTACCTGGTTATAACCTGGTTATAACCTGAGACATTACCTGGTTATAACTTGGTTATATCCTGAGACATTACCTGGTTATAACCTAGTTATATCCTGAGACATTACCTGGTTATAACCTGAGATATATCCCGAGACATTACCTGGTTATAACCTGGTTATATCCTGAGACATTTATGGTTTTAACCTGGTTATAACTTGAGACATTACCTGGTTATAACCTGGTTATATCCTGAGACATTACCTGGTTATAACCTGGTCATATCTTGCGACATGACCTTGTAATAACCTAGTTATATCCTGAGACATTACCTGGTTATAACCTGGTTATAACCTGAGACATAACCTGGTTATAACCTGGTTATATCCTGAAATATTACCTGGTTATAACCTGGTTATATCCTGAGACATAACCTGGTTATAACCTGGTTATATCCTGAAATATTACCTGGTTATAACCTGGTTATATCCTGAGACATTACCTGGTTATAACCTGGTTATATCCTGAGACATTACCTGGTTATAACCTGGTTATATCCTGAGACATTACCTGGTTATATCGGTTACATCCTGTGATATTACCTGTTTATAACCTGGTTATAACCAGAGACATTACCTGGTTATAACCTGGTTATATCCTGAGACATTACCTGGTTATAACCTGAGACATTACCTGGTTATAACTTGGTTAAATCCTGAGACATTACCTGGTTATAACTTAGTTATATCCTGAGACATTACCTGGTTATAACCTGAGATATATCCTGAAACATTACCTGGTTATAACCTGGTTATATCCTGAGACATTTATGGTTTTAACCTGGTTATAACTTGAGACATTACCTTGTTATAACCTGGTTATATCCTGAGAAATTACCTGATTATAACCTGGTCATATCTTGCGACATTACCTTGTTATAACTTAGTTATATCCTGAGACATTGCCTGGTTATAACCTGAGATATATCCTGAAACATTACCTGGTTATAACCTGGTTATACCCTAAGACATTTATGGTTTTAACCTGGTTATAACTTGAGACATTACCTGGTTATAACTTGGTTATATCCTGAGACATTACCTGGTTATAACCTAGTTATATCCTGAGACATTACCTGGTTATAACCTGAGATATATCCCGAGACATTACCTGGTTATAACCTGGTTATATCCTGAGACATTTATGGTTTTAACCTGGTTATAACTTGAGACATTACCTTGTTATAACCTGGTTATATCCTGAGACATTACCTGGTTATAACCTGGTCATATCTTGCGACATGACCTTGTTATAACCTAGTTATATCCTGAGACATTACCTGGTTATAACCTGGTTATAACCTGAGACATAACCTGGTTATAACCTGGTTATCATCTGGTTATATCCTGAGACCTTACCTGGTTATAACCTGGTTATATCCTGAGACATAACCTGGTTATAACCTGGTTATATCCTGAAATATTACCTGGTTATAACCTGGTTATAACCTGAGACATTACCAGGTTCTAACTTGGTTATAACCTGGTTATATCCTGAGACATTACCTGGTTATAACCTGGTTATATCCTGAGACATTACCTGGTTATAACCTGGTTATATCCTGAGACATTACCTGGTTATAACCTGGTCATATCTTGCGACATGACCTTGTTATAACCTAGTTATATCCTGAGACATTACCTGGTTATAACCTGAGACATAACCTGAGACATAACCTGGTTATAACCTGGTTATCACCTGGTTATAACCTGGTTATATCCTGAGACATTACCTGGTTACAACCTGGTTATATCCTGAGACATTACCTGGTTATAACCTGGTTATAACCTAAGACATTACGTGGATAAAACCTGATTATAACCTGGTTATACACTGAGACATTACCTGGTTTTAACCTGGTTATAACCTGAGACATAACCTGGTTATAACCTGGTTATATCCTGAGACATTTATGGTTTTAACCTGGTTATAACTTGAGACATTATCTGGTTATAACCTGGTTATATCCTGAGACATTACCTGGTTATAACCTGGTCATATCTTGCGACATTACCTTGTTATAACCTAGTTATATCCTGAGACATTACCTGGTTATAACCTGGTTATAACCTGAGACATAACCTGGTTATAACCTGGTTATCGCCTGGTTATATCCTGAGACCTTACCTGGTTATAACCTGGTTATATCCTGAGACATAACCTGGTTATAACCTGGTTATAACTTGAGACATTAACTGGTTATAACCTGAGACATTACCCTGTTATAACATGGTTATAACCTGAGACATTACCTGGTAATAACCCCCGGAAAATTTTCAGTTAATTCTGAGACATAATTTTTGTTAATTTAGGAAACAAGAGCAGTTTTATCCTCAAATAAATGCAGTACGCCTTTGTGTTGAAGAAGTCTTCATTTCTGTCAAACATTAATCTCAAATATACCTTAAGGTAGGATAAAAAAACATGTTTAAAATAACTTTGACTGCATTAATCAGGTAAAAAGTTGAGATTTTATGGTGTTTCCAGGTTAAAATTGTGTAATTTCCTGTGGTTTTAGTCAACATCAAAGCAGAGAAGTGGATTAGCTCGGGTGTTAGCCACACGAGTGTACCCGTATTTAATGGCGTTTACTATGGCTATGGGCTATTCGAGACTCAAATGTTTCGAACCATATCTACTATTTTCAAAACATGTCTGTTTCTCACGCATTTAAATGAACATGGTGATGTCCACCAAGTTGCACCTCTTTAACAATGGAACAGGTAGGAATCAACTGAGTTCCTCCGAGAGTTCAGAGGCTGCGTGCCACGCGCAAGCCAATCAAATAAAGTATATCTACTGAACAGCCAATAAAAAAGCAGCATTGCTGTATCCGGGTATTTTGATATCTTACGGTTTGACTACAGAAGAAGACAGACACTCGCCGTAATAGAGCAGGTTTTTATAAGGACGAGATAGACCCGATGATTACAGTAAGTCAGTAACTTACACATGCAGAGACCTCAACACCTCATGGCATATAAACTCATATGATAAACTGAAGCCCTATGCTATTGCTATTAACAGCTGTATTGACGGATTTAGCCTCTGTACAGCCATTTCCAGCCATTTTCCCCTCCACAAAAGCAGCATTTCTCATATATCTCAAATATAAGTTCTGATACTCATGACAGTGTAATGCTCATGTACCAAAGGATTAAGTATCTCCATGTTTGTGAAACCTATACTAAAGTACAATTCATCTAAATGCTCCGCAGTGCTGATTTTAACAACTCTCCTTCACAACAGGTGACTTTACGACTTAATACTGATATTAATGACTTTATTCTGTTTTTTTTTCTAATCGTGCCCCTTATACTCCGTTGTATTTAAGAGATAATTATACTAATAATTATCTTCAATCACCCTGCTTGACTGTTCAGAACAAGAGGGGATGTCAACTGATTGAATATAACCAGCGTGCTAAACGTTAGACTGCATTACTTATTTAACTAAAACAACAGTGAAACGCAAATATTAAGAGTCTTCGTAAGCTGATATAGGGAGAAAAGTGAGCTTGCTTACAAACCACATACAAGGACAAAGTTATTACATAGCTTTCCACAACATGAACCACTCATAAACCCACCTTTCTCCATGAGATACTGGGTGACATATTGTCAACCCTTTTGTTATTTCTCCTCTCTTAGTTTCCTTTCTTTGTGTTTTTCGCTGCCTCTTTGGCCACTCTGTTGCTGACGACTGTGGCTGTGTCTCAATTCAGGGTCTGCACTGTTAAAGTTTCAAGGCTGCGGGACATCATCACGATTATGAGCAAACCATCCTGCCCCCACCCCTTTTTCAAGCGTGCATTTATGCACACTTTGTGGCCTTGGAATCCCAGGATCCCCAGACGTCTTTCCTGGTTTGTACACAGCTGCACATTTCGGGTAAGAAGTCAGACTCCATTTGATACGCAGTGTGTCTTCAAAGGAAATGAAGGAAATCCAAAAACACAAGACAGTCAGCTTTGGCTCCCGTCACGATTGACTTGAAGAAAAGCCGCGGAAGTTGTTTTTTAATTTTGCTGCCCTGCATACATATAATGAGGGAGGACCTGAATATTTAATATTTCCAATTGTTTTTCATCAATTAGATTTTCCTTTGTTTCCTTTCGCCCCACAAATTAGCCGGTGTGTAAGGACCTTTAAGGTCCTTTTAAGGTCCTTAAGGTCCTCCGTGTGTAAGGACCTTAAAGGACCCAGCGAATTTGCAAAGCGAAGCGAAAAAGCGAGACGAAAATGCAAATATTCGCCGGTCCGAAAAATCGTTTTCGCCTATACACACCGGGCGCGAAGCGAATATGCATATAAATTTTGCAAAGCGAATTAATAAATATATATTGTCTTTGGCGCGAGTTCTTTCGCGCTACGGAGGAGAGGAGAACAAAGAAATTGAGTCAACAACATCCTCAAGCGATGATGAGCTCGTTGTGATGCTTTCGGCAAAAAAAAAGAAGACAGAAGAATAAACAAAGGAGTGTTTGGGTACATCCCATATTGGCTTTGAGGAAGGAGATGGGTGAGTTCCACACCACCATCCAGTGGTCCAAAGGCGAATAATTCGCCTGGCGAATTCGCGCCTGGTGTGTAAGGACCTTAAGTCTGTGCTGACTCTGTGTATTTATATATTTCTTGTATTTGTGTGTGGTATTAGATGTATGCATTTCTGCAATGTGAGGTATTGTAAGAATGTGTGTTTTTAACTTCTGTTGCAAACTGAATTGCTCTTAAGGGACAATAAAGATTTTCAAATCAAATCAACACCTTGATGGACTTAAGGGCCAATGGTGGTGGACGGCTCTTCTCTCTTCGCTGCAGGACAGAAAGATTCAGGAGATCTTTTGTACCAACAGCCATCAGGCTTTATAACTCATGTAAATAATAGATAACTTTTATAGACATATTATGTGAGACAACAGACAATTGAATTTCCCTTCGGAGGTCAATAAAGTTCCTCTTATTCTTCTTATTCTTTTTCTTATTCTGGAGTCTTGATCAAATCCAGCCAAATTCCGCATATAACAACATGCATATAAAAATGTGTATATTTCCAAAACAATAAGGAGTACAGGCATAAATTTGGTACCTGCTGAAAGGTAAGACTTGTCAGATTTCAAATCCAGTGTCTAAAATGATGCAAATTTTACCCAATTGCTCTGCTGAGAAAAGATACACACACACAAAAAAAAAAATGCTATTACCCCCTATGAATATTTTTCTAAAAGAAAGCTATAAAAGTCTTCAATTTCATCTGAACAACAAATCAAACTATTTGTTTTCAGTTCTCCAATGACTTAGGAATGAATCAGAATGATTTAGGGGGGCATAGCAGTCAACAAGTAGTCCACATGACCCATAATAGCAAACAAGCACCATACCCAATTCAGGTATTTCTGCTATAGGACTCCATAGATTAAATGCATGATAACCATCACTAAGCTACCAGTCTGCAAGGGTTATCATGCCAAACCACAAACTAGGGATGTGGAACAACTCAAAAAAACAAACTAGAAATTGCCCACCCAATTTATTGCAATCAGTGGTCTGGCTAATGGACTAAATAGTTTCGACTGGCCATCTTTTTCTCTCTTTTTCTTAGTGATCTGTGTTATTCAAAGTAGCCTCAGAACGCCACCCAGCCGGCCCAAAGTCATGCTGTGAGCCAAAGTTTTGTGGTGAGACCAAAGGACACAAAAGGCGCTGTTTTTTGCATTCAGGCCTATGTGCTGTGACTCCTGACCCATTTTTTGACTGACTTCGGTCACCTTCTTTGCCTAATCTCTCAAACCGCCGGCAGCCTGGACCTTCGGAACCTGCTCCATCCTTAAGGACCAGCCTCACTTAAGTATCCAAACCTCCAGAGCTTCAAATTGGACTGATGCTGTCTCACGTGGTCATGACACAGATATTCACTTATTCTAGTGAGCCTAGATTCATCCAAATCCACATCCAAATTTTCACACCAACACCATCTCAACACCAAAGTTAATGTAGGTTAATATGTTAGAGCATATTCACTCACGATCATTAACTTTAGAAATCGTAGCCTGACTCAGAATCTTTCATTCATCTATTATTATTTATCCTTATTATCTTATCCTCATTTATTGCATGTGTGTTGGACCAGTATTTACCCTGTAATAAATCGATCATTTATTTTTCTAAGTTCTTGTCTGTTAGTGTTCTTCCAGAAGTAGAGTCCCTGAAATGAGAATTTGGGCTCGAGATATGAAATTGATTTAAAATTGATTTAAGATTAACTTAGAATTTGATTTCTGAATTAAATTTTTCTTTTTATTTTCCCACCATTAAGGTGGGTGGCGCTCCTTTCAACAAGTGCATAAATGTCATGGTAAAAGATTATTAATCTTGGGACATTTATTATAAATTCAAACTGCTACACTGTAAAGATGAAGATGGATCAGAGTTGGTCTGATCCCATCTTTATGGGTCTTTGAAAACAGAGTCTGGTCTAGACCAGTTTTTTTGCTGAGCACCTTGGGAAAATATTTTGTGAATTGAAGCTATCTAAATAAAGACTGATTAGAAAAATTTACTAATGTCCATGATTTGGAACCATGAAGTGCTTTGATTTATGTACAATTTAATATATATAGGCTTTCATAAAACACTCCATGTTACAAATATGCACTCTTCTTTTATTATTTTATTTACACTCTGAAAATAAGCATCGAAACAATCCAGTGGCTACAAATCAAACTAACACTACCTCAAGTAACAAATCAAACTAACACCACCTCAAGTAACAATCAAACATGAAATAAGAGACAGTGTCCATGGCTAAAAAAAACTCATACCCAGAGTCTGTGTAAAGATTTGCTAAAGACAGAAGTATCTTCTTCCCGTTCCCAACTTCCCTATTTCTGTAACAGTTTCTTTAAAACGTTCAACATTTCTCAAAATTTTAGTTAAACTTCCACATAAGCACCAGAAACAGTTTCAGAAGTACAAAGAGAGTTTCAGTGAAATAATTATACAGCTTTACAAGCAGATTAAAGTCAGATATATGGACCACTGAAAATGAAATCTTCACTGTCACACTCAGATAAACAGCACATGCACATGTGTGTGATAAGTGTGTAGAGGTTCAGTGGAAACGAAGCCTTTTCTCTGCCTCAAACCCTCTCTCCTCCTCCTCAGAGAGCTGGTTTCCTTTCACACTGTAGAAACACAAAGACAGAACATCAGACATCATTTTAAATTTGGTCAGAGGGAGGATATCAGCCATCATGCAGTAATGGGAGTGTGACCTTGATTACTTTTTAACTGTTCAAGCTTCATCTCAAAGTGCATGATTAAAAAATGGACAACAGGCAAATAGAGAGGTAATAAGCAAGACAAGTTCTGAAAAAATGGTTTTACAGGCAGTGGCCACTGGCCACAGACCATTTCCCTCTAGCATGCCTGTGTGATCTTTGTGACTCAAGTCGGCATGTATTCAAGATGACACTGTTAGCAGTCAAAGCCTCAGACCTGTTGATGTTAACAGACTGTGATATTAAACACCAGAGTGCTACAAGAATTGCTCAGAAAAGGAAACCTCTCAGTCCCAGTGGGTCCTCCTATGCCAAAATAAAGGATAAATAAAATATACTCAGCTGACACTCTCTTCTGGAGCCTTATTTATCAACCGTGCGTAGAAAAGGTTCTAAATTCTGGCGTGGGAATGAAATTTAGAATGTGCGGAAGTACAAAAAAATCTGCATTTATCAAACATGCGGACACCGGTCGTATGCACACACGTAAGTAATCAGTGATGATAAATCCCACCTGTTCTTTACTACCGTGCTCGTGCATGGTTAGTCATTTGCATTCAGAAACACCTCCAACTGACCATATATGTTATCAACAATCCTTTTAAAAATGTGTGAAAGAATTTTTTCCCCCTCGCTGAAATGAAAAGATTATTTGTGCATTGATTGAATTAAATCCTTTCCTGTTGACAAAATTGAATTTCTTTTGTAAAGGTGCTTTTATTGCAATGTGGGTGCAATCTGTGGCTCCAATTATGTTCGGGAATCCGGCGATGGCGTGAAAGCCTTGTTTTATTTCGACTTGTTGATGGTGTGTGTTTGGGAAATGGATGTAAGTTGAGGCCAGAGAAATTATTGCATTCAACTCTGCCGGCATGATTCTGCTTAGTGTTGGCTACAAAATGCCGCCTATGTCTCCAATCTCACGCTGAAATGTTCCGGTGGCTAAAAATTCCAGGGTGGACAGGAGCTGGATGTGAACTGGGATGGCTGTGGTGCATTTTGTCTCTCGCTCCAGCACGGGTGGTAAATCACAGCGTAAATCCATTAAAATATTTTGGGAAAGCGGTACCTGCTGAGTACTTTTCTTCTTCCGGCTCTCAACGAAGGCGGTCGCATTTCTCTCCTCTCCCTGCTCTCTGCTTTGCCTCTTTGTCTTGTCCCACCCCTCAGTGCTGTGGGCGGTACCCTGACTGGCAGCGCCTGTGGCAGCAGCTGTGGGTTTCCCCCCATCACTGATGACCCATCACACTCCCCCTCTCCCTCTACAACCATAGCATGTCTACGAATCTCTGTGTATGTGGTGTTAGCAATGTGCTCATGTTGCTGAGGGGTTTTTTTGCCACAGCACTCTACTAATAATGAGAGCTGTCTCTTTTTTTTACCTCTTCCTCTTGTGTGTACTTTCCCCATCTGTAGTTGCAATTTCGTTGTGACAGTGTGGCAATTGTGACAATGACAATAAAAGCATTCAATTCAATTCAATTCAGAAGCCACTCTGTGTTCTCACTGAACAGATCAGCACGCTCTTTGAAAACGAGCTCCCAGTGGAGGATGCGGCTCTCCAAGTCCTCCAATAGTGCAAAATAAGCCGTGATTCTTGTATCAGTACTCGTAAGACTTCTTTGAGGGTTGTCCTGTCACAGCTGATTTTTATAGCTCATTATCACACCAATCATTCAAAATGTCTGCTAAATAACTAATCAGTTTAATTTTATACAGAGGCAACGGGGAACATGTGTGAAGTTTGAGATTGCTGAATGCTGTGACTCCTTTATTGGGTTCTATTTGTAGTTTCACTTTTCTACCACTAGATTCTGTGTGTACGCATGGTTAGAGTTGTGCTTAAACTTACGCACGTTCCTAAGCACAAGTACAGGTTGATAAATTCCATACTTTCGCAGGAATGTTCGTACGCACTCACTACGCACACATCTGTGCGTACGCACGGTTGATAAATGAGGCCCCTGGCACTTGGAGCCTTACTTTCCCTCACACTAGTGCTGCAGTAATGAAATAGTGTTGTAATGAAGCGTTTCCTTAATAATTCTGGAGTGACCAGAGTAATCTAAGAAGAAAGCTTTCATAATTGAATGTATTTTTGCCATCACTGCTGTAACCATTCACATTTCCCAGTGCTTATAGTGAAAAGTGCCTTGTAAAATGTACTTAAAATCTGTCAGACTGGCTAATGCACATTTATTTATGGATCAAGGATATCTTTATCATCCTGAAGGGGCAATTCAATTTGTTTCACCGCCAGCAGTACCATACACACAGTTCAATCAAAAGTTCAGACACAATTAAAACAATTAAAGACACATGAAACAATGGCAATGGCCTCAGAATAAATAAATCACAGACAAATTTGACCTTGAACTGTTCAAAAGGCTAATGGCAGTCAGGATAAAAGAATTTTTGAATCTGTCTGTTTTAAATGGTGAAAAGACATATCCACGTCCAGAAGGAAGCAGCATGAACTCCTTAAGGAATAGGTGGTCTGGTTCACCAAGGATAGACTGGGCTTTTTCAGAGTTCTAGGTTTGAATAAGTCTGTCAAATCACTCAGAGTATTGCCTGCGATTTTGCAGCAGGTTTTAACTCAGCCTAAAAAGCTCACTCACACTGAAGATAGAGAGGACTGGAGCTGAAAACAAGCATATTTTCTATGTCTCATGGAGCTCTATTTTCGTTCCTGCCGGTGGCGTGGCGGACGGTGGTGCGCCCCGCGCAGTGGTATATTCACCTGGCACAAAGCCAGTTTGGTATTTCCGTGCTCGCCGCCGGCGTGGAAAGGGCGCTGAAAGCTTGCCAATTTAAACCTGGTCAGCTTTCAGCGCAGGCGGAGCGCAGCTGGTCAAGTGGTATTTTGGTAGACCGGTGGCGTAACAGCACACGTTGCTGATGCCTCACCGGCAGGTTCCCACAGTGTCAGGCACATTTCTGTGCAAAAAATGATCAACAACAACCAATATCAGCGCAACTATCTGAATCAGCACATACATTTAGATCTATAGATATATTCTGATCTATATCTTATCTGATGAGTGCATTTGGCACACAACCTGACCAAATAACACAGGTGAAACGGCATTAAATTAAATATCCAGTAAACAGTCACACATGATGAAGTTAACAAGATATTTCATTCGTCTCCCCCCTTTTCCTCCTTCTTCCTCATGCAGCTCGAACAAGACATGTCTCTGTGTCCCGTCCCCGTCCTGCTGCTGCTATGGCGGGAAGGCTGACCAGATGATTTATTTTAGTGATCAGATGAGTTCTTTACTTCGAAAATTTGAACAAAAAAAAACAACTGTTTATCTAATGTCCTCACATCCTTAAAATTCTGTGAATATAGAATCCGGAGTTAGGCACACATTCTATCATTATAATATTCAGTTTTGTGAGCCAAGTAAATTTTATATACTGACATCAAATATATATAAATATATGCAACTTTATGTGAGTGTCTTCATTTGTGGAAAAATGTATTTGTCTTACCAGTGGGTACAATTATAGACACACCAAATCCCTCTGTGCTTATTTGAGAGAGTGTGAAGTGTGTCGCTTACAGCGACACTTGTTGAGGGGCTGCCTTCTGTAGCCATCGTGTGGCATTGCTTATAACTCTGCACTGACAGAAGATATGAAAATGACATGAATAAGAAATATATACCTGAGACTTTGGTCTTTCATCTGGTACACATTTTGTTAACATATGATGTACTGATTCCAAGAAATATTTAAGAGTGTAAAAAGTGTGACAACAAGCCCCGGTCTCCCCTGCTAATGTCATTCATTAAAGCTTCTATCCTCGCACACTCATTTGTGTGATGGTTGTCTGGGTTTGTTAAATGACACACTTAAGATCAGCCAAGATATAAAACCCAGTGATGCACTTCTTTCTAGGAAAGGGGGCACAATTTTAGAAAGTTGTAGGAGGGGCTTAAGATGTCATTTAGGCTGCACCTAGTAACTCACACATAGGAAATGTGTCATTGCTCAACTGGGCTTTTGTATTGGCTTTGCAAGTATTTTCCTCATATCTCCAGTCTCCTCCCCTCTTTACAGCTGTTAGAGGCACTAAAAATTACAAAAGAGAATTATCAGTTCTGCTGTTAAAAGTCTAATCTGCTTTTGGAAATTTCAAAGCAGGATCTTTGTTAATGTCAGTCAATGGAATCTATTTTTGTGCCTTGCCAGAGACGTTGCGCAGGCGCGGCATAAGTCAGGTCCGCCCAAGACATGCCCATGCACATTTTGGTATTTGGTGAGCGGTGCAGCCTGGCATATGTATCCCCCCTCCCTAACTCAACTTTTCCCAGCAGCATAAGTCGTAGAGTGGGAGGAGATAAGGCGTGGAGTGGGTTTAACACATCCAGGAACTGTTTTCGCCAATCATTTCAGCTCCTCTCCTCACCTTTAAATCCGCCGCTGGCAAGGCATACTACAATTTTCGTGAAGTAGTCAAAGAGATCAAGAGATGTCTGAAGACAGTAATGCCACACGATGGCGACAGAAGGCAGCCCCTCAACAAGTGTCACTGCATTGGGCGTCCTCCACACTCTTTTAAATAAGCACAGAGGGATTTGGTGTGTGTAAGGTTGGACCCACTGGTAAGACAAACACCCTTTCCACAAATAAAGACACTCACATAAAGTTGCACATATTTAAACCTCACGTGAGAGATCACATCATAAATTCCAAAAATGGCATTAAAATCGGAACCACCTGTGCGTAAATGACATATCGCGCTCCGTGGCCTGGCTCTTTCTTTCATAGATGTTGGCATATAAAATAAATTTGGCTCACAAAACTGAATATTATAATATTCTTATGTAGGCTTAAAGTAAGTTACTCATCTGATCACTAAAATAAATCATCTGGTCAGCCTGCAGCAGCAGCAGGAGCAGGACGGGGAGAGGACACAAAGTCACGTCCAGGTCAAGCTGCGCGAGATGTAAGAGGAAGAGGAAGATAGAAATATTGGGGAGACAAATTAAATATCTTGTTAACTTCATTATGTTTGTATATTTACAAGATATTTAATTTAATTTACAACGGTTTTAGCTGTGTTAATTCGTCAGGTTGAGTGTCTAAACGCATGCCATACACGCTCATCAGATCAGGTATAGATCAGAATATATCTATATAGATCTAAATGTATGTGCTGACTCAGAATGTTGGTTGTTACTGATTATTTATTGCACTGAAATGTGCCTGATACTGTGGAAACCTGCCAGTGAGGCATCGGTGGCACACTACGCCACCAGTCTACCAAAATACCTGTAGACCAGTTGCGCTCCGCCTGCCCTGAAAGCTGACCAGGTTTGAATCGGTGGGCTTTCAGTGCTCTTTCTGTGCTACCTGTGATTAGGAAATGTCACTGTGCCAGCTGATTCTGTCGACACCTCCCCCTACCGCACCACCAAGCCCAGCTTGGCGGACCTTGGTGCACCTCAGTCTACTAAAATACCAAACTGGCTTTGCGCCGGGCTCTGCCAGACGAAAATACTACTGCGCGGTGTGCACCACTGTCCGCTGCGCTGACGGTGGGCATGAAAATAGAGCCCAATTTCTCATCCAGTTAAGAACTCCTCAGTAGTGCCTTTAAACTATGATTTGAGAACCATTTTAGAACTATTTATCTGAACTCTTGAACCATTTTGTTGGATGAATCATAAGATGGTGTTAGCACAAGTGAAAGCTGGCCTAAAGTGACTTTGAGAGAATGTTTGGTTGACCCTGTTTGAAGGCCTTTCAAAGGAAACTCAATCCCAGCCTGTCTGAGCCTCACCATATCTCTTTGAGTGCTGTGTTGTCTGTCAGGGCCTCAGAGAGATGTTGGATCCCCTCCACTGTAAACTTGTTGTTGATTAACCTGCAGGTAAACATTAAATACAGGTAAGATTTTTCCAATCAATGCCTGACCAGCAGGTGTGATAATGCTCATGTTCCTCACCAGAGGTGACTTAGACCTGTGTTTGCCTGGATGAGCTCAGACAGGTGTGGAGCTGCATCATCAGTCAGTTCATTCTGCACTAACCTGCGAAGGCACAGACATGCAGGTCATTACAGAGTGAAGATTTGTGAGAAAAACAAAATATTCCCAAGGAGAAGAGACCTGCCCACCAGAATATCCTGAGGACAGAGTTTTCTTTCAACGCCTCTGCAAGTTTTATCCCCCCTGCAGATGTGATGCCATTAGCTGAGAGGCTACAAAAAAGAGACAGAGCAGCAGTTCACATGAGTCAGAGATTTGTTGATGGGTTTAGTTGGTCTTATTAGGTATCTGTCCTCTCACCTGAGGTTGGTAAGGCTTGGGTGTTTTATCAAAGCTTCTGCAAATGCTCCTGCTCCCTCGTCTCCAATGCTGTTCCCCCACATTCTGCAGAGGAAACATCTCCAAGAATTAACCCTCCAGGCTCTATTTTTGCACCCTGCTGGCGGCTTGCCGCAAGTCCCAATGGGGCATGCTTAAGCACACTTTGGTAATTTGGTGAGCAGTGTAGCTCAGGACAAGTTCATCCCCTCCCTATCTAAGCTCCTCTGGCACAAGTCGGAAAGAGGGAGGGGAGAAACGCCTTCCAGATTGGGATATTTCTGAAACGCTGCAGCCACCGTTGTCACCAGCAAGCCGAGGTTTTCATTGAAAATGCTGACGTCCCCCTTCACTTTGTGCATGCACACTTTCAACATGTGAACATTTAACTGCCATGTGCAAATCGGACCACAACATTAACAATGGCGAACACATTATTAATAAATTTATAATCACAAGAAATAATTATTTTTATGTCAAAAAAACAAAAATCAACTAACTTGCTCTAACAGGAAAACAATCTTTGTTATGTCAAGATAACAAGATGATAAGTCATTAACACAAGATCACAGTGCATATAAAAAAGAAAAATCCATGGCCATTCTCGTCTTCCTTATTTAGCAATCAGCGGGCACGAGATTGTCAATGTGCCCCCCTACTGCACCTCCTAGCCCATGTTGACGCATCTCAGTGCACCTCAGTCTACTAAATTACCAAATTGGCTATATGCCAGGCTGCGCTGCATTAAATAACCACTGCGTGTTGCACACCACCCTGCACCACACAGCTGGCAAGCAGGGAAATAGAACCTTCTACGTTTACCAGGTTTCTTTGGCTTGAACAAGACAGCCAGGTTTATTCTGCCAGCTTCAACAATACTTAAATCAAGAGAAACACAGCTGTTTTTATCTTGGGCCCTACTAAGGTCCTCTTTCTATCAAACACTTGATCACATTATTCTCTAAGTACCTGCATTTCCTAATTACAAGCTCAAATTAATATATATATAGTACTTGGCAACATTATGCAAAATGTTCCTTCAGAGACAAGCCAGTAAGGAGTTCTTTTTAAAACCAGAAACAGCTTCTGCACACTTTTAAAAGCCACTAGGTTGGATATTTGCTGCATCAGGAGGTGTTTCAAGCAGTTTAATATTACAGGTTTTTAATGGAGCTGTTTCAGTAAAATAAATAAATAAATAAACAAACAAACAGGATCCAACCTGACAGAAAAGGTACCTATTTGCTTTTCTGTGGTGTTGTCAAACATTTGAATTGGCTCTTAAAGTAGATGTACATCACAAATCTCAAAGTTCAGATAATCATTCATTTAGCCGTAAACGTGGTTATTTCTCTTGTTTTTGACTCTTGTACGGACCAAACACATAAGCCTGCAGCCTTGTTTCCTCTCATCCACACTCAGAGCAAGATAGGGCAAAAAACAGAGGGCCATCTTTCAGATTCTCGCATGAGTTGGAGGCAGTAAAAGCTAGTGGAAGCTTGTTATTGTGTACAATGATGTTACATTTCCCCTTGACCTGGGACCAACCACTACACCAATGTGACACACTTGCCATGCGTTATTACTTTTACTACCTCACATCTATCTGTTGCTAAATCAAAGAAACCTACTAGAGATATTGCACATAAATGCTACTGGAATAAAACTACTTTCATTCACCTCCCCAGTGCTGTTGCACCTCCCTACATATGTTCCTCTGGTTTTACTGCTGTGTAAGTGCAGATTAGTTACAATGTTCTGAGTGATCTGAGTGACCAAAAACAGCAAAAAGCTTTCTCAGCAGTCTTACCCCACATCAAATATAGAAGTGCTCTTTTGAATGGCCTTGGCCAATAACCTCCCACCAACAGCAGTTATCTTGTTTTTGCCGATCCTGAAGAAAAGTATCAGAGTCATCAAAAGGTAGGACCACAACGTCTGAATTTAACAAAAAGTGAACTGATATGATATTAAAATCTATCAAATATTTCAAAAACATACTTGAGCACTCGTAGCTTTGGGCACTCCTCAATAATCTGAGCAACTAGCCTTGCTCCAACATCAGTGATGTGATTGTTGTACAGCCTGGGGAAAAAAGTACAAACAAATTAATAATGGAGAGGGCGGCAGTAGCTCAGTAGGTACAGCAGTCGTCCAATAACTGAAAGGCTGGAGGCTCGATTCCCCCCCATTCTCTAGTCTGTCTGTTGTGTCCTTGGGCAAGACACCTAACCCATCTTGCTCCTAGTGTGTCCTCCACTAGTGTATGATTGTAAGTGTTGTGTGGTGGTGATCAGAGAGGCTGTAGGCGCAAACTGGCAGCCACGTTTCCGTCAGTCTGCCCTAGGGCAGCTGTGACTACAAAGGTAGTTAACCACCACCAGGTGTGGCTGTGTGAGCGAATGAATGATGTATCCAATGTAAAGCACTTTGAGGGTCTCTGATAAAACGCTATATGAAATCTGATCAACCAAGTAAATTTAAATGTCAAGCACAAGAAAATAATTAATATCTACTTAATCACCACATAACAGCAAATACTACAAAGAAATCAAATGTAACTAAAATTTTGAGTAAAATGAGGTTCCTGCCTATGAAAAACAAGTAGACTTCACTTAATTTGTTTAAATAAATATAACTTAAAACTTGGATGTAATTAAGTAAATGTTACTTCATATCTTCACAACTGTTATGTTTTATTGAAAGTAAAGTTTACTTGATTCTGGCAAGTGAGTGTTACTGATATTGCAGCATTAAGTTTTACTTAAATTATTAGTGTGCAAATACTTACAATATATATATATAAAAGTTAGGATTTTTTTTTTTCCAGTGTACTCTGAAAAACCTCTGTCTGCTTTTAGTATCACAGGCCTGTTTAAAGTCTGTTCACTTCATTTCTCATACTGAATGTGCTCATTGGATGGACTGTTGTTTCCAATCTAACTGAACATATGCATGTAGGAGTATACTGCAAACCTGCACTCAGAAAAATAAGTCATGGCATAGCTCATTTTTAAGTAATAACATCTATTTAATTTTGTTTCAATGATTAAATTTTTTAGAATGTATTTATTAAAATTTCTTAGAATCAGCATAAATCTCTTAATTCTGAAAACAATTCAGATAAATCAGTTAAAATGCAAGGATATAGTTTAAATATGATGAGCTGTGGATCAACCAAGATTCATTTAGTTAAAATGCAGTAAGGCCTACATATTTCTGTGAGTGTTTGTGGTTGTTTCTCTCACGTAACCTGTTTAGTTGCATCTTGCATCAACTAATGTTTGCTTTAGAATGTGGCTTTGGCAGGAGTAGTTTGTTCATTGATAAAATCAAAGTAGATCACTCTGAAACTGGTGCTGCATTGAACAGGAACATCGGACAACAACCATTTACAGATGAGACCAGATACCAAAGATGGTCTTTGTCCAAGTGCCTCTTTAACAAGCGAGTAACTGTTGAGATGAGGAAAATGTGAAGTTTAGATTTAACAAGACCGAACAATGATGATTTTGCACTCACAGAAATATTTAGGCCTCATTGCATACAAATTTCCATCCATTTGAATTACTTAAAATAAACAGGCCAATAAACTTTATATGCTGGATATTTGTCAGTCAAATGTAAATGAAAAATTCAGAATTATATTTTTATAATAATACCAATAAACCCAATGTGTTTAGAGTAAATAATGAAGATTTATGGATTTATCATTCATAACTCCAATTTGTTTCTGTCTCATAAAATTTTAACTGAATGAATCTTGGTTGATCCACAGCCCATTATATTTAAACTATATATTTATACATTTGACCATTTTAAGAAATTTGAATAGATAAATTCTAAAAAAATGTAATGATTGAAATAAGATCAAAGAGATGTAAATACTTAAAAAATAAACTATAATAAACTTAACCATTATTTATTTATCTGAGCGTGAGGCCCTATCAACAATCAAAACTGAGGGACAACACTTCGAACAGAGGAACAGTCTTTTCCTGAACTTAAACTTTCTACAAATGCACCTTGAATTCGGCAAAATACAGACTGATTGGATTTAATAGAGGGACTACACCAACAAGTATACTCACCCCAACACCTTAACAACTTTGTGTTCACACAGCTCCTTAGCAAGAACCTCGATGCTGCTGTCAGACAGGTGATTGACACACAACCTGCAGAAGAGCAATTGGATTAGGCAGTTCACTTGTTTTTGCTCATGTTTGTGTCCAGAGAACTGCTGGTTTCAGGATGCTACAGCTAACTAAACTGTTCAGCATCCCCCAGCTGTTGTAGACCTTTATTAATGGAAAACCAGTATCTGATAAGCCTTGTTAGGTGTCTATCCATTTCTTCAGGCTTGGTTCAGAATTTTTTGATGACCCATTATTGAGAACGTTAATATAATAACAACCAAAACCTGTTATTTCAACTTTTATTCAACATCATGATTTTTTTTGTAGCTTCTCTTCACTACTGACTTTTACTCTATTTTATCTTATCTAAATAATAGGTTAGTCTGTTCAGGCAATTCGCATACTGTCTCAGTGAAGTTTGACTGTCGTTTTACAGGTTCATTGTTGATGTATTGTATTAATTATTTTATTGCACTTTCTGGATCAGTCTTTTATTGTTTGATCATCTTATTCATGTGATTATTTTTGGGTTATTTTAGTTTTCTGAACATGTTATTTTACCCTCGGTGCTTTCCATCTTGCAGATAAGAGGGTGAGGGTGTTTTTACATACCTTTATTATTCATTTCTGTTTATGTACAGCACTTCGTGTTGCACAATGGTTCTAAAAAACGTTAATGCATTTAAAGTACGACTGACAGATTTTATTTCTTGCTTGTTCTGCAGTTCTTACCTCACTACAGTCATCTTAGAGAAGGATGGTCTCAGCTGCTTCACCCCATAGTCGCTGATGTTGTTGTTGTCCATGTCGAGCCCCAGGAGCTTCTGTCGGTGCTGCAGCACAAAGTTAATGGCAGTGCAGTCACCAGAGAAGACGTTACAGTACCCTAGCTTTATGATGCTGGCTGTGATGCCTTTTGCCGTCATCTGAGCGATGTGTTTACTCCCAGTCTCAAAGATGCACCTCAGCATCCATAGAAAGTCTGGTAAGACGTGGGTCTTCTTGCCGTCGTCACTCTCATAGTACGAGAGACCACGAAGGTGGGACTTAACACTGGTGGACATGTAGGCTTTAAGGAGGGCTCGTTTCTTTTTTAAGAGCACAGGAGACACCAGATACCCCATGAGACCTGTGTGAGCCTTTGAGAGCAGCCCACACAGGAACAGGTTCGTGAACTGAAGGTGTTCGTTATTTGTAAACGGTTTCCTCTCACTGGGCTTTGAGGAGTCTTGGATACAGCAGTCCAGAAACTGGCAGGATGTTTGTCTCTTCCTGCTGCACTCTGTGAAGAACTTGAGGATGGAGGCGGGAGAAGCCTCTGCATCCAACACCAAAGCAAACGCAGCCAAAAACGACTGAAGGGTGATATGCAGAAACTCAAACGTGGCAGAGTTTTCACTGGTGTTGTGCTCGCTGACAGGTCTGAGGAAGCCGAGGGGCAGGTCATCCTCAGTCAGACCACACGCAGACATCTCCTCTTGGCTGCAAAGGAAACTCCCTCTCTCCATCCCCTGGAGTGCAAGTTTAGCAAACGCTGTGAGAGATCTGAGTCCTCGTTTTAGTGTCTCTGAGACGCAGCGAGTGCGTTTCTTCAGCAGAGACGGTGCAGGACAGGCCAGGTGGCTAAGGAACACCTCACAAAGCATGAGGAAGATATCAGTAAGTGTAATGCATGTGTCAGGGAGTTGGAAACTGTCATGCATGCTGTGCAGGTGCCTGAAGCTCTTGAGTACGATCCAGCTAAACAGCGGTGTGGAACACAGGCCGCAGAGGTGAGGGCTGGCGTCCAGCTGGACCCTGACCAGTTCTCGATACTCCCGCTCCTTAAAGTGCAGATCAATGTAGGTCTTCAGATGAGCAGGAGAGAAACCCCGCAGAGTCACCTTCTTTTTGATCACCTTACTCTGGATCTCGATCCCTGTCCGGGCGGTCAGAACCTTCTGGGAGCCTTTGAGGAGTTTCCCACAGAGTAAGCCGATGAGCAGCTGCAGGGGGTGTGCTTTATCCTCTGGAGACACCACCTCAGGTATGTTGATCAGATTAAGATCCTCCTGGATCTCATCATAGCCATCAAATGTGAAAATAACCTTCTCAGGGAAACGCAGGATGTAATCAAACACCTCGCCGTCTGGGTCATGGTCTGGGTAGCAGTTGTGTTTGAACAAAAGGTCTCTGAGGGAGATCTGCTCGGCCTCCTTGAAGCTGCTGAACATCCTACAGCGGAACTTGAAGAAGAAAATGGCGTCTGTCTGAAGCTCCTTTTTGGACCAGAGGTTCTGGAGCTTCTGCAGCAGGATGGATTTCCCCACACCAGCGTCCCCTGTCACAAAGATGGTCTCACCTTGGGAACTGAAGTCTTCTTGGTCTGCTAGGAGTTGGTCCAGACTCTCTACGAAGCCCATACTCTCATTGGAGTGGTTTAACAGCTCTATCTGGGTATCAGTGTAGAGGTCATCCAGATGGGTCTCCTCCGCCTGACCGTATGACATGATGAAGCAGGTGTCCCGGCTCATTTCATGTCTCAGCTTCTCACAGTACCTGCTGACTGAGAGGAGGCAGACAGTGAATTATTGTATTACCCAGAGCTGCTCCTGATGGTTCATGGTCTCTATTAAGGACCAGACAACTCAGGACAAGGATTCATCAGTGTTTGGTTTCTAATTGTCCTTCTGGTTGAGTGAGTCAAAAACAAACATTTAACAGCATTAACAGAAGGCGTGGTTTTCATCTATCAACTCTGTACAAAGTGCTGTGTGATGAAATCAGGTTGTGAATGTGAGTGACCTCAGTGAGGGGAAGTGCAGGGTTGTTGAAATGCTTTGGCCTGAGTGAAAAACACAGCTCAACTGTTTCACAATTAAACACAGTTCAGAATAAAAAGGTGATCCGAACGGGTCCATCAACTTTTACAGAAGAAGAGGACACTAACACCCAAACCTTGTTCACATGGTTGCTGTTTTCATGCGACCACAAGCTTAGGATGGAAACTCAAATTTTGCTCTCATGTCTTCTGTCGAGTTTTTTGGTCTCAGTCATAAAAACTTTGATACTCTGACTCTCTGTGGTTGTTTTACAACTTCCTGACTAATCAGCAGCCAGAGAGATACTGGATAGTTAACCTGGAGGAATCTTGTTTACATTGAGGTCAGTGGTTTCCAAATGCCCCCCACTGAATTAAAACGATTACTTCCATTTCAACTTTAACAAACCAACTTTTGTGGCTTTTGTGACTGACAGTCTAAAAATGACAGAAAACCTCAAAAGAGAAAATCATAAATTCATCTTGTTTAAAGGAGCAGCATCCACGCACCTCTCCTCCTCACCCTCTGCGTTCTCCATGAATTTAAGAGTAATTAAATTGATGTCTTTAGATGATATCCAAAAGCAAACAAGACCATTATCAACAACACTGATTGCTTATACATTTAATTTTTCAGTCATGAAACAGGTGTGAGGGGAAGGTGTAAGCTGAGCAGCTCAAAAACAACCCTATTTGCAATATCCACCTCAAATATTCACGATAAATACCAAAATGACTGTGAAAGTCAGCAGGATGAGATTTGATTGTAAAAGAAATGACTTTGTCATCGAGAGGACAGGCAAAGACTGCTATGTCCAGAGGAGGAGCCAAAGATGACACAAACTAAAAGTTTTTCACAGAAGCGTTTTATGCCTCGACAGTGGGACATTGACTATTTTTTTTACTTCTTGTTCCTGTTCCTGACTCTCAGCAAACCAGAAAAACCAAACCCAGCTGAGTTATTATTGCTTGTGATCTATTTTCATCAAATCTTAAAAAACAGTTTAGCATGAATACCTGTTTTACTTACTGGGGTCTGTATTGACTACTTCCTTCAGTGCTACATCATGACTTGGGTTGTAGTTGATTTCTTGAAGCCACGGTTGAAGGTCAATGTAAGCATCACCGACTTTATATATGATGTAAATGAAGAACTCACAGGCCTCCTCACCTTTGCATCGGACAAGCTCCAGGATTTTACGCACCTGGAAAATAACACATCAGTTTGTTTGGAATGTCCTTTTCCTAAATTAAGCTAAATGTTTACAACAAACCGTAAAATCCATAAGAGATATGTTCAGATCTAACCTGCTCTTGCTTGGTGGCAGTTCGCTGTACAATCTCAACATCTTCCTCACAGAAGAAACCGGAGGCTAACAGATTGTCAAGGATGCACTGAAGACTCCTCAGCCTGCTGACCAGCACCTCTCTGTGGTAGGTCAGGACGTTCAGACACGTCAGCCTGGCTTCTTCTATCTGACCCATGTTTACAGAACCACAGTCCCCTCTGAGGCCTAGCAAGAGACAAGCAGCACATACAGAAAATATGAGTAAAAAGTCATGTGCAATAAGGTTATTATCATAAATGAAAAGTCAGAAACTCACCAAAACCAAAAGGAGAAAAACATGTCCCTGAAATAAAGATAAAAACAAGTCTTCAAAAAACAAGTCTTCAAAGCATTATGTTATACTGCACAAACATCTATATAAATGGAAATAAAATTAATGGGATCATCAAAGAGGACAATGATGTCATTTTTCACATTTTATTAGACAACCCCCCCCACACACACAAAAAAGAGACAGCTGATTCGTGGGACAGGTTTTTCTGACCGATCGATTCAATTCATCCCGTACAAGCTCGATTGGAGAAAGGTCTGGAGACTGAGGAGGCCAAACCATCTTTTGAGGAACACCTCACTCTTCTTTTTTGTCTAGGTAACCCTGACAGAGCTTGGCAGAGTGCTTAGGGTCATTGTCTTGCTGCAAAACAATCTTATGAGCCACAAGTCTGAGTCCAGATGAAAACTACAAGATACACATTATTTCTAAGTTAGATTTTGAATGTCTGTGAGAGCTTTTTTTTCTTTAAGTTGGATTGCTAAAATAGCAGAGGTATTTTTAGTTTTTTATTATTTATTTTTCTAATACAGAAGTGACATTATTTATATCATTATTTCATTTGTTATTTTTTAAAGTTGTCATAATAAAACATGTTGAGTAACCTCTGAGAAGCCTATCTGAATATTGTCTTTCATTATAGATAGTATTTGGTAATATAACAATTTTCTATTTATACAGAGAAGGCATACCTTAAATTTTAAGGCATGTTTCAGTAAACTTTGAGGGCTCTAATTACCACTGTCTACGACTACTTCACGAAATATGCAATACACCCTGGCGGATTTTAAGGTGAGGAGAGGAGCTAATGTGATTGGTGAAAACAGGACTCGGCTTTGTTAAACCCACTCTGTGCCTTCTCCCCTCCCTCTCTCCTAATTACGCCGCTGGGAGGAGCTGAGTTAGGGAGGGGGGATACTTATGCCGGGCTGTGCAGCTCACCAAAATACCAAAGTGTGTTTGGGCATGCTTCATCAGCGCAGCGGACCTGACTTACCCCGTGCCTACGCCACGCCACCAGTGAGGCATGAAAATAGAGTCCCAGTATCATTTGAGCATCTCATTGCCGGGTCGCGTGTCCTGGTTTTCGGTCATCAAATATAGTCACCAAAGGATTTCTATATTTGCTTATGATGCATTGACAGAGATGGGTTTGTATCAAGTGTTACTTCAGTTTTTTGACTGTCTGAACTCTTGGCTATTAGTATTCCTGCGCTTAATGTTGTGCATCATCTCTGCAACAAACTGGGTGTAATCTGATATTTGAGTTGTAAATCAGATTATAAAAAATTGGTACTTTTTTTATAACCTACCTATGGAACTTTTTTTTACCAGAAAAAAACATTTTTCATTATCTTCAAGAAAACCTCTTTCAGAACTCTCCTGCTGGTACCAATTAATTGATTTTGGGTTAAATACCACAAGCCCAGACAACAGCGACAGTGTAAGATGCAAATGCAAGAATCTGTACAATTCCTCTACTTTTCATGGGAAACAATGTAGGGGAGACCAGGGATGGTTGTAATGACCCCATTTGAAACCAGTCAGGGCTAAGATAGGAGTCACATGATCATTTTAGCATTGACCCACCTCCTCCCCAATCCCACGTAGTGATTTTTGAGGCTGTAAATGAGTGCATCCCATTTTACAGAGAAAATAAACTGGCTTTGAGGTAAGACAGTTAACGTTCTGACCAAGACTAATATTTCTATTTTGTTTTACACTATTTCCAATCAGTGGCGTCATTTCAGTTTCAGACAAGGTATGATGTTTGAAAAAAGCATCTGAGGAGGTGACAAAGAAAAGCATGTTCAATTATACTTAAGTGCAATTACGCACTGTCATAAAATACATAATTATAAGTAATATATGAAAATTTGAATACTGCAACTACTATTGCTGCACTACCTGGTAAATATGCATACTATGTAATAACATACTAATGCAAACCCTCTCTGGGTTATACAACTTAAATCACATAATAATGATCCGAGATTCAATCCAATCAAACATATATTGCCCGTGCAGTTACTGTTTGTAATTATTTGAAAATATTTATCTTGTATTCGTCATGCTTATAAATTAAGTATAGAGTTTGTTTGAGACTCTTCAATTCATCCAAACACATTCACACACTTCAAAGTCAAAGAGAAAGTAGATTTGAGTTTTGGGCCCACACAAGCATCAGCAGTATGCTGAATTATTCTTTTACTTTCATCCATCTCTTTTAGCTGCAAATCTCATAGAATGGTTTCTGTTTTTGCATCTTTCGACTTTTTATTACAGCCACTAGTGGTGCAGGTTGTAACTAAGAGACTGCCTGTTTTTGACGTTGACATTTTTTTGCAGAGGAACTAGTTTCTCTTGCAGAACTTTGTTTAAAAATTCGAAGTAGTGTTACAACCTTCCCCGGTCTTCCTCTACAGTAAATATACAATGGGCATCAGCAAACGTGACAAATAATACAAAAATATTTTCTTGCAGTAATACTTGATTTTTGAAAAGACTTGTCTTTAGAATGAATAACAGGTTACAATCACTCTGACTACTTTTATTTTAAAGACATTTTTGACCTACAAAGTTGATGAATTGCAAAGCAGCCTAATTCTTCTATCCTCTGTTTATTCAGCAGGCTACTGCAGGTTAAAGTAAATACAGATTAAAAAGGTGTGTGTTGAGTCATTAACATTATCCTCCCTTTCTTCTGTGTTTGTTTAACATGTTTTCTTAAGTCCAGACAAAAGCTGACTGAACCCAAACCAAGAGCAATAAATCTTACCATAGTGTTTCCTCCACGTCAAAAGCGTCGTAAAAGGATCAGTTTAAAAAAGGATTCCTTCAGTTAATGGTGGAAAAATTCTGAAGTGAATCTCTGTTGACTTCGACACCTTTCTGTCTGCTTCTGTTGTAGGAAGCGAAAGTCGTTCGTATGTCTGCGTCACTTAGATCATTTCACAACCTGAACGTGCTGCATTCAGGGCCCCGCGGAAAGTCTACTTCTAAGTACCTCCGTTCGAGGTTGAAGCTGGGAAAAGCAACCACCAAAACTCCGCCCTGAAGTCTCCTTTTCTCTTTTCTCCTCACTTAGCACTAAACAAATTACTTCATCGTTGTCAACATGAAATTTACCTCATCAAGCGTCAGTCTTGTCTGATTACTGTTAAGAGGTTTTTAATCTTAATGAAATTACCTGGGATTAAAAAATTGATTAAAAAATAAACAAAAAGCTGTGTAGGGCTAAGTTTTGGAGACCAATAAGACCGCTGTGTTCTTTTCTGTTACGATATAAAGGAGATACTTACGACGGAGTATTAGGACCACATTAAGAAAAGAAAAAAAAATGGACCTGTGTTTATCGTAGAAAATGTGACCAAAATGTCTGTGGAGCTTGAGTTAACGTAAGGGCTGTTTGTCTCTCTGCCTCCCTGCACACAAACACACTTGCATGCACGCACACACTGTTTTCATGCCACACATATCAGGCTAGTGGGTCGTTTCTGCAATTATTTCTCAATTTAAACTATACTGATTTTACTCTACAGATCCATGATGGCAGAGAAATTTTCAGAGATTGCAAGTTTCTTAAGGGGTAGAGGTGTCCCAAAAGGAACTGTAAATTTTATTGAAGAGCAAATTCTGTTCTGAATGTTCTGTAAGTTGAACTAGTCACCCACCCAGACAGTTTTGTTATCTAAGGGGGACAAGAAAATTAAGCTTTAAAAAAGTTTTATTGGATTTATTAGATTTTATTCATGACTGAAGACCATATTCACAAACATGAGAATCCTGTCAGAGAGCGCCTTACATCGACTGAATTTTAGTAGTAAGGAGACCCAGTTTAAAAAGGATCAAGAAAACTTATTGGTCACCATTGTTTTGCACTTGTGCTTTTATCTCAGCTGCACTTTTGTGTAGGAATATAGACATTATATGGATGAGGAAATGTAGTCCCAAGTGACATAGCTGTTCGATGGCAATGTAATTATGTAAAGTGCCAAAAACTTTTAAAATGTAGCATACAGTTAGATGGATATAAATTTTTCTTGGTGGCTCCAGTTAAGGTGGCTAAAACAAGATATGATAATACCTCATGCAGCCATATGTCAAATAAGCTGAACCATGACTTATTTTTTTCACAACAGTTGATGAATATCTGTATTTTACTTTTCACTTTGCATATTTACAGTTTAGTGTTCTTTTGCATCTGAAGTTTATAGTCTTGTCTTTTTCCTATCCCCATATTGACAGAGAGGTCATTCAGCTCATGGAGGATACTCAACTGGCCCAATATCTTCCATCACACAGAGACAGGGTTGCTCTGTTCAATTTTTGCAAGCTACACACAAACTCGTCAAAGTGAAAACAGGGTCTTTTTGAGAAACTAAGAGAGAAACTGAAACTTAGAAAAGAAACCCACAACCACAGGTAGAGAGGAGCCAGAAACATCCGACAAAGCAAGAAGTAGACCTAAACGGTCCACAAGAAATGTTGAAATAGGATGGATTCACACTGAGGACGAAGTGACACAGCAAGTCAGAGCAAAACAAGGTGGAGGGACAAGAAAGATAACAATAGACTTTCAGGCAGATTATGATGAGATTCTGAAACAAGGAAAGGCCCTGTGCTTTCCAGAGGGCATATCTAGCAAAGGCTAAGAATCTGACTTTGAATTTTATTTGAATTTGGGACTTTAAGCAAAACCTTCTTCCAAAAGATGTCATAATTGAAAGTATCCACAACACTGTAAAACTTTTAATTTTGTGCTTTTACTCAGCAACTAAACCAAAACCATTGCTGAGTGAGGAGTCTGATAATGAGCTTAGCTTTGCCAGCAATGATCATAAAACGTCTACTTCCTGACAACTCATTGGAAAAGGGCAGTGATTGTGCAGCAACATGGAGAGCAATTGCACAAATTCTTCTGAAAGGATTCCAAGATTACCAATACTTGCCCATCAAGCTACCTCCACCTTTTGTAGAGTAAAAGCTTATTGGGGCAGTTCACAGTGATTTGAAGACAAGTTTTTCTTCAACATGTAAGTTGCCAAGACCAGGATGTCCTTAGACAGGCTCTAGATGATTTTTCAGCTGTTGATGTCAATGACTTTCTTAAAGTGCTGACCACCTATGAGTGTAGAAAAAAGGTCTCTGCTGCTACCCTGCCAGACATCTTAAATGAGATCTCTCACAAGGAACTTGTACAGAAACCCATGTTTGCGATTGACTGCTGAAGGAAGATCACACAGCCACAGTTGCATCTGAACTTTGCAGAACTGACCAAAATGTACAGTGACCTCCAACCAACACCAAGGAAAGTAGTAGGAATACTGCAGGGTTGACACAGAAGGAAGCAGGTGTCCCAGAACCTAAAAGGATACATCAGGGAGCTTAATGAGGAAAAGCTTAGAAGATTTTTAAGGTTTTGTACTGGCTCTGATTTGTTGATGTCTGGTCATATCAAGGTGGAGTTTGCTGTTCAGACCAGTTTCACAAGATGGCCCATTGCCCATACATGTGGCATGGTCTTGAAACTGTCTGATGGCTATGATCATTTTCCTGACTTCCACATCGAATTCAGTTCCATTCTAGAGAGCAAGCTCTGGATAATGGATATTGTGTAGGCAGGATGTGTAACATCAAATATTACTGCTGACTTTTTCACTTTAAAATATTTTTACACAGTAAAACACTCCGTACACAAGGTGCAAACAAACACATGCAGTCATTGGCACACGCTTAATACAGACATTAAAATCCACACATCTTATCTCAGAGAAAGGCATTTCTAACAAAATGTTCCAACGTACCTTAGTTACAGAAAACAGTATTAATCCCTTGTGATCATAGAAATGTAACTGTTAACAGCAAAAATGTATTGATCTGTTGCGATCAAACCAAGGCTTATTTTGTTTGGGGAAAACGTATTGGTATGTTTGCATCAAACCAAAGTTGTTATTGTTTACCAAAAATGTATTGATCTGTTGTGATCAAACCAAGGTTAATATTGTTTATAGAACATCTGTGATGATCATTTGTGATCAAGCAATTGTTGAAGCGTTTTGATTTTCTTCATCATCATGGATGATAAAAGTAAGCCAAAGACATTGGATTTCTTGAGGTCCCTTGCAGAGCTGTGTATGAGGAGATTTTACTCTAACTGTACACGTACTTGTGAAGTTATTAAAAAATATGTTTGACCCAATTGTGTTTTAGTCATTTTGATGAAAACAGGCATCCGCTGAACATTTCAAAAGTTCACTCACCAGTGATAGAATAGAACTGAGTACCTGAACTTAGTTGCTGTACTTACAGTACATTGTGTTACTTGAACTCTAAAATAGTATTAATATCTCACTACTATTCAAGTTTTATTTGACAATTTAAGGGATATTCCAGCGTAAAATTAATTTAGGGTCAAACATACCATAACACTGAGTTAGACACCCCCTCTAGAGATGAATGCTGCTGACTGCTAGCTTCTCTAGTTATACCAACTTTAGTAATGACTACACGATAGCAATACACTGCAGTCTAAAGAGCCATACACAAACCTCAACATAAACGCCACTCTATAGCCACAAATAATGCTCAGAACAGCACCTAACTTTATCAACAGTACATATAGGGTCCCAGCCATAGCACTGGCCACCAAACATGCCTGATTTCTTTAGCAAAGAGACTAAACACAACTCACCTACTCTCTTCCTGTGAAAAAAAAAAAAAAAAACAATTTAAAATTATTAGTCAATTATCACTGTTGATCACAATGAAAAAGCAGTGTATTTTTAAGATCTCTTTGCTGATGTGCTCTGCTTTCGAGAAAGCACTGTGCCCTGCTTATTCACACAGGAGGCAATCTGACCATCAACTGCAGGAAGTATACACTTACAGGAATAATTATCTTTTATAATAAAATACTGAACATTTTTTTTATGTGAAGTACTTTCACTTTACTTTCACCAAATTAAAAATTTAACATGGCACTGTATAACTGCAGTACTTTTTAATTGAAGAACAACACTGTAACTGGATGAGGTTGAGGAAGCAGAACTGAACCAGGGATTTGTCAAGAAAGTTCCCCGGGAAGAAACCATCATCTTTGAGGGTCTGAAGGATGTCCATACAAAACTGAACACTCTGTTTACCCAGGACCCACAACCACAGTTCTATGTGCTGATTGGCAGCACTGCATCTGTAAATGAAGCTCCCACCTCCTGCAAGATGGTCCATGTGATTTCTCTGCAGGAACATCTGTGGACAGCCTCCAATGCACATCACAGTATCAATGAAGTAGTCAGCTATTACCTTGGGTTTGCTGTTTGTGGTAAATGCCTCCATTTACAGTATAGGGCAGCACCAGGTACAATACTCAATCCATAATGACGGGTCTATTTGCCCTGATAGGGCAGCAACAGGTATAATTCCCAATCCATACTGACTGGGGGTCTGTTTGACTCACTAGGGCAAGGGTATACAGACTAGGTCTTTTTTGACCCTCTAGGGCAGCACAAGGGTTTGTAGCAATGCCATTTTAGCTTGTTATACAAATCCATGTGCCACAAGGTGTTGGGGCCTCTGCAAGTATACTGCCTGCATCAGAGATGTCGTGCTTGCCGGAGCTCGACTCCCTCTGGACCCAAAATCATGATGAACAGTTTGTTTCTTGGGATACCACAAAAGCCCTCTGAATGGCCCGCAGATGCATCCACTGGTGACCCTGCAGTTGACCCCCCCCCCCCCACGAAAGCAGTGATTTCCTCCAAGTCCATCTGTTGTTTTTTTTCTGCGTTTTTCTGCGGTTTCTTGCATATTCTTTTAAGAGTCTTAATACTTAAGATAATGGGCTCTATTTTCGTGTCCGCCAGTGAGGCGGCGTAGGGTGGTGGATCCCGCGCAGTGGTATTTTCCTCTGGCGGAGCCCAGCGTACAGCCAGTTTGGTATTTTCATGGACTGAGACGCACCGAAGTCTGCCAAGCTGGGGTGGCAAGGCAGGTGGAGGTGTCGACAGAATCAGCTGCCGCAGTGACATTTTCAAGTGCTGAAAGCTCGCCGATTCAAACCTGGTCAGCTTTCAGCGCAGGCGGAGCGCAGCTAATCTAGTGGTATTTTGGTAGACCGGCGGCGTATCGGCATACGTCACCCTTGCCTCACAGGCAGGTTTCCACAGTGTCAGGCACATTTCAGTGCAATTAATAACCATCAGCAACTAATAATCCGAGTCAGCACATACATTTAGATCTATAGATATATTCTAATCTATATCTGATCTGATGAGCGTGTTTGGCACGCGTTTGGACACACAACCTGACTGAATCAACACAGCTGAAACCGCATTAAATTAAATTAAATATCTAGTAAATAGACACACATGATGAAGTTACCAAGATATGTAATTCGTCTCCCTCCTTTTCTTTCTTCCTCTTATTTCTCACGCAGGTCGACCTGGACATGTCTCTGTGTCCTCTCCTCGTCCTGCTGTAGCTGCTGCTGCGGCAGGTGAAAAGATGATTGGTTACAGTGATCAGATAAGTTACTTACTTTAAGCCTACATACGAATATTATAATATTCAGTTTTTGAACCAAATTTATTTTATATGCCAACATCTATGAAAGAAAGACTCAGGCTACGGAGCACGATGCGTCATTACGCACAGATGGTTCCGATTTTAATGCCATTATTGGAATTTATGTTGTGATCTGTGCGCTCAACCCACCTTGAATATGAGCAACTTTATGTGAATGTCTTTATTTGTGGAAAAGGGTGTTTGTCTTACTTGTGGGTCCAACATTACACACACCAAATCCATCTGTGCTCATATGAGAGAGTGTGAAGGATGCCCTCTGCAGCGCTTACAATGACACTTGTTGAGGAGCTGCCTTCTGTCGCCATCTTGTGGCAATACTGTCTTCAGCCATCTCTTGAGCTCTTTGACTACTTCACGAAAATTGTAACACGCCTTGCCGGTGGCGGATTTAAAGGCGAGGAGAGGAGCTGACGTTATTGGTCAATACAGGTCCAGGCTGTGTTAAACCCACTCCACGCCCTCTCTCCTCCCTCGCTACTACTTACGCTGCTGGGAGGAGCTGAGTTAGGGAGGGGAGATACTTATGCCGGGCTGCGCCGCTCACCAAAATACCAAATTGTGCTTGGGAACGCCCTGTCGGCGTGGCGGACCTGACCGTCAGGTCCGCTGCGCCTGCACCACGTCTCCGGCGAGGCACGAAAATAGAGCCCAATGTGGTGCTGATGTGCCAAAAGATTAAGTATCTTCTTGTTTAATAAACCTTTATTGAAGGTCATTTTCACGAAATGCTCCATGGCTCTCATTTCATCAACTGGCATCTTAGAATATAAGTACTTTATTACGACTTTATTCTCCATCAGAGCTCCTCGACTTTGGAACGACCTGCCAGAGGAGATAAGGCGTGCAAAGACAGTCGCTTCTTTTAAGTCAAATTTTAAAAATCAATTTCACAGACTTGCTTTTATGTGATGCCGTCTTTTACCTTTTTTTTCTCCTTTTTCTTTTATCTCTTTTACCTCTATCTTACTTCAACTTGCTCTCCTTTTAGCCTTTGTTTTACTTATAATCTTTTCTTATTTTACCTCTTAGGTCCTTAATGGATTTTAATGTTTTTTTTATTATTATTCCATTTTATCATTTATATTACCATTATTATTATTTTATCATGATTGTATTATCATTATTAATATCCTCTTTTATACTTGCTATCCTGTTTCCTGCTTTCTGCCCCCCTTTTCTATTTCATTTCTTCTTCTTACCTATTTTATGTTTTTATTTTGGTCCTCATGGTCCCATTTTATGTTGTAGGATTCTTGTATTGCCTGGGTTTCTTATGAAAAATGAAACTGGCCTTCAACTCAGAGGCTTTGTTTTTAACTGAGCTTTTGTTTTGATTTGTTTTTATTTTCATGTGCTGATGTTCTGTGCTTGCAACTGTTGTCAAAGCACTTTGTAAATTTCTGTTTTTAAAGGTGCTATATGAATAAAGTTATTATTATTATTATTATTATCATTATAATAAGTAATGATATTATTATGACTTTATTCTCGTAAGTAATTACTTTATTATGATTTTATTCTCGTTAGCAATGACTTTAATCTCATTAGTAATGACTTCATTCTCGTATATTGACAACTTTAATCTTGAGGTCTAAATTTTTTTTCTTCATGCCCTTATGCTCCAGCATAATACTTAAATAACCAGTGGCCAGCTTCTGCTTGCATGATCTATGTTAATTGCTCTCTTTAAAACCTGTAAAGAGAAGTGGAAAATTGGACCCGTCATCAAAAGAGGTCACATTTTTCTTCACTCATACAAAGAGAAAACAGGCCATTTCTATTCATGATCAGCAATCTATCAACAAATATGTAATAAATGGACATGAGTTATGATGCCTGTCCGTGTGTCGGGATAATACCAGGATGGTGAACTACACTGGAGGATAAAGAATCAAGAAAAACTGTATTTTATGCTTTCAAATGTTTGACATACAGATTTCTATATGCAGTTCGGTCTTTGTCTTGTTGAAAGTAAAGCTAAAACTTCTAGGAAAATGCTGGTGCACTTGTACATAATGATTATTGTTTACATGTTGTGTACGTGCGCCAAGATGGGAAGCTACCTGTTGCTCATGTCTGCTCAATACTGCATGGTGTTTATGTATAAGGTTATTATTGTAATGTTAACAAAGAACCCTATTTTTACCTACCTACTAATCTCATCATACAGCAGGGTGAAGGAAAGTCAGTATCATGCTCAGTGGTTTTTAATTTCCACTCCATGACCAGTTTAGAAATCAGTGTATGTATTCTTCTTGCTTCAGCAGTCACCCAGTAACCATGCACATTGTTCTTCTTTAGTCTTCCTCCGACCTTCTGGCCTGGCACTTTCAACAGTTTCTGCATCGGTCAAAAGAACATTAAAAAGCCCTCTGATGTGGACAAGCATTTTTTTGAAAATAGAGAGAAGTGGCCCTTTAAAGCATTCACAAATGTGTTGCTATACACGCCCCTGGTCAGGACACATATTGATTATGTGTAGTCTCAGACCTAGCAACAACCTTGGATCTTGCAGAAAATGCAGAAAAGCTCCAGTTCCTTCAGACAGCTGTTAGACCTCATATCATTTCGTAAAAATAATTGTTTATTGTGATAAACGCATAAATAGGACAGTCTCAGAGGATGTACATGTTTTAGGGTAAACATTTAAACATTACAAATTCATCATTATGGACATTAATTTAACTGTGCACCCAACAAACAGTCAACGGCACAATACACACACACACACACACACACACACACACACACACTCACACACACACAGAAAATTGCTTGAATTTCACACACACTCCAACAAAAACAAATTGCATTATCATTTCACTGACACAAAAAGGACTTTTCCCCCTCATCACTGAGTACAAGAGGAAACTTTGGCAGAGATGGAGTGTGATGAGAGGAGTCAAGAGTGTGTCAGCTTCATTTAGGAACCTGACAGAACATGTAAACAATCCTGCCTTTCTGCAGGAGTGAAGCTTTGAACTGAGACAGACTTTGGCAGCTTTAGGGTGTGATAAAAGCTTTTACATCTTCAAATGTCAGCATTTTCAAAATACATTTGAAGTTTTTCTCCACCACACAAAAGACTTCATAAGTCAGCAACTGTTCTTATTTTCAAAGTCTGCATAAAAGATGGATGACACATCACAACCCAAATGTGAGGCCAACACATTTGATCATCCCCCACCTGACCAGCTACAGTAAACAGTGTTTCCCAAACAAAAGCAATGCCTGGTTGTGCTGCCTGGTTTTTGTTTGTGGTACATTCTGGGGACATTCACCAACCATTTTTAATGTTTGATATCCTTGTTAATCATGTAGATGAGCTCTTGTTTCTCTGTGCTCTTTATGGCTGATCATCTGCAGTCATGCCACATCGCTTTGTGTTTTGCATTGTTGTCTCTATGTCCACTATGTTGCTGGAAAACAAATGATTACAGGAAAAATGCATTTGGTATTTTTTCTCATAGGGAAAACCCATAGACTGTATATACTATAGACAACCTGGTTCCGCCTTCCGCCTGTATACGGATTTGAAGCCAAAAAGCTCTCGGTAATTCTGGGTTTTTCTCCACTTCCTTGAAACCAGCGCTGCACATTAGCGATGCGCGCATTCGGCCGCGCAGTCGCCGAGAGTCCCTGTGATGATGCTCGGCTCAAACAGCGTATTCCCCCGGGTGAGCTACGCAATCCCTGAACGCCCATAGGCTGTACCAGGTGTCAATCATAGAAAACATGAACCCCCTAATAACTTTTAAAAACGGAGCTGTACAGAAAAAAAAGGACTTGGGCACAAACCAGTCTTACAATAACTACATGTCAACATCACAAGCAGGGGGGAGAAAAATTTATGTTCTGTGTAATAAATTTCTAAAGTTTGTCCACAGTCCCATAAGCTTTGCTGGCGGAGGCGGGATTTATGACCTGTACTGCAGCCCGTCAACAGAGGGTGCTGTTCTCGGAGTGGCTTCACCCAGCGAGGAGGCAGACTCTGTCCATCTTATATACAGTCTCCCCCCATGTATATGCAACATTTGAGTGTTCTTATTTTTAATAAATTTGCAAAATGTTCTTAAAAAAGTTTTTCGCTTTGTCATTATGGGGTACTTTTTTGTAGAATTTGGGGGGTAAAAAGGAATTCAATCCATTTTGGAATAAGGCTGTTACATAACAAAATGTAGAAAAAGTGAAGTGGTATGAATACTTTCCAGATGTACTGTATGTTTGTGATGAGAAAAAAGTCAGCTAAAAACAAAGCACAGGTATTGTTTCAAATCTTTTATAGAGTTAACAGATGAAATGATATAGTTTAATTACTACCAATAGGTTTTGAATAAGACCATCATAAAATATAAAACTAATATAGGTCACAAATCCCACCTCCTTCATGTTAACAGATGGGACATAGGTCAGACTGAATAAAAGTAAATCTGCCTCAAATAAATATTCAAATATGATCTTAGTCTTTTGATATGTTCTCACAATGCTGCTTTAACTTCCCTTTTTTTTTAACCAAATTTAGTTTGACTGTGTTCATTGAGCTGTTACTCTGTGTCTTTGTATCAGCAGAAGGAGGAGAGGGGACAAGACAGACCAGATCCAAATTCCACCACAATATCTAGCATGGATGGTATTTCAGCTTCACTTTTGTAAAACAGGAGAGGTGGAGACAACATCCAGCTTTTTGTCCAGTCAATGAGCAGCTCAGTGGTATTAAAGTTTCATGTTGACAGAATGATAAATGAATGAATTAAACCAAATGCACAGTGAAGGAACCACAATGTAGATGCTATTTAACAACCACAGAGAGCTAAAGCTGTTTAAAGTCAGTGTACAAGAAATGATCACATCTCTTTCTTTTACCACAAACATCCACCACGGATACATAGCGCCGGCACAGGTCAGATCTCACTCTCATAGGTGTGCATGTATGTCTTCAGAGAGAGGATTTCAGCATAACTCCGGTTGGTTCTGCGGTACAGGTCCAAACCTGTAAGGATCTCTACATCCCTGACTCGAGCTGTGTGCATCTTCATCAGGTCCTCCACCCAGCGAGACTCCTCCTCTGAGCTCTTCAGGAGGCACAGAGAAGTAAAGAGGTGTTACCTTAGGTCTCCCCCTCTGAGACCCTCCATCACCTCCAACATGGAGGACTTTGGGCTCTGAGGAACCCCTTTGACAACGTTTCTGCTCTAAACATTCACTTAAAACTGGAACTTGGGCATTTAAAGTTTTACAGAAATGAAGACATTCATTAAATCTCTGCATGCTCTGAGCTTGTCCAGATGAATCTCATATTGGCTAGATGATACAAAAATGAGTCCCTCCCTTTATTAGGTTCATAGAAAGCCATTATGCAAATAAAGATGTTATATTGCTTACATTGCAGGTCTCGTCATTGGTGGGTCTGTGAGGTAGGATGAAGGCAGCGCTGCTGAGTGGGCCATTACATGAGTTTGCAGCTTGTGTGAAGTCCAGGCAGCTGGTCAGGACCACAAAGTAGTGTGTGGGGATGGGTATCAACCCACTGACATACCTAAAGAGAAAAATCAGGTTTTAATTCCAGGATCTCAAACAAATGAAGCTTTTTTTCCCTTTGATTTTTGTCTGTTTTATGAAACCAAGATTTATCCTCATAAACAACTGAAATCTGGTTATTTCTGGGTACAAATAACTCAAACTTTACCCGCAGAAATGATCATGTTCATGTCTTTCTACAGCTTTTTAAGTGACCATGTGTTGACTCCTTTACATTGTTGTCAGCGTTTGTGGTGTTACTGGCTTGTTGGCCAGTATCGCTTGATCACTTGAACAGGGCTGTAACTGCCACAGACAGTCAGTACAATTACATGACACTTGAGAAAACCAAATTATTGCCTTATTCCGATTAAGACTGGACAACTGAAGTGCATGTAAACACCTAAGTCCAACTATAATCGGAGTTTGAGAACTCCGATTGGACTCGAAGAACTCCGATTAAGACACCCAGATAATGTGACTAGAATTCAATTTTCTCTACCATGTAACCAGCGTAGTCGGAGTATGATCGGACAATGCATGTGCGCAACCTGCTTTGTTTTTGCACCATCCTTTCTGCAGCACATTCATGTTCTTCTGCTCGCACCACAGTAATCAGCTGTTTATCACGGCGGTGTAACATTAGAATCCCGGGGGTGCCTGAGACGCCTGGATCGAGCTCCACGACATCGGTCTCAAAGCTGCTGCAAGAAACGCTGCAGCTGGACAGAGATGTGCTCACTGATCACTCACACATAAGTCTGGCTCCAATAAAACCCAGCGGGAAACCACTAACAATAGTTGCCAAAGTTCACTATTTCCAAGACTGTGTTAAGGTACTGACCCGGGCGCGCACCCATGCGCCACTTTAGCCGTTGCCATCTTCCCAGAATATACCGGAAGAGTCGCCAAAGCCAGAGCCGCGTTCACTGAGGTCAGAAAGCTGCTCCACAACTGCCAGAACGTCTGGTTTGGCATACTGTTTCCAGCCCGTCTCCGTATTACACATAACGGAGAAGAAAAGGAATTCACTGATGCAGAAAAAGCATCAATGTGAGGAACCACATCATTCTTGCAGAGAAGCTTGAGTTTTTCTCAAAACATTTGGTGCAGTGGATGTATGGTGGTTTCGTGATCCCACTGCTAGAGCACACCCTTTTTACTCTCAAATGCATAAGAGCTATTCTCGCATCTTCCTGGATAAAAGACTTCTTTCTTCTGTAACTAAGTGTGATTATGAAGCTAACCACGAAAATCAGCATTCATAACACACAAACTAGCTACTGCCCTTAGAGACTAAATCCTCTTCTCTTATCAGAAGAGTCTTTTACCAACTTTATTTCATCTGAAATAAAAAATCTTCTTGATACTAATGAAACGCAAGGAATGTCTTATTTAACTATATGGGAATCTTTAAAAGCCTATCTTCGAGGCCAAATCATTTCTTATTGAATAGGAAGAAAACAGATACAGTGCAGCTTAAAGAGCTAACAAATCAAATACTGAAAATAGATATGTTATACAACCATCAACAATCTGCTGGCATAGCAAAATAAAGTCTGTCTTTGCAGACCGAATTCGATATCCTAAGAACACAACAGGCTGAATATCTCCTCTCTAAATCTCCAAATCCAAAATCATCAGCTACGACAAAGAACTGCCAATCAGACTATACCTGCAATCAATGATGAACAAGGTTCAACGTGTACAGATAGCCTCAAAATTCACTTCTGTTTTAAATTTCTATCAGTCACATCAGGATTTCCAACTACACCCTCTGTGTTGGAGGATTTTCTAAGATCCCTACATGTTCCATCTGTAGACCCAAGCATAGCTGATTCATTGGGGAAAGACTTCTCAGCCCTTGTAATAATATCTGCAATCAGGTCTATGCAGAGTGGCAAGTCCCCACGGCTGGATGGGAATCCAACAAATTCTTCAAAAAATTCTCAGACCAACTTGCCAAGTTACTAATGTCAGATTTAGAAGAATCACTTTCACTTAAGAACTTGGGCTCAATTTGGCAGTTGACCTGCCTTTTTTTGGGGGGGGATTTACGGTCCTGCTCTGTTGGACTTTTGTTAAATGTAAACTATTATTTGTAAAACTAAATAAAAATATCTTGATCAAAAAAAAAGGAAAACCTGAACATAACGGACTTTTCAAATGAAGTTTTTGTCTCTGACAGTTTTTTATGGCTGTATTGCACAAGCCATAGGCTGCAAAATAAGTCTAACGACATGACAGTATCCATATAATGATGCTCAGCACTTTCTGCTTGACTTTATACCAAACTGTCAGGTAAAAATATTAATACTTATAACATATTTGCAGTCTGAAAGCTGAATGAAATATGAAGTGAAAACAGCATTCTCACTCTCTTATTTTCTCAGCTGAGTCCCTGACACCATCGTAGTCGTAGTCAAATATGGGTCCGATCAACACATTCACCCCGTTTCTCTCAGTTGCAAATTTCTTCACCAGGACTCTCTGAAAATATCCCCATATTCCTGAGAGAGAGGGTAAAAGGACAGGGTAGAGGTTCAAACAGAAGAAAAATGTCAGAGGATGTGTCCCTCATGGTTTGAACATGTGAAGAAACCACTGTTGGACTTACTCTTGAATGCAGGATACATGGGGACAGTATTGGTGATGAGGACAGCATCATACTTTTTGTCTACGGTTGAGGACAGTTCTGCAAAAACATAAAACAAATTTATGTTCTGAGGTATCACTTGTGGATCAAAATTGAGTAAAATGTCACTTTAACACTGTGTCCAAACAGCATGCAGCACAAATGAGCAGCAGTGACAAAGTCAGCTGGAGTCCTAACTGCCCCTGAGCGATATAACCCCACTTTGATCCCGTTTCTGTTTTGTGAGTTTAGATGAGGAGTTACATGAATGATATTTTGCAACAGTAACCTTAACAAGGTCACAGCCAGCTGAAAGGACATTTCAAAGGAACTTTCTGATTTTCATGTCTGGAGAATATAAACTCAACATACTGAGAAACTAAGTTTATTCAGACAAAGAATGCATAAAGAGCATAGGCACCTCAACAATTACACGAGTGGAATTAAAGATCAACCTGATAATCAGGATCAATATCAATATCAACATGGGGCCAATGTGAGTCTAGGAAAACGACTGTTGTGATTTAGATTTATAAATAAAGACAGACAGACAGATTAATAATTAATAATAATTAATAATTCATTAGTTAGCCAATCAGCAAAATGTTTATTTTTTTTGTTGGAGGATGATTCTAGGAGATGTACTGTATATCTTCTAGCTTTGTTGATCTGGTCCAATACATCACAAAGAAGTATTTTCTGACAAAACATATCACCCTGTTTTCTACAGTCACATATACGCGTCTCTTATTAAAAAACGTTTCTGATGAAGTGTACAGACAGGCTGTTTTTACTAAGGGGGCTATCAGTTATTATCTGGTCTGCCCCCTACCTTCCCCTCTTTGCATTAGTTCAGACAGTTTGGGGTTGAAAATAGCAATTCAATCGATTTCAATCTGTTTCACGTTCAGTTAAAGAAAATAACTTCATAGCAGCATTTAGACAGAAAGAATGAAGTACAAAAATACCTTTTGATCACTTTCAGGGCCAACATTATGGGTTGGTTTGTAGAAAACTAAAAAAAAAAAAAACTAAAAAAAAAAATTCCCCTGATCTGATTTTCAATTTTTATGGTAAGTGCTGTGCAGTCACACTCACGGGGTGGGTAGAGGAAGGCATAGGTGATCTGTTTGTCTGCTCTGTAGTTGGTGCAGGACTGACTGTAGGCTGGAGGGACTCTGGTGTCTGGTCTTACACAGTTAGACAGAGCTTCAGGCAGAGGAGACACTTCTACCTGCACAAACACAAACACAAACACACACACTCTCAGAATGAAATGATACATTTTCTGCAGAATGAAAGAGGTGTTGTAGAAGAAAGCAGACCGTCTTCTGCCAGTAGGGGGTGCTCTGGGCATAGAGAGTGCTGGGCCAATAACCTGCTTATCCACAAAGACTTGAAGTAAGAAACAGACAGTTTTCTAGTGCTGACTGTGACATCTGTGCAGACATGCTTCAAACCTGCCTCTCCCTTCATAGCCAGTAGGGGGAGTCTTTACTGGTTGAAAAACCAACAATATTCTCAGGTAATTACTACATAAAACCTACTCTGGAGTTTTACGTTCTCAATCTGTAGAGGAAAAATGTCCGTCGACGAGTATGATCATGATTTTTGTTATTTCAAACTACATTAAGCAGGTTCAGAGTGAGCACAGACCAAAATTTCAGTAATGAGACATGGTCCATAGAGTGAAACCAGATCTAAATGTCCAAGACTAAATTTCAACAAGTATTCCACTGGTTGAAATACAGTCTCAACAACTTAGTCTTAACGATTTGATACTTCCACCTTTTTAGAAATGAAGGGGATGGAAATGATCGCTCTAGTAAGGCTCTCCGATATAATTTTCCAGCAGCAGTGTAAAAGCGTTTGATGAAAAAACTCACTTTAATGATTTCTTTTTTCATACAAAAATCATTAATACTGCACTTCATTGGCTGTGTGATGTTAACGCGGTAGAGAGACATCATACAGGGAGCGGTTTCAATCAGTCTGCACAATGGAAAGAGAAGAAAACTCACCCATAAGCTACATAACTCAAAGACCCCTGTATCATGTACAGAGAGTTGCTGAGTGCTTTAATCCTGTCTTCAAAGTTGACTGAGATGCCAGGCTGACTTTCACAATCACATTACACATGAAACATGAAAAACAGCTTGTAAATCAGCATTTACTCATGTAAATGTGATGAATCTTGAGATGAAAGCCTATTTTTCTGCGACATATCATCTGAACACAAAAGTTGAATCAAACTCTACAAAAAGACTTCATCTCATGAATAAGTTTCCTGTGCTTTCTCAATAGAAAACATCCGAGGGGGTTAGATGAAGAACATAATATTTGGTAAATGATCAAATGATTAACATTTTCAATCAGATTAATCACAGGGATGCTGTGGATTCATCTGATTAATCGCGATTAAATTTCATGCATTTTTAATCTATATTTAGCGTGTTTTATTTTGCATAAACAAAGAGACACAAGAAAGAAGGGAATATGTGCACTTAACGGGTTAATTAAACACCTTTGCTCTGCATTAATGGGGTATTTTGAGCTGGAAGTGGTTTGGTGAAAAGCAAACTCCTTCCTGCAGAGTTTGCAACACTTTATAACAGTTGACTGTTCCTTCATGGGTTTTTCAACTCAAATTACCATGGAATTGGAGAGGGCCAACAGGCTGTTCAGTGTCTTCCATATTGACAGGGCTCGAGACTGTGACCAAAATCGCATATAAGACCTTTTTTTCCGGTGTGCAACGAAGAATTTAATCTGGTCGCGTTCATGCACATGCATATGTTTCTATCCTCACTCTAACACAGACCCTGCTGTAGACAATGTGGTTGAAGTCCGTCTCCTCCACCTGTACTCTCTCCTGTTCTGAGGAAAGAGAGCGTATATTCACATCACACATCAAGGACAAACAGACCTCCACAAATGAAGTGGTCTAACACTGATTATTTTTAAAAAAAAAAGAAAAAAAGGAGGGGAGACAGGAGGAGGGTGGTGGTAAGGGTGAGCCAACAAAAAGTGCCAAATCAGACGGTACAGATGATGAAAAGGACATGGCTGAGCAGCAGGTGAAGAAAAAAAAATACTGCTTTTAACCACGATGGCTTACGCAATACCTGTGGGGAAAGCTATGTTGTGTGTTCATTGTCGACAGTGTGGTCCATCTTTTGCAGGCAACTCTTCACTTGAAAAGTGAGTATAGAGCCCTGATTGAGTTGTTTGGTTCTGCAGCCCATAGAAATATATGGAAGACTTGATAGACCAGCTGCATGCCTATGTGGCAGTCATCTTGGAGGGGGCAACATTTTCATTAAAGGAATTAGATGTACAATTTAAATAAATCACAACTTGCTCATTTCTTGACCAATTCTCATGCGGTTTACTTTATTGCCGATGCCAAAACATGTGCAATAAATACAGAACTTTTGATTAAACTTCTTTTTTTTTTTTAATCAAATGCTCTGTACTAATAGCACGTTTTGGCATTGACAATAACATGATCCGCATGAAAATCAGTTGAGAAATGAGCAAGTTATGATTTATTTAAATTGTACATGCATTGAGATTAATTCAATGATGCCCCTGCCAAGATGGCTACCAGGAAGGCACACAGCTCAAAGGGACATGTCATATCTGCTATTCATTTCTATCTATCTATTCAGCCTATGACTACCAGATCAACTACCTCTTTGTAAATGTGCAGCAATAACACTACTTGGACAAACTGCCTGAAGTGGGCTGCCAGAAATGTTTCAGGGAGTTTGAGTCATTCTGCACTACAGATAGGTTAATTATGTAAAAATTTTAATCAGATTGATCATTGTGATGGAGTAATCCACGCTAACATGTTCATTTTGACAGCTTTTAATATTCAGTAAATATCTTATCAAACACTGTTAATTCAGTACTGATAAAATGATTTAATCATACAACATGACAACAGCAGTGGCCAGTTTAATCCTGGCTGCCATGGACAAAATAGTGATACCACCCCAAGTGTCTGGAGCAGAGTTATGAAGCCTATCGAAAGTAGACGCCATGTTGAAAATGCAGACTCAACCAAACTTTTAGACGGCCTAACTTCAAACACAGAGACAGGCCTTTAGCCTCCTTGCTAACTGCCACTGATTGTTCGTCTGTTTAAAATCTGCTGAGAGGAACTTTTGTTTAGTGTTGATTTTGGTGCCCCCTGTGGGCAAAGACGCACAGCTGATCATTTTGCTTAATCTTGTCCTGTACAGGGTAGAGTGGTTTTCTGACAAGACATCTCATCCTGCTTTCCTTCAAGGACCAAATATGTGAACATTTGCGGCTGAAAATGTAAAAAAAATGCTATTTCTTTCTTTCTTTAATATCAGCTTTGACATCAACCCCCTCGACACTGTTCTAAAATTATGCTATTGAAATTCCGAAGCTTGTTGATTTGTTTTGTTTGCTGTTATGGTTCATCAAGAAACATCAATATCAGTTTCAGTCTGTTTCACAACCAGTTAAAAACTCCCTACAAGACTTTTAAGATCGGTCATGCCCCTAACTATGCAAGACCTGTAGCCCTCATATCTACAAGATGAATTACCCCTGTATAATGTGAGGGAATTGAAAAATATCTACCTGTCTACTGACGGTGTATGACGTCCAGAGAGGCATGGAGAGAGCCTCGCTGTAGCCGCTGATGTAATTGCTGTGGTGGAGGATGGAGTATTTGGTGCGGAAGAGTACAGCAGGTCGACCATGTGGGAGGTTCCTGCTGTCTGAGAGGGGAAGAGCACAGGGAGACACAGACACAGACAAGACATGCTTAAAAAACACTGAAATCCTGTCTGGATCATGATGCTTTTGGCCAGAGGACATTTTTGAGAATGTTTAAAATGTGAAAAGAACAACTGTACATATTACAAAGAAAACACCGCCAGGAAGTCTTATGGGTCTACAGTATATCGGCTGTGATAAAAAGTGCTCTATCAGTTGAAATTGTTCCTTTTATGACATCACCATAACCACATTTGGATCCTACAAGCTTGTATAGATAGTAAAGATCACTGAACCTCAGTGATCTGAATCAATCTTAACTTATGTTTAGGAAAAACAAAAAACATTTCACAGCTGTTTTAGCCGATAAATGAAATTAAGTTGTTAACAATTTAAACTTATTTCTTGTGTTAAAAATTTCTGGTGGAGCTGTGTTTTTTTTTTAAACCACTAACGGGTTTAGAAAGCCTGCCAACATCACTAAAGAGGCGAATACAAATATCATAGTCTTTCCCAAAAAGCCACCAGACTCCTGACAAAAGCAGTGATTTGACTTTGCTGTTTTTATGTCTATATCATGTCCCTGATTTCCTATGCCTTAGTTTCATGTATACATCATCTTACTGCCTTCACCCTCTGGATTCTGCTGGAGCCTCAAATTTAGTACAAACCTTAAGACCATGACTCACCGCTGCTCTATGTATGCTTCATGCATTGTCTACATACATTTACAATTCTTTTATTTGCTTCTCCTTTATTAATATCTGGACATATTTTTGCTTCTGGTCTCAATCAAGTGTCTTGAAATAGGTAAAAAGAGTTTCAGGGGGTTCCTGCAGGAGAATTTGGGTCTGAAGGAGCTGCTCTCCTTCAATGATTTTATTTAAAATTTCTATCATGTGACCAAGATTATATTCTGTACATCTGTAAATTTAAGAAATGCTGCTGCTGCGACTCTTTGTTGGGAAACTCTGAAGAAAACGATTTTTTAATCTCAGTGAGGCATTCCTAGTTAAACAAAATTAATAATAAAAAAAAAAAAACTAAAAATTGAACAACAGAAGTATTTAGGCCCGTGGTACAGTTCAAACTCTCATGTTATGTCTGGTGGTTTTAAAGATAGCAATATTGTGATGAATAGTGAAGGGTTTTTTCCAAAACAATACAGGTCTTTGTCTGAAGGGATCCTTCTCAAAATGTGGTCAGGCTCCAAGTCAAACCAAGTGAAACAGTCAGCAGCAAGAATAAGAATTTATAGTGGTAATACTCTTATAATACTTTCATTACAATTTATTTCCCTGGTGCCAGCTGATCCAGGTGTTTACTCATTCAACCTTTAACTGCACAGCAGAATCACATAGGGAACAGGAATAAAAAAAACCACAACATTTCCTATGGCTAAAATGTGACTTGTTTAAGAAATATAGCAGCATCACGAAACACTGACCATCAATGGCTTGCCTCAGTCGCTGGTTTAGCTCGTCCACTTTGTTCTGTAAGAGACAGAGCCAGAGTGACTCCAGGTTATAGCCTCGTACAAGGGTCACTTTCAAACCTCTCTGGCCCCTACTTTTTACACGCAACTGCAAAAAGATTGGAGATTGAAACAATCTCTTGCCAGAGATCCACATGGGAATCACAAACACATTGCAGATGAAGAGACACACTGGAGAGGAGAGCTGGAGCCAACTCACTTACAATCCAAGCAGTTCAGGAGCTCAGTTTCAAATGCTCCAGTACCAGAACATGTGGTATAGCTTTTGTTTAGCAGGTTTTCTACAGGCTAATCTGAATCAATTGACTTGGAGGTGAGGAGTCTCCAGCTCTGCAGCAGAAAGCAAAGAGGCAGCAAAGTTATTTCAGTTCATGTTGAAGCTGAATAGGAGATAAGAGGTGATTAGACACAAGTTTAAAGTTAAACATGCTTGTTCAAACACACAGGCACACTTAAATCATCATTTAATCATGGGTGACACTCCCATGGAGATGATGCTTTTCCCAGATCTGTTGATTAAACACAAATTATACTGCACTGCAAGAGAAAAGTTAGTAACCCCTGTCAGTCACTTGTGCTGCTGCATGTGTGATGTCAAACACGGTGATGTCTATTCATACTACAATCAGTTTGACCTAGTTATGATTATGAATGTGGCTGGGAGCTTTTCGCTGAATTTAGGCACTCAAATCAGATTTCACTGCCTATTGTGAGACATCATATAATTGGCCCTTTTAAAGTCCAGCAGCACTTAAACTTCCCAGCACTGCAAAAACTCAAACCTCAGCGAGAGATATTGTCTTCTTTTTAGTAAAGGTGTTATACTGGTCTGGATTCAAGTCAAATTTCAAGATATTACATGCCAGAAATGAGAACTTGGTCGGCTTGCAAAACATCAAACTTTATGGGCCCTGTGTAAGCAATCTAAGACGCAAGAGTGAATTAGGGCCTGTCCAACCACATGTTGCTAGTTCACCTGAGCATGGTTGGGGTGCTCAGTGAGAAGCAGGGTGCAAAGAGGTCATATTCGGTGCCGGTCTTATTTGCTTTGAGAGCGAGAGAAATCTGCAGACAGGGTTGTTGTTATTTACACAATTGTGACTTAGTGACAAGAGGCAAAAACATATAAATGTCACTGCGGGAGTCATATTAATGTATGGATTGTTGTTATACCCACTGAGACAAACAATCAGGGACTTTTCACAATAGCAGGCATGTGTACATTTATGCACGAGGCAGAGCACTACAAACTGATGAGTTCATATTTAAAGCCACCAGACTCCACTGATAAATACATTCTCCTTTGCAGACCAAGGAGTTCATTCTACTGCATGGTTGGCTTTTTTGTGTTGATGTGAAAAAACTGTGATCATGTGAAGTCACAAATTAACACAAAAAACAACCAGAAGAGGTTGCAATGAACTAGGAACTCCTGTTATCTGCTAGGTAAAATGACTGTTTTTGTCAGGACCCTCTGATGGCTTTGAAGAGAAAGAAACAAATGTTTCCTGTAAATACAGGACTTTTATCCTTCAAAGATATTCTCTCCATACTGTTGCCTCCGTGAGGAGGCCCTCCTTGGCAAAAGTTTCCAGGGAATTACTTTGTTGCCAAAATACAGTATGGTAAGATAACTTTGTTACTGTTTTTTAAACAAGACTTCATGTGCTCAGGACATATTCAGTAACAACAATAAATATATCAAACAGGGGGTTTTGAAGTCAAAAACCAGCCTTAAGTTCATGGAAAATTTCAATTAAGAAGCTCAACTCAAGAAACTGAAGGTTTAGTTGTGTTAGCTCCATCAAAATTTTTCTTTAGTTATTACAGGTAATTCAGGTCTATATTTTTGCCTGTAATATCATAACATGAGTAAGATCTATTTCTGGACTTGTCAGGTGAATGTGGCCTAACAAGATTTCTGAAGTGTTAGGAAGAAAAACACATGCTCAGTGTCCATCAGTTATTAAGTCACAAAGTAGGTAAAAAGAAGGACCCATGTTTCTGATTTACTTCTGTTGTCTCAGGGTAAACCACGGTTCAGAGACTTGAATGGTTTGCATATTGCCAGCATCACAGTCAGGTTAATCTGAGGTACCTGAACTGGGCAAGGGTCTGATTTGGCCTCTAGGAGACAATTAAGGGTCCCATAGATTCAACTTGACTGTGAGTACAGAGGAGGGAACTGTAACGACAGATGCAATTCTAACAGTCATGATATACAGGAAAATGTTTGCGAACATATCGACTGGGAGTTTACTGAGGTTTAATGTAAAAAAAAAAAAAAAAAAAAGGCTGATAAATACGTTATAGTAGTTGTAAGATTCACTAAAAGCTGCTGTGTGACTGTGTTATCTGTTAGCACTAAACAGCTCATGACAGCAAAACTGCTCTGCTGCATAAACTCAGGAAGTGGTCCATGCATGATAATAAATAAGAATCACAGTACACATGAGAGACATGGCCAGAATCAGGGATTGGCTTGTTGATTCGCTTACCTCTGAGTGATATAGACATCCATTAGATACCATCCTCATCCATTTTGTCACTGTTAGTTTCAGAACTACAAGCAAATTAAGGTTTTTCACAGTATGTCAAGAGAAATCTATCAGCCTATCCTCACTGAAAAAAATTACCTTCTTTCTCTCAAGCATAACCTTGATGCCAATACACTGATTTTCTCCTCGTGTTAACATGAGGAATGGGGGTGGCAACTGCAAAAACAAGGATCTCAATGCCCTCCTATACTAACTCTATGACCTTTGACCTCAGTTAGTTAGTCAGGTCACATGAAATGAACCCTTACCAAAACGACAAGAAAAAAGGAAACTTAATCACAATAGAGACTGATATCTTTGACACAAACTGCACAAACTGAGCAGTGAAGGAGCCCATTTCTTTACAACTTCATCCCAACATCTGAACTCAACAAAATATGACATAAACTGCCATATAGCATGTTAATGACAAAATGGGGTATATGGGCAGCAAGAGCCAGTACGTCTACGAGGACTCCTTGTCACTGGTGTGGAAATAATCATCCTCAGCATTATAGCCCACCCAGAAAGAAAACACAGCTTCTATGAGGCTATTTGAATCAGCTCTGGTGGTGGAGTAACCACACTGGCATGTATGAAACCACTCCTTGTCCTCATTTGAATCTGCTTCCTCCTATGCTGTTGTGGTTTTGCTGTAATGTGCAGAATAAAGATGTCAGAGGTTAAAAACCAGACATGCCAGCTGCTCTGTTGTTGGTCACAAAATGAACACAAATGTCTATTCTGTCCTAACACCAGAGGATTGTGAAAAAATGTGTAGTTAAACTCTAAATCTAGACGAAAATACACCCTGAAATAAAAGACCTGGTAGATAAGACAAAAGTGCCAAGAGTCAATGCAGAAAATTAGACGAATGCTATCTCTTTCTCATCTTTACTTCATGTTTAATCAGACTGTGTGACCGTTTCAGGTGTAGTATTTCAGCTGCAGCTCTGATGGAATGGTAGGCCTACTTGTGAAAATAGTTTAAAGAGAGGGTCATAAAGGGAAGCACTGATAGAGGAATATCAGTACTACAACTCTTTTCAATATGAAGCCATCTTGTATTTATGTCATCTGATAACCATATTATCATTGCGCGTCACGACACCAGGATGATGTTGGTGTTCACATCACTATTTAAGGTCAGCTGAAAGACAAGCCAATCTCCTGAAAACTGGGTTGGTTTTGTAGCAGTTGACAGGAAGCTGGTCTCAGGTCTGCCACTGAGTCATCATGGCTGACCTTGTCGTCACAGCTGCAGCCCAGGTCATCTGTCCCTGCAGGAACAAGACCAGAGGCTGCTGGTCTGGAGACCTCCTCTGGAATATTGGGTCTGTACGGTGGGCCTCTCAGCAGGTGGTTCAGACTGCCATGGGTGCCATTATTGGGAGCTGGTTTTAGACCCAAGAGATCTGAGAGAAACCATAAAACTGTCAGGCTTGAGAGTTCATTGAAGATGTCATTATTAAATCAACCTTTTATGTCCATGCGATGGAGTTCAAAATAAGTCTGGGTCTGCAATCATACTTACGTTATTTTTGATTTATCGCTTTTAGTCATTTGTGAGCTTTGTCTGGCAAAATATTTCTATTTACTTGAGTGCTTCCACAAAGTATTACCTTTTGTGCACTAAGCAGCTTCTGTATCTAGGGTTACTGTTGCTCCTCGCGTCCGTTCATCATTGCCAACTATTAATGCTAAATGTAAGTTTTGTGAAACATGTGGTGGTATTTTTTTTTCTATTTACCATGAAAATTGCAAAGCTGTAGTTTCTGGTTTTCTCCATTAAGTGTTTATTGTACTACATTATCCGACTGTTTGGTTTCACTAACTGATATACAGAAATTGAGATAGTGTTTTAAAACAAGGTTTTAACTCGATACGATTTGCCCCCTGTGTCACATGGCTAAAGTACTGCTGCAGAGATCTGTAGAGTAAAATCTAGTAATTTTACTAGATTTTACTAGATATTAATCTAGTAAAATTTATGTTGTTATTGTTGAGACATCTAATAATATTTTTTCCCCTTTGTCTACTAGGTGTCACTGTTGTATCTCTTAATATATCTAGTATTGATAAAATATCGCCAAAATTCAATGTAATTTAGATGTTTACAGTCATTTTGGTTACTCTTAGCATTTAATGCATAAAGTGAGTTAAATTACATACTCAAGTATAATTTGAATGTGTTAATATGTATTGATTAAATGAAATTAGCTCGAGACGGCTGGTTTAACAATGGTGAGAGGGCAGCAGTGCGGAAACTGACACAGAATAATGCTGGAATTGTGCCCGGTCATTTACATTGCATCCGAACCTAAACATCCATACACTCCTGTAAACAAACACATGCATTCAATAATGCTATGCATACATCACATGCTAAGAGATGAAACCTGTCTTACCACACATGACATTGTAAAGCTCAATGTTTTCAAAGGCTGGAACTTTAGTCTTGAATTTAAAAGTGGGTCCATATCCTAAGAAAATCGTCTGAAAAACAAAGTTATATGTAAAATCCAATCCAAAAGTATATCACAGAAAATGTTGAACAACTCTGTTTGGTAGTATTAAATCAGAGCTCTCAAAGAGAGAGAGCCCACAGTGAAAGGCAATATTGTTTTATATCACAAAGTCTGCTCAAAATCAAGAGTACCTGCATGCTGTTGATCTTGTTATCGTATCCGTGGTCACCAGCGAAGCCACAGTGCCTCCTGCCTTCAGGGACTCTCCTGTATTCAATGCAAAGGTCAATATCTTAATGATGCAAATTGATACTTACACTCACAAACTTAAATTGAAAAGCAAGTTTAACTTACTCAGGGTATCTTTTGCTCACCTGGTTTTATTTACATCAAAAAATTAATGTGTGATATGGATGAAGATGGTAATTCACCTGTTGGGTCAACCCACGACTATTGGTTTTTATTTATTATTTAATTTCACCAGAGGGAGGCCTCAATGAGATTAAGAATCTGTTTTCAAGAGTGGCCTGGCCAGGACAGCAGCAAAACTGCAGCAGCAGTCTTGGCCAAATTAAGCAGCAGCTATTTTCCAGAATCATCCAGAATTAAGAATTAATCAAAGCATTTGCATTCATATATGGACAAATATTCCATCAGCAGATCATCATTAACTGTCATGTTTGGCAAATATAAAGAAATTAAACACAAACCCCAGACCAAGATTAGCACAGTTGCAGGAAAAAGGCAGAAACAATTGCTGAGGATGAATGACTAAAGCTAAACCTATAATATTACTTTCATGTCATTACTGCTGTAATTTATTATTGTGATGTGTACAACAGTTTTGACAGGTTATCTTAGCTGTAGCATTGATAGTGACAAAAATAACAATTTGGAGATATAAATATTTCTCTGGTCCCTGCTCTCCTCCTCTTGCTCTTCTCTCTCCTCCTCCTGCTCCTCTTCCTGCTCTCTTCTTTTTTCCACCTGCTCCTTCTCCTCCTACTGCTCCTCTCTCTCTCTTTGCTGTCCTCTCTCCACCTGCTTCTCTCCCTGCTCTCCCCTCTCCTCCTCCAGGCAAACATTAACAGCATTTGCAACTTCCCGGTACTCCAAATCTTATCTTTTTAATGCTCTGAGCTGATAATAATGAAGTGAAAATGAGAGTTATTTGAGAGCAGGGGCAGGGCACACAAAACACCTAAGAGACCTAAGAGCTGGCCACACACTAGTCCACCTGTTGATGTCCCACTTCTTCAGGTGGGACAGTATCTCAATGCCAGAGGGGCCAACCTGCCACATGTAGGGCCATGACTCTGTTGATTCATGTTGTGACAACCTCAAACTGCAAAACAAATAAAGGAACAGTATAACATGTATAACGCATTGGTGCAACATGCAGCATAACTGCAGGAGGTTGTCGACGTTCACTTGTATGAGCCCTCAGCTCAGGACAACCATCCCCTCAGACAACTTAACCACAGTCCTCTGAATGAAAAACAGCCACTTCTAATTAAGTGTCCATTTAAACACCACTTCCAGTTATACACCTTGATTAACTGTATGTAACTGTGTACGCATGTGTGTGTGTGCCCCTCAGTGGTGTAGCCACAAAAATGTGAATAATCTAAATGACGAGATGACGTGGAAACAAGACAAACCCAGAGTTTCATTTGGTTGAGGGACTTATGCTGACATTGACGACACAACATGTTCCTGTGTGTGTGTGTGTGTGTGTGTGTGTGTGTGTGTGTGTGTGTGTGTGTGTGTGTGTGTGTGTGTGTGTGTGTGTGTGTGTGTGTAAAAACTCACAACTTTGGTGCCAGCAATTAGCCTGTCTGTCTATCTGAGCTGCACAGAAACCTCAAAGATCTCTTTCATTTAGGTTCCCTGCAAGTGTGTGTTTGCGCATTTGCGTATGTGTGTGCTTTCGTAGAGGCAGAGTGTAGCTCTCCAATAGTTTAGTAACTGAAACAGCACGACAGCTTTATGCACACACATGTACACTCATGGCAGGGTGAGCTGAAGTGGTTTGTTTTTGCACTCTCTCTCTTGTGATGACTTCATAGTTTACTTTGTCACTGAATCTCTGCAGGTCAGCTGCTTACAGCTCCACATCAAACATCTGTCAGAGCTCATTTTCGAGTGCCATTAAGGTTTGTCAAAGCTTATGTTTTTACCAGAGTGTGGCTTCAGCATATCTTAAACCCTTTCAGCTTTGCATGTGTTAATGATGCATTGATAGTAGCCAGTGTTGACATAAGATGTGTTTTTAAGTAAAACAAGATGTGCAGTAAAAAGGCTCAGAGATGGTTGGGCTAAAAAAAGGCACATCAACACTGGCTGACTGTACAGAGACTTAGAGCAACATATCAAGGCTAAATTACTTTGACCCTCTTTTCTCTCACTGGGGTGACTACTTTAGATTGATTACTACAAACTCTGTGCTGTTTGCAGTTTTTCACAACCAATTGCAGCACACTCAGACTTTAGGCCACTGGTTAAAATAGATTTTATGGAGGTACACAGATGTTTGGGGGACAGTAAAAGGGGATACATTGGCTGTGATGCAATACAACCAGTTGGTAACAAACTGTAGGTGGATAATAAGAATAAGAAGAACTTTATTAATCTGAGGGATGTTTTCAAGTGACCAGTTTGCTAGTTGTTTACACGGAAATCAAAATTCCAACTATCCAGCTATAGTCTAAACAAAGAAAAACACACAAAAAACCGTCACAAAGTAACCCTGTTTGACACAAGAACACAGGCTGTGGCCCAATCCCAAACTATCCCGTACACACTCGCCCTACACACTCTCCCTCCGTTTGCGCGTCCCCGCGGAGGCTCCGCCATATTTAAGGCTGTCTCAAACCACAGAGTGAGGAGGGCGAGTGGACTGTTCAGCCCGCAAATAGCGAGTCTGCACCGATGCACACTCATGACAGGATTTGCAGGTAGTGCGCCAGCAAAAATGGAGGAGGAGAAAACAACATACAAACATAATTCTGTATGTGTCCAACTTTGTCTCAATGACAAAAAAAAAAAAAAATTACAAACGACGTGGTTTGGGAAGATCAAACCGAAGTCGGAAAATTTACTCTGTGCTGAGGTTTGATTGTGCAGGCACATGTCAAATAGTAAAGGGGTTCAAAGACGTGTGGAATCACTAACAATCAGAAGTATAATTTAGCTCCTGTCACTGTAATGGTTGCTGGATTTATGATTTCAGTGGGACAATGAAAAAACAAGGCTGCTGGTGCGGCTCAGAACTGTACATGATGCCCATTTATGAAGATAAGAAACGCTGCAGTGCACATGACACATCTTTGTATTGCTATGATGATGGATCTTTCAGTTTTTCCGGTGGAGTGAGGAGGGCGTCCCATACCCGCCCATCTTGTTTATACCCTCCCGTCTCAATTGAGGCGCACCCCACAGCTGGGAGTGTAACTTCATTACGAGTTACACTCGGTAGTGAAGGGCGAGTGTGTAGGGGTCGGTTTGATTGGGCCATAGACTGCATACAGCTGAGCGCATTGCCATTCTGTGGACTTGAGTACCCTGGGTGAGGTGGATCAGCTTTTGTGAATTGGGAGGGTCAACCCTTTGGAGGACTTCCTGGTTGAGTCGCCAAATGTCCCCACCCTCGGCTTGCGTCACGAGCCTGAGGGCGGGGACATTTGGCGACTCAACCAGGAAGACCTCCAAAGGGTAGTCCGTCCCATTTCACAAAAACCAGACCATCTCACTCAGGGGACTCAAGTCCACATAACGGCAGTGTGCTCAGCTAAGCGCTTGAGCATGCTCAGCCTGATGCGGTCTCTGAAATGAGACACAGCCTGTGAAAAAGCTTCTTAATGCCTTTTCACCAGACCAACTCTCCCCACAGCAACTTGATTAGGTCAAGTGAGTTCACCTGTGCCTGAGTAGTCAGTGTGGAGCTCCTGAATGTTTTTTCAAAAGAGCAGCCAGCCATTTCCAGAGGTGTGTGGGGCTGGTAACAGCCTGCTGTGAGGTTTGAGTTTTCTTCATTGGTTAGAACTGTTGTTTAGTTGCTTTTGTTGATTTTGCTCACATTGTTTTGATTAATAAAATCACCACCTCATTGAGGCTGGACTGCTAACCTGGCTGTTGTTTTTTAACCTTTGGTGCTCCATCCAATGGTTGACACAGAGATCCCTTTTTGGGTAGATTTACAAGGGGTTATTCTCTACACACCCTTTCAGAAAAAAACATTTTTAGACCAAAAATAAATCTGTTGACTGTCCAGTTCAAAAAACGGGTTTGGTCTGTCCAGGTTGCTCCTTTTTCTACCCACAAATAATGTATAGGGAGTCATTTATTTTATAACATATTCATTTTGAATATATAAAGATTATAAGTTTTGCAGCTTTAGAGGTGTGGCTGACTTGATTGACAGACGAACACACAGGAGATGATAGTGAGGCAGCTGAAGCTTCAGTTTGTCCTGTTTCTGTTTTGGTAAGTTAAGAAACAAATATGTTTAGTCACTCAGACTACATCTATGGATTCAAGTTCAGTCCCATGTTATAAATAATATAAATATCGACAGTTATTTTCCTTTCTTTTGTATTTTATGGAACTGTGCTGGCACTGTACCTGGCAACGTGCCACCTCCTCTCCACCAGCAGGTGAATGTCTTCAATGCGTCTGTTGTTGGCGTAGTGCAGTCTCTTTGGCAGGTGCTGTTTCAGGTAGGGTTTGAAGTGCTGGTCTGTTTTCTTACACTATAACAGGAAAAAAATCACATAATGGAGTAAAAAGAGACCCAGAGAGAGATATATATAAAAGGCCTAATTTACCCTGTCAGCAACACAATTAATATAACATTTAACATGTTTGGTATTTTTGACAAGCGAGTACTTCATGATCTACTTCAGCGTTTTATCTTAATTTTCTTTTAAACTTTATATCAAGTCAATTGCTTACCATTTAAAATGTCATATATTTTTAATAAACTGCATTTCTAAGACAGAAATATCATGCTGGCTTAGCAGTCCACACCCCATATAGAGAGGATATTCCTCAAGAGGCAAGCCCAGGTTCGAATTCTTGACCTAAATTGTAGAACAAAATAAGTATTTTCCAGTGTTTATAATTTATTTTTTTCTGTAAACATTGTTGTAAACTGAAGTATGATAGAAATTCTTTAAGAAATGTAATGAATCATTATGGATTTGTATTACTATCCATTTAACATGCTGTACCTTATTTCTGATAAAAGTCACTGATTAACTTCACACTCCACAGAGGGTATAGTTTTCATACAGATCTGAAACTTACTGTCAGATTTTCAACAACAGCCTTTGGATCATCTGAAAAATAGAGCAGAATTCTGAGTTTGTTCAGTCCAACAAACCATGTAGTTTTCCAGTTTACTCATAGTAGATCTAAACTTCACCCACAAGAAGAATACATGCAAACAATCGTACACAGACTCTGAATAAATCGTCTAATCATTGAGAAGGAAAAATAATGTCTTGTCACTTAGGACTTTTAGAAGACAATGTTTCCATTTCTGCAGGTCCAGCGTACTCGCCCCAGTATCACTGCATCCCGTTTTTTTTGCTAAAAGTGTTGTAAACCCCGACGAAGAGGGTACAAACTCTTAAAATGTGAGCTGGATGCACAGAGAAGACTATTCAAGTGTCGTGGACCCTCCTGAACCAGATACAATGTCAGAAGAGTCTGATCTTCACCAAGAAGAACAAGACCTGGACTATAACTCAGTGGTCCAAAGTCCTGTTTTCAGATGGAAGTCAGTTTAACATCTCATTTGGAAATCAGGGTCCCAGAGTCTGGAAAAAGATCAGCGAGGCCCAGAATCCAAGGTGCTCCAAGGTGTAGTCCAGTGTGAAGTTACCAAAGTCTGTGATGGTTTGCGGGACTATGTCACCTGCTGCTGCTGGTCTACTGTGTTTTATCAAGTCCAGAGTCAGCGCAGCCCAAAGTCTTACAGACCTTCATGTTTCCATCTGCTGAGAAGCTCTATGGAGATACAGATTATCTTTTCCAGAAGGACCTGGACCCTCCCCACAGCACCAAAGCTACCAGAAACTAGTCTGTCGACTGTGGTGTTACTGTGCTTGATTGTCCAAAGCTGCACCTATACATCCAGGCCAGACATAATCACTGTTTTCCTCTCTGTTCAGCATGGTTTCACTGGAAGCAGCTGTATGGTTGAAGATATTTCTCCTAACTCATTACATTGTAAACATGAGATCAGTGCTACCTGTGGACCTTTAACATTCAACTACCAAGGCAATCATTTTGACTGCTTTCAAAATTGTCTTAACTTTTTCAAAATAAAACCTATACACCAGTCGCACCCTGACTTTCCCAAATGTGTGCATATTTTATTCTAACATTTTTTCATCATTAAGATTTCAAAACACAAAAGAGATCTGAGTACAACTACCTCAAACTACCAGAGCAGTCAAATTGACTGCATGCTTTTTATAAAGGGTGTCAATAACTTTTAAATGATCTGTATTGTTTGTGCAGTTTTCTGTAAATGCCCCCAGTAGGTCCAAAGCTCTTTTACTTTGGCTTTATCTGTCAGATCTGCAAGCTTTGACATTTACTGCATTGATGTTTCTGATGAGTTATAATAAAAAATACAGCATGAAACATTTTTTCACACACAACGTAATAAACTTTATGGTTCGTCACTTACATTTAGTATTGTTAGGGTTTCTCTGGCGTATTCGACCAAGGGACCCAGGGGTGAGGATGATGTCATCAACGTTGTTCATGAAGTTAGTAAGGAACTCTGTACGGTCGCAGTGGGCCTCCTCCATACCTGAGAACACACAGGAGGTCATCTGTACTTTTGTTCTGTCAAGGGCTGGACTGGTAATCACAGTTATTTTTAATGATAGACCAACATATTTGATTTCATGCACATTTATACTGTGTATTTTCAAAATGTGACTGAATACATCTATGCTAAATATATTAGTTACTTGAAATGAGAATGCAAGCAGAGATTTACTCAGATACTTTCTGACTTCTTTCAGGGTTCTGTGTACTCCTACTCACCTCAAACTCAAGGAGCCAATAAAGAGAGAGAAAAACTTGGTTCATGTTTCTATGGCACTCACATGTCAGCTTTTAAATGGTTTGAAGGAAAAGTACGGTATACATTTAAAGAGGGTCACAGAGATGGTGCACAGGCAAAACTGTGCAAAACTACCAGGGTGGATTTCCAGTTCAGGTACTGCCACGTTACCATTAAGCATGGCAATTTCCACAAGCTGACATTTGACAGACTTTGAGATCTAAATGGCTTACAGGTACTTAAAGCTTTAAAAAAGCCCAAACAAACTGCATCAACAGCAGATGTATGGAGAAATGCAGACAAACTTAACTTAGAGAAATAATTTTAAGAGTAACTTAAAGAAATCCCCAAGACATTTTCGGGACTATCAGTGACATCAATGACAATACATACATCACAGTTGAAATCAGACAAAGCATAAACAGAAGGAGCCAGGGTTAAGGCGAGTTCTGAAGCACTTTACAGAAGAAGCAGAAAAAGTGAGCAGCTAAAGCAATTCTGTAACTTTGATGTATAGAGGAGCTGTCAGCCCATCTAATGATTGTACTGTGAGCTGAGCTGGACTTTGCGGCCTGCCTGAACTAACACTGTGCTGAATTCAAACTGATCTACTTACAACATATTTATCTGGCTAGTCCAAAAACTGTAAAGGACTGTTTTTTAAATTTTACTGTTGGCATAGTAAGTTCACTCCAGCAAATCCACCAAAACCCCTGGAAACAACCGTGAGTTTGAGGTGTAATGCAAACCAAACCTATTCACCTAAAACTTCCACTCTTTCTGTATCCAATATCTTTCCTACTACCTTCTCGTCAAATCTCTGCAAGAACTGTAGCTTAGCAGCAGCAGCAGGAAATTTGGTGTGAGTGAGTGAGAAGCATTGAGGAAGTTAACGCAGGGGAGTGGCAACTAACTTTTTATGGAAAACAGTTCTTATTCATCATACTAAATTGCCAAAGTGTGTGTGTGTGTGTGTGTGTGTGTGTGTGTGTGTGTGTGTGTGTGTGTGTGTGTGTGTGTATTTTATATGAGTAAAGGTGTTTCTGTGCATACCATGGTCCCCCACCAGGATGATGTTGACACAGCGGTGAAGTTTCATCTGTTTCAGTCCGTTCATCAGCTGACCGACAATCCTGTCAATCATCCTCAGAGGGTTGTTGAGCTGAAACACAGAGGAGGTGAAATCCATACAGTGTTTATATTAATGGAGGACACAGAAGAACTGCAGAAACATGCTTGTAAATATGTGTTTCTTTTCTGTGCTTTTCTGCATGCTTTTAACTCACTAACACAGGCATAGACATGAGGTACTCACCTCAGCGCTCATCGGCCCCATTTTGTGCCCATACGTGTCAGGCTGCTCAGAGTGCATGGCGTAAACGTAGGGTCTGAAACAAGTCAGATGTCACAAACATCATTAGTAAAACACAGAGATGTTTGTCAGACCAATAACATCCTTTTAATGCTAAACAAACCATAAACAAGCAACTCCTGATCTATGAGGTACATTGTCAACAGAGTCTGGTAGCTTTGAACAAAGAAAAAAATGATATTTAAGGTTAAGAAGAGAGATCCTGGAAATCTTCCTTGAGAGCTTTGTCAAATTCCTGGGAATCCTTCTTAAAATGCTGACGGACTGTCTGGAGATGGTGTAAAAATTTCTTCGGATCTTGAAAAAAATGTTTCTTATGATACCCTCTTCAGGTTGTGAAAAAATCTTTATAAAGCTTCTGGGACACTTTTTCTGAAAATTAAAATCTGTCCAAAAGTCCAGAAAGACTTTGTTGACAACTTTAAAGATTTGGGATCCTAAAGGATCTCAGAATTCCCCCAATCACAAGGATTTTTTTTAAAATCCTGAGAAGCTTTCTTATGATCCCTGGAAACTTTCTCCAAAACTTGAAAACTGTCTTTAAATCCCGAGAGACTTATTTTATAACTTAAGATACCTCCTATGGAGATTCACCCTTTTGGGGATCCTGAGACAGTCTGTTGACATCTTCAGTGATTTTCTGGGAATCCTGGTAAATTTTACAGAGATCCTAGCTGAGTTTTTTTATAAATCCCTTGAATGTTCCCTAAGATCCTTACGAAACTTCTTAATATTTTGAGGTTTTTTTTTCTGGAGTCCTGGAAAACTTTCTCAAGATCATGAGAATCCTTGATAACGATCCTGGGACACATGAAAGATTTTCAAAGATCCTGAGAGACTTTTCTGAGACCCTTAAACCTTTTCATTATTTAAAGAAATTGTCTGAAGATCCTTGAGGACCTTACCAAAATCTTGTGAGAGACTCTCTGGAGATCTAAGGAAGTGCCTTGAGATTCAGAGATTTGGGAAACTTTCTAGAGATCTCCAAGGACAATCCAGGAATTCTGAGATCCTGGGATTTCCTGGCAATTACAAGGAATTATTGATGGTGAGATGTAAAACTCTCAGGAGCTGACATGCTAGGACAGCCATGATTGGAGTGCATGGGAACTGTCCACAAAGTGCAGCATGAACAACTACACTTCACTTAGTTTTACCACAACAGTTAGTTTGGAGAAAAAAAGACTTTTCAGATGTTTCTCTTCATGATCTAGTAAGAGTTTCTCAGTTGTGAAACAAAGATTTTACCCTAATGTCTCTTCAGGGATTCTGGGTCTATAAGAATTGGATTACTAGAGCATCCCATGATGCTCTTTTAATTTTAAGAAAACAATGCCATTTTTAGTCTGATCCTATTTCAGTATTTGAATACAAACTTTGACTTTCATAAACAAAACCAATAGGAAATATTGTAAGTATTTCTCCTTGAGCTGAGACTGCAAAAAAGGAAAGAAAAGACTGAGGACTTTCACCTCTCTCCTTCTGGGAGATGCAGCCACTGCAGCATAGTCAAGACCCTCCTCTCCAATGGGATAACCCTGGAACACAATAAGGTATTAAATGAGTTTATTGGCTTCAGAAACCCTATCTGCTTCCCAAAGTCATAAACAGATGCTTGTTGAACCATTGAAGTGTTCCTTTGGCTCTTAGAGAGCCTCATAAAGCTGAGGTTATGGAGTAAAACACATTTAAAGCCCTCTGACTGTTTTAAATGTTTCAAAGTCAAAGGGAGCTTGTGTGCTGCTGTGTAGTGATGAGGCCACCAACCAAGCAGCTGGCTGTCATACAGTCCACAGCTGTCAAGCATCAGGCCACGTCGGAGGCCCTGAATAGGGTTTGATGAGTGTGGCAGTGGGGAGCAGAAATAGTTGCACTGTTTTGGACTTGACAGCAAGTCCTCGCCCCCCTCTAGACAGTACACTGTTCCCACCCCCAACAAAATGTTCCCCCCTTCCTCTCTTTCTTCTCCTCCCTTCTTTACCTCTCTTCTTTATATTCTCACTTGTTCTCTGTGGTTACGGTAAGGGGCGACCTCCCAGGAAGCTGAGCCCCACACAGCCAACCAGTCAACCAATAACATGTCCCGGTCTTCCTCCCCGCTGTGTTACAATGAGACTAAACTCTCAGATGTGTCGTCCAGGTTGTTCTCATGGCCTCAGATTATCACTGTAAGCCACACTCCGGCCCCCAGAGCATTTCGTCTGTGACCCCAGCTCTGCACAGTGTGAACAGCCCCATTTACACAAATTGCTGTAAAAACAGCCAAACTCCATCGCTCAGCTGAGATCTGCCTCTCTCTTGCTCTACAAAGCCTCCTCTGTGCCTGTAAATGTGGGCTCTTCTGTGTGTCTATTGGTTCACTGCAGCAGGAACATGAGCAGACACGTCCTGGAGATTTGATCTGAAAACTGACACCAGCAAATAAATCCCAGTTTATGATTTATCACTTACACAACTGCTGTAGTCATGACAACGCTTTAATAAACAGCTGTGCTGTATTCTAATGAAACAACTGTCCACAGTGGTTCCCTATCACACCTGACATGTTTGGTGTTCATTTCTTTATATTGTCAGTGAAAACGATGATGGTAAGGATTCAATTACACATACAGACGCTAATGTAAAGGGTAAGCAAACTGAAACTGTGGTGACATCTCTGTTCGTAAACACTCTGCTGAATAATTATGAGGAGAGATAGTTGACTGTTCATGGGGATAACCAGTTACAGCTCTGTTTGTTTTCCTTTTAAATCAATTATTTACCATTTTCTCCATTTCTTATTTTTGTCATTATTTATAAATTATGAATGACTCATTACAACCTGCAGCCTGTATGTTGGGAGGAAAAGAAAAAAACACAACCTGGGGAGACATTTTTAAAGACAAGACTGAGCTCTTTGTCCCCGATTAGAGTGACATGTGGACACAAGATGGGAGGAAAAAAAAACCTGCAGTGTCTGTCCAGGTAAATAACCTGGTTGGATGGCATAAATACAAAATAACTCTCTAAATTTAATGCTCACTAAACTCAAATATCTTACTGCAGAAGATGACTGTCTAACACCAGTCTGGTTCTGCTCGAGGTTTCTGCCTGTTAAAAGAACTTCCTCCTCTCCACTGAAACTTGATAAATGCAGTCAAGCGTTTGACTCGTGGGTGAAGATGGGATGGGAGTGAGTCTGATCTCACAAGAGCAGACTCACTCCCATCCCATCATTAATAGTCTCTGTAAATATCATGGAGAGTCTGGTCTAGACCAGCTCTTTTGGTTAGCATCTTGAGTTAACATTGTCGTGAACTAGCGTCATATCTCAGTGGTATCCTCTTGTTGCCTCTTTGATAAATCTACCCTTTAGAAACTGTTTTATACATAAAACAACCAGGAAAAGTTTCTCCATACTCATCATCTCTCCAGACCCTTCAGCTCGCACATTGGGAAGTATGAGTAGCGGCAGCTTTTAAACCAGTGAGAGTAAGAACCCCACAAACACAGGGTTTTACAGGTTCACATTCAAGCTGCCACCTGACCAGCAGGCAGTGTGCTTGGCTATGCAGGTACAAACTGTACTCTTTACTGGCAGTTTATTCATGTGTCAGAGCCAACGTCAACACATTACAACAAATTATGCATTCCCTGAATTAAACAAGCTCAATTTGACTCCCTGTGATTTTATTAACAATCTCTGATTCACATATCAGGTAACATGAATAAATAGGAAGGGGCCAAAAGAAACTGTTAAGGAGCGGCTCAGACTGAGGCCATAACAGGAGATTTACACTGTGCTGTCTGAGCAGAAAGGAGGCACTTGGTCTCAAGGCTCCATGTATGTGTGGTAGTCCCTGATCAGAGACTTAGACTGACCCTGACTTTAGCAGCTTGCAAATCCTTCATGAGTCTAACTGCAATAAACAATGTCTCTATTTTGCTCTAGCGTTACTATCATTCATGATTCACACACAGCAATGGCTAAAAAGTTGGAGCTTTCAGACTGCAGGTGAGGACTAGAGGGCTCACCTGAAATCGAAAATTTAACAACCTTTTTTTTTTTTTTTTAAATATGTGTGTCTGTGATGGCAGAAAACAAAATATAGAGTACACTGACACGCCTGTAATCCTTTCAAAGTAAAAGCCTGATTTGTTTATTCTGTTTAGTGACTCTTTTAGCTCAATACTTTTATTCTGAAAGTGTAAACTGCAGACTCACACGGGCCAGAAGAAGGTGGCAGCCTTCACTCCCTGTTTCTGTGCTGTGATCCAGATCTGAAACACAAAAAGATTCTATTGTAACATCTATCTGATACAGTTTAAGAGAGCACAGGAGCCTCTGATGAAAACCATCAGCAAATGTGTCAGAAAAACACAAGACCTAAGAATGTAACTGCAGTTCTATGAATTCTGGATGACTGCCAGGGACAGTTCTGAACACTGGATCTCGTGCAGGTCACGTATTTTGTATCAACAAGGTCATGTGCCCAAGGGTGATGCATGGCGTAACTTATTGAAGTTGACTTCACCCTGAGGGACATCCCAACATAATCCACTTACAAAATTTTGAGTGATGAAGAACTCTGGCGGTCATCTAGAATTCATAGCATTTGTAACTCTTGTTATATTTCATTCTTCCTGCCTGCCAGAGGCAGTTCTTAACAGTGGATCAATCAATCAATCAATCAATCAATCATGCACACGCACACACACACACACACACACACACACACACACACACACACACACACACACACACACACACACACCTGCACACTGTCACTACTGACTATACAGAGACATGGCATTACACTGAGGATTGAGGAAGCACCATCTTTGGGGCCATCCACACTGGGTGGAGTCGCAGGCCATGCCACAGGGGGGCACCAGCGCCCAGGCCCCCCCAATCCCTACAGACAACAGCCAGCTGGGCCAGGATGACTAATACCAGCATGGTTTGGAGGAATTCCCCTCTACTACAACTGGCCTGAGGGTTCCCATAAGACTGCTGTTGCCATGGCACTAGCAGGTCAAAAGCTGCCTGCTCTGTAGCCTTGTTGAAGTGGCCCAGAGCCACCCTCTTCAGAAGAAATGAAGGATTAGGCCAAAGCACTACTCCTGCACCACCTGGGTACAAGCGCATGCATGCATCACTCACAAGGCATGGAGCTCACTCACCTGTTTTGCTGTTACCATTGAAAGAAGACAGGCAAACACCTATTCTAACCCCAAGACCCCAAAGGGCTTGGAAGGTGGGAAGCCAAGGGCCCTCGGCACAAGGGAAAGGTCCCCCCCGAGGGAACCTTTAAAACCTGCTGGGGTTCTGCTGATGGGCTCCTTTGAGAAACTGGGTTAAAAGTGTGTGAGAACTGAGGGTCTGGTCACCAATTCCAACAAGCCTAGCATGCAGGATATGGTCAGGAAAATGAAATAGAACTGGGTCATACTGTCCTGTACTGAGCTGATCTAAAACCCTGGACCAACTCCTTTGACTGATCAAAAAAACTGAGCAGTTTGGTCTCAGCTGTTTTGAAAGAAGCCAATGGTTTGTGCTCCACCCCAGCTTGTGTCTGCTTGTTTGACAGTAAATTATATCTATTTGTGTTAAAGACAGTGATTCTCCACACCATGAGGGTGTCCAGGGAGTACCCGGTACTTTTTTCCATATAAAGTTTCATCCTCATTATGAAATACCTTGTTTCTTTGGTGATTTGAATCCAATAAATACTATAGCTGATCGAAACCCTGCAGTCAAAGTCAAAGCGACTTATGGACCACTGCTGCTCCTTACTGGGCTGAAGGCCTATCTGCTGGGTCAGCTGGAACTGAGTCCTGTCTTTCCTGCTGCAGTTGGCTTCAAAATAAAAGTCTTTGCTGCCTTTGTTGGCCTTCAATCTGTCAGATTAATTTCATGGCATTTAGAGACACAAACTTTCCCCTTACCAGAGCGAAAAGTAAAAAAGCCTACTTTGTCAGTTTACCCATGAGCACACAGGCACAGGGTCGATTAACTACAGATGATACAAAGAACAGACTGAGGAAGAAGAGATTGATCCTACCGGCTGCCCTCCCCACCAGCGATGATTGAGTTTCTCTCGGCTTCTCAGAGTGAAGGTGGCATCGAACACCGGGTCATACATGGAGTTTCCAATGATACCATGAGACTCTGGGTATAGACCCTGAGAGAGAATCAAACAATAAATCAAACTGTGCACTGACACTGACTGTCACATTGAAGCATGAAAACTAGCCATGAAGTAGACAAAGATCTTCACATACATCCCTTCTTTGTTTTTTAATGTCGCATCTGTCATCAAATGGAGATGCCTACAGCTCAGTCACAATCATGTGCAAGGTGGGAGCAAACTGCAAGAGCTGCAGAACTTAACACTTGTGACTGAATAACAATCAGCAATTTACTTTGTGAATTCAACCATGAGTCAGAGCAGATAGCTGTGAATGATGTACAATTCCAGGTGCATCATGGTGCATTGCTGTGGCATGTAAAAAGACAAACTTTGTCAGGTCTGTCAGGGTGAGAAGGAAATGACTTTGAATCAGAGTCACAAAAAAGACTTGTCCCGGAAAAATTCGGTCATTACACCTACTCTCAAAGACACAAATGTTAATTGAGGGAAAACAGAGGTATGAACTTTGTATGCAAATTTTATGATAGTGGCATAGATGGCATTTATGACGTGATCAATATGACTCAGCTGCAAAAAGAAACCAAAACCCAGGTACTAAAACTTGGGACATCCGGTTTTGACATTTTTATGTTGAATCTGCGAAGACAGGTAACGTTACTCTTTACTCAAAGTAAGACTTTGGTTAGGTTTAGGCACTGAACCACTTTGTTAAGGTTTTTGTTGTGGCTTAAATTGTCAATCATCTTGTAGTATTTTGGTTTCACAGTGAACACGTAAGTCAATGAAAAACGGCTCTGCTTTGACAATCACAGAGCTTGCAGATCTACATTACAGGCCAAAAGTTTGGAAGCAAGATCAGATTTGTACAAAAAAGATCATAGTTTCATATATATAATTTGCAACACAATAAACATGACTATTGTGTAAAGAGTAACTTATCAGAAGACATTTTGACTATAATTATTAGGTATTTGAGTTATTGTTGCTTAGACTTTGCTTTCTTTAAAGTAACCTCCTCTGGCAAGTTTCCACAAGTTTTCTAAGGTATGTTCCAGGGATTGCATTCCAAGCTTTCTTAAGTTCATTAAAAAGAGACTGCTGATTCGTGGGACGTGCCTTTCTGACCGATCGATCCAATTCATCCCGCACACGCCCTATTGGAGAAAGGTCTGGAGACTGAGGGGGCCAAACCATCTTTTGAAGAACACCTTCCTCTTCTTTTTTGTCTAGGTAACCCTGACAGAGCTTGGCAGAGTGCTCAGGGTCATTGTCTTGCTGCAAAACAAACTTATGAGCCACAAGTCTGAGTCCAGATGGTGCTGGAGGATGGAGTGGTACTATTCCTTCTTCATGATACCCTTTACTTCAAACAAATCTCCTACTCCATCACCTGCAAAACATCCCCATACCATGGAACTACCACCTCCATGCTGAATTGTGGGTGTAACACATGGTGCTTTCAGACATTTACCACTTTGTCTGCGGACATTGACTCTGCGTTTTGAACCGAACAGTGCAAACTTGTCTCTAGTCATCATAAGTCCAATTTTTGTGAGCTTTTGCCCACTCATATCTCTTTTTCTTGTTCTGTGGACGAAGTTGTGTTTTTTTGCTGATACACAACCCTTCAGACCAGCCTTTCTCAAATGTCATTTCACGGTTGTCAGAGATATGAGTTTCGACCTTGTCATGTTGATTTCCTCCCTTATTTTTGGTGCTGTTTTTCGCCGATCTCTCTTACTGGTGACAATAGTATGTTTATCCTCTGCTTTTGTAGTAACTCTCTTTCGTCCAGGTCTTTTTCTGTCATCATAACTTCCAGGTTCCTGTAGTCTCTTCAGAGTGTAGTGGACTCCTTTGTTAAACACCTTTAGGCGTTTTGCAATTTCTCTTTCTGTGTATCCTTCTGTCCTCAATGTACAAATCTGTACTTTTGTTTCTTTACTCAGTTGCTTCTTTCTAGCCATTTTTGTGGTAGTTTGAACGCAGTTGAGATTTATTAGGATTTTTGTATGCAGACTCTCAAAAGCCAAAAAGTTGAAGTGAATAATCCAACTGTGATTTGTTTTTATGCTTTTGCACTTAAGTTGTCTCTTGCAAATGTTTTCAACCCTAAAACTAAGCCCTTATCTTTGATGACATATATTTAGCAATGGTCTGTTAACATCAATGTATATCTAAAGGTAAATGGAGTAAAATGGTGCATTTCCATGAAAGCAACATCTGATCATGGAGTAAATACATCCCAAAATACAGAAAACTCATGCTGGATTTTTAAAAAAGTATTGCGAACAAAAACTTGAAGTTACTCCCAACTGTTCGGCCTGTAATGGCCTTGCTTCAAAACTTTTGGCCTGTAGTGTAGGTCTTGCAAAATCCTCCAAAACTACAATCATGCAGGTGAAATAACATGTTTTTAGAGAGTTTCGTTTGTATATAGCCCTTACAAAGTTGTTGCTCAAGGTTAACATGCACAGATACTGGAAGCCCTTAAGCAGCCAGTGCTCTTGTGCCTTACCGTAGCCAGCGAGTACAGGTTTGGGAAGGTCTTTGTGGGGTAAACAGGCCTCATGTATGGAGCATGGGTCCCACATGTTCCTAAAGAGTCAAAGCAAAAGAAACTTCAAAATCAGCAAAGAAGAACCCAGCAGTAGCACCCATGATGGCTCCATAAATCACCACATCTACACAGCTGAAGCAATATGGAGCCAAATCAAGGCCACAAGGTTTGTTAATTTATAAGAAAAAGAAAGAGTGATTTGGAAAATAAAATTTGAAACTGAAAGTTCAAGGCTTGATCCTGAATTGTGTATGAAATGTTTTTTTAACTGAAATATAGTTTTGATTCAGCTCCGGAATTCTTTTGACAAAATCCATCCATCTATCTTCAGCCGCTTATCTGGAGTCGAGGCGCGGGGGCAGCAGCCTGGGCAGAGAAGCCCAGACTTCCCTCTCCCCAGCAACTTCATCCAGCTCTACCCTGGGGACCCTGAGGTGTTCCCAGGCCAGCTGAGAGACAAAGTCTCTCCAGCATGTCCTGGGTCTTCCCTGCAGTCTCCTACTGGTGGGACATGCCCTAACCCTAACGCCTCACCTGCAGCAAGGTGTCCAGGAGACATCCTAATTAGATGCCCAAGCCACCTCATCTGACTTCTGAGGTAGAGCGACCAGTATATTGAGAGCTTTGCCTTTCGGCTCAGCTTCCTCTTCACCATAACAGATCTGTGTACCATCCGCATCACTGCTGACGCGACACTGATCCGCCTAACGATCTCCTGCTTCACTCTTCTCTTACTTCTTTTGATAAAATCATGTATTGTCATTTTTCACCCTTAACTATATTTTTCAAATTTCATGAGTTATGTTTTCACTTGCAGGTGTTATGTTTTTAGATTGGGATCTTATTTTTTTCACATTCAAATCATGTCTTCAGGTTTGAGATTTTTTTTTCTCCTTAAAAACCTTTTTCATTTTCAGATTGTATTTTTTTTTATTTCAAACTTTTGGCCCTGTTCTGGTGTGGGGGGGCATGACATTGACTGAGAAGAGCATGGGATTGTGAGTGACATCATGGCAAAGAAAGCTCAGGACCTTTTCCTGATTATGTTGCCTTCAGGAAAGTGGGTACTTAGAAAAATATGACTCAACACTTAAAAAGCACTGTATTCACCTGATAGCTGTAAATAAAGTTGTGCTGGGGACACAGTTCACTATTACAGGCTCTTTTGGACAACCTGGCAATTACTAATACATAAAAACTGTAAAACATGCCATGCCCCCCACACCAGAACAGGGCCAAAAGTTTGAATTAAATAAATACAATCTAAAAGTGAAAAAGAGTTTTGAAGATGACAAAATATCTCAAACCCGAAAACATGATTTGAATGTAAAAAAATAAGATCCCAATCCAAAAACACTATACCTGCAAGTGAAAAAATAACTGCTGTAATTAAAAAATATATAGTTAAGGGTGAAAAATGAAAATAAATAATTCATAATAATATATAATATATATAATAAATCAAAATGATCCCAGAGCTGAAACAAAACTATGTTTCAGTTGAGAAATTTTTTATACACTTATTTATATTTTGAATATAGTGTTTTTAATTTTTTAAAATACAAGTACAATCCTTGAACTTTCAGTATTAAATTTTATTTTTTTATATCAGTTTTTTTTCTTTTTTAATAAACAAACCTTTGGCCTGGATTTGGCCATAAAGCAACACATCTAACAGGTCTTACTCAGTTTCTCGATGTTGGGTATTATGGTACTTCCTCTCTTCACATATGAAGCTCTGAATCCGTCCACAGACAACATGATGAGTGGTGGACGCTCAAACCTGCACACACAAATGTCTGTCATATGAAACCAAACAAAAAAATTCAGTCTATGCTTTACAGCTTAGGAGTAAACATACCCAGCAGGACATTCAGCGGTCTTGATCTCCTCACACTCGTCCTGTAGCCATGAAGTGTCTCCTTCAGGCACGGAGGACACAGAAACACATATGATAGTCAGTATAAAGAATAAATGAAGGCTGGATGGGTGATTTGGATCAGTTAAGACAGAGCAGAAATTAAAGCAGATTCGAAAAGTAAACTGGGCAGTAGAGCTTTCCATTATCAGGCTCTGTCAGGATCTACCAGTCCAGGTCTAGGAGGCAGACACCCTCTCTATTTTTAAAAGAGGGTTTGGGACTTTCCAGGACTCAGATGAAGCAGGTAGTCTGGATTACTCAAGCTTGGATTTGCTCTAAGTCATGCTCAGGATGGGAATTAAAAACAGTTCCAGATGAGAACCGGAAAAAAAGTAAAGTTTTTGTGAAGTTTGTTGTTTTTCCAAAATCAAAAACTTACATCTCATCTCATTTTTGGGTGTGTAAAGCTACATACCTTTACACAGTGTCTTGTAGTTGGTGCAACAGTCTCCTCTGGCCAAACAGTCCTCAGAGCAGTGGCAGGCATGTTGTTCATTACGAGTCTCTCCACATCGATCTTTACTGCACTCATAACCTCCCTCTGTATATGAGAGACATCAGAATAAAATACCATTATTTTAGTCAGCTCGGAATAAATACTGCAGAACCAAAAACCTAGATTTAAACTTTACAAACATGATATCTGCAGAAACCACAGGCTGCAAGAAATAAGAATTGGTATACTAATACATCAAAACTTGCTGTTTGTTTGGGACAGACACTGACATCATTCCCTGAGCTCTGACCACATTACCACATTCATATGATCCTGCACTCAGAGGGTAAAGAGAGCTAATCGCCAGCACCAAGCCAAGTACCATCATTTTTCAGGCTCAGGGAGGATTACTGTGGCAGAGTGGTGGTAAACCAAAGACCACCAGGCTAAAGGAGAGGACATAAAAACAGACCACCAACACGGGAAACACGAAGGCAGCATGGCAACATGTTGATGGACCAGCAGAGAGAAGGCAACTCAGAAAACTCAGATATGCAGTCTGCTCAAAATACCAGACTGCTTATTGACAGCAACAGAATATTCTGAGTGTCTTTGGTCCAGCTTTCATTCTTGCAGCACTGACACAGGGGGAATTTTAGTAAAGGATAGAGGATGATAAAGTACCTGTCCTGAGGCAGAGATGATCGAAGTCAGAGCAGCAGCTGTTGTAGGTCTTACAGAGGTTGTCACAGCGACAGTTCGGAGGCTCCAGCTCCACCAGCTCAAAACACCTGTCCCTGCAGGAGCCAGAGGTTGGCACATATGGAGACGCAGAGCGTGCTAAAAAAGAAAAACGAACATCAAATCAGTGTTTTTATAGTTAGCACTTGTAAGGTCACCCTCCTCCATGATCCTCAGAGCTCCTGGGATGGGTTTTAATCTGGTTTTAAATCTGATTGGGTACAGTGGCAAGAACAACCAGATCACACATATCAAATCAATCCGGCCGAATGAGTTAAAGCACATCTAGTCAACTGTTTTTGATTTCAACTCTTCCTGTTGACACTGGGGCAAAACCATTACAGTAGTTCCCAGTCAGGTACCAACATAGAGGATATTGTGATGTAGCATTACGACAACCCTGTGTGTAAAACTCACACATTCCTCTCAGGTTTGCAAGGTTCCCAGGACATAGGATCATATAATCTTTTCAGACTTGTTTGGACTTTCAGGTTACCCAACAGACCCAACTGGAGGATGACCTAAACCTCTGGCTCTTCACAAGTGGTCAATTTGGAGAACAGAGACAAAGTTTTTATTAGGGGAGACTGGGGCTTGTTGTCACATGGGTAAATTGTCATATGGCAATTATCTTTGCCACCGGAGGGCGCAATTGAAAAGTGGAATACTTTTTTTATTCCTTTACGTGGTCAGGGGTTGTGTCCTGTCTGAGAAGAGAAGAGCACATTGTGAGCTGAGATGAGCGCCAATAAACCCTTTTATACAACCCGAAGTAAAAAAAAAATTTACTTTATATATTTTAAAATAAGCTTCTTCCAGATTAAAATTCTAGCAGTGATACATGTGGACTTATAAGAGGAGAGATTAGGGCATTCTGTCAAACCTCAGTCACTGTTCTGTTTTAGGCGAATTTAGGCTAGAATTTGCAAGCATGGTAGTTTGGGGCAACATGTCTCAGTCATTTTGGGGTTAGTTGTCACATGTTTCAAAGGGATTAAAATCAACATAGAGAGTCTACTTATTAGCAGTTGTCATATTGAAATTTTGACTTAAAATAAAATAAATAATAGTCCTCATGTGCTTTGTGCTAAATAATCATTTATTCCTCAACCAAGGTCTCCCATTTGAGATTTACCGTTGTGAAGTGTGTGAACACATGGAATCCACACTGACCTCCAGACCTTTGTCATAAAACCCTGCTTGACCATATACTGATAAAAAAACAAAATTCCTTTGGTGAAAGAATACAAATGACTGATCATGACATCTTATTCAGCAATGTACTAATCTGTCTAATCATGTAATTTGTGTTAAAATGAGATGCGTCCCAGTTTTCTATGTGCCCCAGAAGCCAAGCTATCACTCTGACAGAATAAATCCACTACTCTTAAGTTTCTTTGGACCAACAGCTTTTCAGACTGTTTCATGAACTTTTGAGAGTTACATTTATTGAGTATGAATCATAACTTTTAGCAACAGGGATAGTTTAGAAAAGTTTGGTTTATATTTTCATCATTTATTTAGTATTTTTAATCATTAAGTGCTTACAATGTCATTGAATGATCTGAATGAATTCATAGCATCCTTTATTAATCATGATGAAGTTCATTTACATGTGTTTACTCTTTTGTTTGTTTTTCTGTGTTACTATCTATTTCATTTCAGAGTAATTTAGCATGTTCAGTATGATACTAAAACAAATGAGAATGTTTGATGTGATTTTAAATTTCTTCAAATGTGTTTAGTAAATCATTTAATATAAACCAAACATTCTGTAACATTAATCATAGTGAGTATCAGATATGACTTTTTTCAGCCGAAAGTGTAAGTTGGATCAAATAATCAGGGATTCTGACTATCTCCTTTAAAGAAGCTGCAGCAGAAGACCAGCGACCCCTCCTCTCTCTCCTCACACACACACCCCCAGAGACACTCCCAGTTTGAAGAACATAAAACCAGAAAAGTTGGGGTGCTAACACTTTAACTTTTACTCTTGCTTCGTCTTGCTCTTTCACTCTTATGCTCTCTCTTAGGCTTGGTCTTTTCTCTTAGTCTCCTGACTCTCCTTCAGTCTCCTTCTACTCCTCTCATATCTCCTACCTAGTTAGGGCCTGAGCCGAGAGCGCAGCTCTGCGGCGAAGCCCTTTTGTAATAAAAAATCCAAAGGGTTCTCGTTTATTATTATTTTACGACCTCTGAAAACGTAAGTATGACCCCCTGAAAGACCTCAAAAACTCACCAAAATTTGCAGGCAATCACGATGTTTGAAAGTGACCCAAAAAAAGCAAGTAAAATGGCTCGCTAGTGCCCCCTACAGAGCACCACGAACATCAACTTTTTCCGATCTGCCGAAATTTTACAGGCACGTGCATCTTAAGATCTTTGATTTTGCGCACTTGGACTTTAGTTATTCCGCTGTTTTCGCCCCCTTTTGGCCATTTGCACATGTCACGCCAAACGTATCTTCTTTTACAGATTTGATTTGATCTGCACCAAATTTGCTGAGGTCAAACTAGACACCTAGGGCCATAAAAGTTATCAAATGTTTTTTATGAGAAGTGAAAGGTGTGGCCTCTAGGGGCCGCCAAATTTACATCGACTTTCCCCAAATTTCAAATTGTGGTAGCTCAATCATGTTTTTGCCTGGAGGCTTGAAAGTTTCTGAGATGGTGCGACACAATTCTGAAGTTCTTTGGTTTTTCCAACATAGCGCCCCCCAGTGGCATCAGAAAAGGTAATTTTTTGCGTTTGCATGTCCAGCTCTGGCTGTGTTTCCCTGAAGAACTTAAACCAAAGCTGGAATACTTGAAACACATTGAAGTTGCTGCACAATTAATTTTGTGGCTCCTCTCCACAGAGCGTGGCTTCGGCGGCGCCACAAAGTCACGTGTTTTGGCGTGATGTCTTTAACGGCCACAACTTGGCTGCACGTATTCCGATCACAACCAAATCTGAATACGTCGATAACGGTCTGGTCCCGGACTGATTGAAACCAAACTTGACCCTGTATGTGCTAGCACCACCTACTGGCATGAAAAGGACATTTTTTGCAATTCTTAGCTTAGCTAAGCTCTAAGCAGTTGACCCAATGGTGCTGAAATGTATACAGGAGGATTGTAACTCCTCCATGAAGCCACAGTAGGAGTTCTGTGTAGTTTCCTTAAACAGGGTCAAATGGCTGCCATCCAAGCACCTCAACACAAAACATGATGGATCAAGAGCTAGGAAAGTTGCAGACCTATAAAAGTTGGCACACCTATCCAGAGGGCTGTCAGGACCTTATATTATCAATTTCATTAGGATTGACTCAAAAATGGCTCTGTAGCACCCCCTCAAAAATTTTAAAAATTCCAGCCCCTGCCCCCTAGTGGACATGAAGGCCAAATGTTGGCTCTGGCTGGGGGAGGCACTATCAAGCAGAGGCGGTAGGAGGAGAGGCGATTGCAAGGGGAGGCGTTTGCAAGGGGAGGCGGTGCCCCGCCAAGTGCCCCAACGGGGTCCTGGTTTTTCTTGTTTTCATGCCACGTGCTCATTTACATTGTTTGATTTTTTCCTTAACATCATCTTAGCTCAAGTTTTTTACACATAGTAAACCAAGTTTCTGTATGTGATTTATTTTTCTTTAATTCCGCAGTCATTTTTGAAATAGTTTCAATTGGCCTTTGAGCTTCTTTCTTAGGCCATGGTTCTCCAAATCCATAAAGCACATGAGGACTAGTTGGACAATCTCCTATGCACCCTCAAGGATCCTGCTGAGGATGTAGAGCTGGTCCACAGTTCCATGACCAGGACGCATACCACACTGCTCCTCCAGGATCTGAGGTTAGACTATCCAATGGACCCTCTTCTCCAGAACCCCTGAATAGACCTTACCAGGGAGGCTAAGGAGTGTGATGCCCCTACAGTTGGAAGACACCATTCCCCCTTCTTGATAAGGGTGGCCACTACCCCAGTCTGCCAATCCAGAGGCACTGCCCCCAATGTCTACACAATGCTGCAGAGTCATGTCTGTCACAACAGCTCTATAACATCCAGGTTCTTGAGCAACCTTGCCACTGAGGAGCTTTTAAGCCACAACAGCAACCTCAGCCCCAGAGATAAAGGAGCCCACATTGCAGGGTGTGTTGGTGGGATTAAGAATGTCTTCAAAGTATTCCTTTCACCTTCAACAACACCATGAGTCAAAGTCAGCATTGCACCAACCTCACCATACTCAGTGTTGGCAGTGCATGCCCATGTTTTGCCTCAGCAAGCACAGAAGCCACATTCTGCTTGATCTGCCGGTACCTTTCAGCAGCCTCCAGAGTCCCTCAGGTTTAAAAGGCTCAATAGGACTCTTTCTTTAGCTTGACGGCATCCCTCACTGCCAGTGTCCACCAAGAGGTGGACCACCATGACAAGCACTGATCACCTTAGCGCCACAGCTCCAATCAGCTGCCTCAACAATTGAGGCACAGAACATGGCCCATTGTCAATCTCCCTCGCCACCCCAGAACATGGTTGAAGCTCTTCCAGAGGTGAAGGTTCTCAGGAGAAACTCACAATGCATTTGGGTCTGCCAGGTCTGACCGGCATCCTCCCCCACCATCAGAGCCAACTCATCAACAGATGGTGATCAGTTGACAACTCTGTCCCTCTCTTCACTTGAGTGTCCAAGACATGTGGCCTCTACATTGGGCACCCAGCCAAGGGGCAATAAGTATAACCACCCCTGCCTGGCGCCTCTCACCAGTGGCAACTCCAGGGTGAGTCTAACCACTCATGAGAGGACTGGAGCCCATGCTATGCATCAAGGTAAGTCTGACTATATCCAGCGGGATCCTTTCCACCTAGCGCATCAACTCAGGCTCCTTCCTTGCTTGCGTCCAAGTGAGGGAGACTCTTTTCCTGGTATGGTTTCAGTTTTGTTGCACATGTGCACTCTTAAGATGTTTGTATTTCACATCCTTTATTTTCTTGATACTTTCATGCGCAGAACATTCAGCCTGCTTCACCTATCTTTTTTTTTCTTTTTGTGAAATTAGCTGACAAGTAAGTCACAACATCAAGTGACTCTTCTGGGAAAGACTGCAAGAAGTTTGTGGTTGAATCCTGTCCAGGTGAAAAAGAAAAGCACACTGGGCAAGTTACAAGAAGCTGGAATAATTCGTAGTTAGCTGGTGGATACAGAAACTAAAGACTCGACCTTTGCTTTGTACACAAAATAGTTCAGGTCATTTATACATTTTAATCTAAAGAGTCAGCAATCAAACCTTCCTTCTCTTGAAGTCATAAAGTTGTCCGGATGGTGCAGGGATAAAACATGTTGAGTATAAAGTGTTAAAAAGACGAGAATTCAAATAATTCCGTTTCTTTTTTTCACCAAATGTAATTCCAGCAGTGGCAAAAGGTCTTTAAGCCAAACTCCAGCATTTCTGCACTCTAAACGCTCTCCTGAGACCCACACTGGAAACCCGATCTAACTATGGGGAGTCTCTGCTCCCTTAAACACAGTAAAGCTTTGTCCTCACAGGATCTGAGGCACAGTGACCTGGTTTGGCTCCTAGCCTGCATTTTGAGAACCTCCCACTTTAACTGAAGACATCCTGGAGATCTGAGAGGGAGACAGTCTGAACTCACAGCTATGTTTCTAACAACATGCTCTCTGTCCAGTCCCTCATGAAAAACAACTTAGAGGTTAGAGGATGCCAACAGAATGCGCGTGCGTGTGTGTGTATGTGTGTGTGTGTGTGTGTGTGTGTGTGTGTGTGTGTGTGTGTGTGTGTGTGTGTACAGTCATTACTTAGGGGAATAAAGTTATAAGAATGTCATTCATAATGAGAATAAAGTCGCGATAAAGTCATTACTTACGAGAATAAAGTTGTAATAAAGTCATTAATAATGAGAATAAAGTTGTGATAAAATCATTACTTACGAGAAAAGTCATTTATAACTAGAATAAAGTTGTAATTCAGTCATTACTTAAGAGAAAAAAGTTGTCAAAGACATAAATAACAAGAATACAGTCGTAATAAAGTCATTAATGACAAGGATACATTCGTAAAGTAAATAAAGTCATAAAGTAAATAAAGTCATAAAGCTGCGTTTGTGAAGGGGGAAATGGCTGGAACTGGTCAACTGCAGAGTTATCAGTGGATGTATCAGTGGGCCACTCAGAGGGCTTTTGTGGTTTCTCAAAAAACAATTACATTTTTCTTAATTTTGCCCGAATACTCTGTTGTACTCAACATGCACACAGAGCACACATAATTATAAAAAGTTAACCTAGACCTGTACAGAAAATGTTTTATAGATAAATAAAGAGAGAAAATGTAAGTAACAGCAACAACAACATCACTAAACACAGTGAATAAATAAGATTTGGGGCAGGTTATTACTGCACATTATTGGAGTTATCATGCCTGAGAAAAATGGGTATTTGCAACTGTCACAAATATCTAGCCTGTCAATATTGCACATTGAGGTAGCATTGAGTTTTTGTCAGTTTTGTCAGCACTAAATAACAAACCTGGACTTCTGGAAACATGACAATATTTATCTGTAGCACTGATTGTGGGGAAATTTATTACCAAGATAAATTGTGCAAAATTCATTATTATTTACAGTTATTAAAGTAACAGAGGAAAAATATTCCTACCTTCCCTCTGGTGTCTAAAACAGTCAGTATTATCAGTCATCTAGCTCCAAAAGTTTAATAATCCACTGATATTATTCCTGTTTACATCCCATCCCTCGTGATCAGTGCGTTTCATCCATTTGCACTGTTTGAAAAAAGTTTTAGCTCGCTTTAGCTTCAGGTGTCCTGATAGGGGCCGATAGGAGGTGCATCTCTTGACTTGGTACAGAGTCCAGACCACAGGTCCAGACAGGCCATGACTAACTCAACCTGTCGGAACCGTGAAGCAGTCCATGTCCCGGTGGAAGAAAACCAGGAGTAAACGACTGAGCCGGCTGAGAAACAGTGCTAAAAACTTTAATTTTTCACACAATGCAAATGTATGAGACACTGACCGTGAGGAATGGGTCGTAAACAGGATGTAAACGGGAATAATATCAGTGGACTTTTAATCTGTTAGAGCCGGATGACAGTTAATGCTGACTGTTTTGGACACCAGAGGGAGGGTATAATTTTTTATTTCATTTTATTTAAATTTTTTATGTCAGATCTCCGTTAAACAGTAGTGTGTTGTAATGAGCTGCTGTGAAACCTGTAGATTGGTGAACATAATTGTGTCTGTGTGGATGAGAGGGTCAGACAAGTATGTTAATGAGTGTGTTAAAGCTCTTCCCAACAGTGACTTATGTTTATCACAGTTGGTGTAAATACATGGGCTGGTCAGAGAAGAATAAGCTACCTGTTGATTTGAGGCTGTGTTTATCAGACATTGCACCAAGAATTGAGGATCTTTGCAAGGCAAAGAAGGCTCAGGTCTCACATTAACATCGCCTACCAATGCTGGGGGGGGGGGCAACATTGAACCACCTTTGAGGGGGCCCAGCTTGCAAGAGTTTGAGAACCCCTTGCATTAGATGACTAAACAGGAGTATATTCTGGAAATCAATTTTTGGTTTAATGTAGATTTGTTTGCGTGGACCAAAATGTTTATAAATCAGAAATGCCATGCTCTGTTGTTCTTACATCACAGTTAAAATGAGCTCTAACTTGAAGGTATCTGAAAAAGTCTTGATTTCCTGAGTCATAATTGTCCTTAAGATTTGAAAATAGTCTAGTCTCCCTTTATCAGAAAGGAGACTACATTGTGATACCTCTAGAGAGCCAATGTTTGAAACGTCCATCCATCTGAGCAGGTTTAAAATCTTTGTCATGTGCAACCCGTTGTAATAATTTAATGTGGTTTTCCAGTTTGTTTTTGTCCAACTTCTTAAGTTTTTTGATTCTGGCTGAGGCAGGATGATTTAACTTTTTTTTAGATATGAGATAACTTTATATATCAAAGCCAAATTTTTGTAATGTTAACCTCTTCCACCCACGTAATTAAGTGTCTGTTTTAGTGCAAACATTACCTTTTTATGTCAATTTTAATCTGTCTTGGTGTGAAATCTGGACATTTAAATTTTGGGACCACCACCAAATCAAAGCTTTACAGTGTAGCGGAGAATGGCTTTGCATGGCCATGTTTGTAGTCCTTTGAAAGGGGAGAAGCTACTAAATCAATTGACATCAATCTTTTCAAGGACTGCATTTCCCAGCTTTTTCAAAAAGCCAGGCGTAAAGCGTTCATAATCTGTGCGCTTTTAGGTGCAGCGCCCTACAGACAAAGGCAGAATGCTGCATCGCACACTGATCACTCAGGACTCTCCTGCAAACTTTCTCCACTGCTTATGAAACTTCTCTTGAATACTTTTCAAAAAAGGAAAAGAAACATTCAACACTAAGGGCTCTATTTTCGTGCTCGCCGGCGGCGTGTAAAGTGCACTGAAAGCTCACCAATTCAAACCTGGTCAGCTTTCAGCGTAGGCGGAGCGCAGCTGATCTAGAGGTATTTTGGTAGACCGGCGGTGTAGTGCGCTTACGTCACTGATGCCTCACAGGCAGGTTTCCATGGTGTCAGGCACATTTCAGTGCAATAAATAATCATCAACAACCAATATTCAGTGCAACTATCTGAATCAGCACCTACATTTAGATCTATAGATATATTCTGATCTATATCTTATCTGATGAGCGGAGCACATTTGGCACGCGTTTGGACACTCCACCTGACCGAATTAACACAGCTGAAACCACATTAAATTAAATATCCAGTAAACAGACACACATGATGAAGTTTACAAGATATTTAATTCGTCTCCTCACTTATCCCCCTTCTTCCTCGCGCAGCTCGATAGGTGTTGTGCCGTAGAATGCACCCCTGCCGCATAATGCGTCCCCTGCATCCCATCCCAGCAAATATTCAGAATCAGAGGGCTATTGTTTTCGGCTTATCTGAATAGCCTGATTGAAATCATTAAAAGCACAAGTTTTTGAATCTATCCAATGCTAAGGAAAACTTGGATTATTTCACCTTGTTGTGTACTTTCAACTGCACTCCCATCAGGGGGTGCATTCAACGGCAGGGGTGCATTCTATGGCACAACACCTGACATGTCTCCATGTCCTCTCCCCGTCCTGCTGCTGCTTCTGCGGTGGAACGGCTGACCAAATGATTTATTTTAGTAATCAGATGAGTAATTTACTTTGAAAATTTGAAAAAAAAAAAAAAAATTTAATTAAAGAAACTTTCACTAAAAATTACCTGTTTATCTTATTATCTCACATCATTAAGATTCTGTAAATATTCAATCCGGAATTCAGCCCATATGCGAATATTATAATATTCAGTTTTGTGAGCTAAATTCATTTTATATGCCAACATCTATGAAAGAAAGAGCCAGGCCACGGAGCGCGATGCGTCATTTAGCACAGATGGTTCCGAATTTAATGCCAATATTGGAATTTATGTTGTGATCTGTGCGCTCAACCCACCTTTGTCACGTGAGGTTTAAATATATGCAACTTTATGTGAGTGTCTTTATTTGTGGAAAAGGGTGTTTGTCTTACCAGTGGGTCCAACATTACACACATCAAATCCATCTGTGCCTATATGAGAGTGTGGAGCGCACCGCCCGCAGCGCTTACAGCGACACTTGTTGAGGAGCTGCCTTCCATCGCTATCGTGTGGCTTTGCTGTCTTCAGCCATCTCTTGATCTCTTCGACTACTGCACGGAAATTGTAACGCGTCTCGCCGGTGGCGGATTTAAAGGCGAGGAGAGGAGCTGATGTTATTGGTCAATACAAGTAGACCCTCCAGAAAAACGCAGGCATAAATCCTTGATTACATGGGCTAAAATACTTGATTTTGCGATTGAATATGCAGGGTTTTTAAATAATTTTATGAAGTAAAATTGCATAAAGTTGCAAATTATGCGACAAGTTGTTAATTATGCAAAGTTGCAAAATATGCAGGAAAAAAAAAAAAGATTATTCTCCAACGCCCTGTACCAAAATAGAGCCCAATATGATAAACAAGCATACTAGAACCAAGTTACTCCACAAAAGTTTTTATTTTTTATTTTAGCAACTAAAGTATGGCTAAAACAAGGCCCTTTACCTGTGTGTGAAAAATCAAAATTTAACAAACTATCAGTTTCACAATCAGTCATAATAAAACACGGCTTAAACATTCCTGAGTCACAGAACTGTAAAAGATAAAATAAATGCTTCCTGCTTGTATAAGTGAGGTAGAACAGACAATCTGTTATGCTACAATATTTTAAAATACACAAATACAAAGTGCAATCTCTGACCATTGAATAGTTCAATAAACGTTAGTAACACAATACTGTATTGCTATGCAAAAAAAAAAAACTAAACAAAGTGCACATCTGTAAGATTGTAGTAAAGTTAAGCTATGTGCACAAAAACAGTGCAATGATCTTACAACTGTAAGGTTTCTTTTAGAAGAACACACACTAAATACAGTCCAATCATACAACTTTAAAGTAGGGATGTTCCCAGCGGTTAATTTCACTGACAGTTAACGACCATTTTGAAACTGAATATTCGAATACACAAGAATTAATTAACTCCCAGAAAATAGCCCAAATTGAGCACATGTCGATCTATATGGCCAGATATCATCTGAAATAAATATTAAGAGTACATGAAAGCCATGCTTATAATATTAAAATATGTTACAGAATCTTATTTTAGCGCTAGAGAATGACATCAAGTACGTGAAAGATCAAAGCAATTAAGCTCCGCTCTGCTGCGCTCACGCCAAGCTGCCTGCTGCGTCATCGGCCTGCCTCACACCATAAGCACAAAATGAAGAGTCTTCAGAGTCAGACAATATAAATCAAAATACTCCCAAACTTTGCTCTTTTTTCTCACTGACATCACTCTGGCTGATCGCATGTGTTGATTCACTCTGAGGAAGTTAACCCACAATTCCATGCATGCTGCAGGCCAGCGCTGCGAGCCCAGAGCAGGGAGCCAGGCAGAAAGAGTCGCACGCAAATGATCCACACATTTCAGCTTGTTTAATGCACACTTTTATTAAGACATGACAATAAAAACGTAATTTTTTTTAAAAAAGAAGCTTTTTTTTCACTTTTTTATTTTTTTTATTTTATGGAATAAACGAATATTATTCACTAACCGGATGGTAAGGACAGCCCCGTTTACACGAGTATCTGAATAACCGCGCACATCCCTACTTTAAAGTTGTATGAACTATTGTTCATCAACAAGAGTTCACAGTGAGGTGAATGATAAATGGACACAGGTTGCCCCCCAAAAAACTTGAGACCAATCTTTGAACCAAAATTCCTGCATTAAACAAGAGCTGTGTTTCAGAATGACTAACTACATAGTCTGTGGCACTGTCCAATTATTCATCATCCTCCATCCCCTCTCCCTCAACATCCATCTCCTCCATATCCATCTCCTCCATATTCTCCCCTTCTATCTACGTTCCCCTCTGCTCCCTCTCAAAAGCTCCACTATGGATCCATTGGTTATGGCATAAGAAGACCAAGGCTTTGAGATTTTCGTTGGTAGTTGATCGCCTTCGGTTGGACAACACCAGCTTGTAGATGCTGTTGCATTTGTATCGGCGGACCAAGGAAGACAGTACAGGAAGTCTCTCCTGTAGGCCATCCTTGAACACGTCCAAATCCACCACGCCAGACTGTGCAGCTCTGAGTGCTGCTGGACCCAGCGTTGTGAAATAAGATTCAAATTCATCTCTTGGCACATGTGTGAAACCTGGAGTGGCCTTGTAGCTTTCTACGGAGTCAGCTAGGAATGCAATGTGACGAAGATCGAACACACTGACCTCCTGCAGAAACCCTATGGCTGGCTGCCCGTCTGACATGTACTTGGTGAGCTTTTCTTCAGCATTGACATATGCCTTGCCAACTGTGCGGAAGATCTCTGTCTTTGTGCACCAAGGTAGGTCGAACTCCTTGAAGTATTCGTCACATACCTCAAACTGGAGCTCTTTACTGGCAGCAATGACCACCTGCAGATCCTCCAGATAACTGAAGATCTTTGTGGTCACTGGGCGACTGCTCTCGAAGATGTCAAGAAGATTGAGGATGTGTTTGCACTTGTCAGCCATGATATTGATCTGCACATTGAGGGACTGAGTTAGGTTTGGGTCTTGAAACATGTCATGGAGTCTCTCCACAGACAGTGGTACACTTCTGCCACACACCTGTGAATAGAAAAAACACAAAGAGAAAGTAAGTGATTGCGTCAAACATAGAGTGGGTGTTAAATATTACATTTTACTTTGAAATAATGAACTCATTCATATTTGTGTGTGTAGGTGTAAGGGGCATAGAAAGGAATTATTTACCTGAGTTTCCACCTCAATCAACTCCTTGTGCAGTCCAAAGTACTCTCTGTGGTATTGTACAGCAAAGAACCAGGAGTTCCATCGTGTTGCACAGGGGTTTGGCGGCATGGGCACCTTTTTTCTTGGTAGCTTGTTTGTCATGACGCAGAGATATCTTCTCTTGCGTGATCCAGCATTGAAGAACATTTGGGAGAAACTCATCATGAAGCTGTTCAGCTGAACAAAAGGTTTGCAGAATGCATTGCTGATGAGGTTCATTATGTATGCCATGCACATGATGTGCAGTGAGTTGGGGTACAGCAACTGCAGAGCAGAAGTGAATGCCTTCTTTATGTATGCTGCATTATCTGTGTCAAACACAATCACATCCTCATTTCTAATGCTGTATTCTTACAGGCACTTTACAATAGCCACAGATACAGAGGAATGGTTGCACTGCTCAAGGAACACGGTGTCTGCAAGGTAGGCCAAGATCTGACCAGAATGATCCTTCTCCAGTGGTGCAAGCAGGATATTTAACACGCATCTCCCCTCTACATCTGGAGTCTCATCAAATATCACAGCAACAGGTTTTCCAGCAAGAAGTGCCTTCAACTCTTCTTTTTCCTTCTCATATACTGTTCCCAAGTATTTCTCTTGAAGCTGGTGAAATCCTGGAATGGCTCCACCATTGATTACTCTTTCACTCAGGAATTTCCTCATTGCAGGATGGTCGCTTTTTGAGAGAGGAATGTTGACAGCAGTGCAGGTAGAGACCCAGGTCTCACAAATCTACAAACAAAAAAGTTTTTTTACCATTGATTTGGACTGTCTTATTTACCCCCACCCCAAGTATGAAATCACTTTATCCCATTCAATTAAACACAATTAAGTATGTATTTATGACATGTATTCCTAAAGCATTTATTTGAGTTATGCTATTTTTCTCTCTCTCTCACACACACACCCATAACCTAAATTTTAAATCATTTTGACCTATCCAGTTACGATTCAGTATGACATGTACGGTAAAAGCATTTATTTTAATCATAAGGCTATTTTCATTCCTCTCTCTCTCTGTCTGTGTCTGTCACACACATACACACACATACTTCTCATTCTGTTTCATTTGTTCTTTATTTGACCAGTTACAAGCTTGTACGCTACTCACCTTGTTTCTTGCATCCCTCGCAAGGGTTTTGGAGGTTGATGCCTCGGTGAACGTCAACTGTCTGACTTTGGCCTTCCTTTCTGCAGCTGCAGAAAAAGTTTCCCCCCGCTGTCGTGCAAGACACCGGGGTACTGGTTTGCCCGGTCTTTGGCAGTAATATGCATTAGTAGATGAGATTAAGTAGCTTTCTTCATTTTAGTCTGTTCCACACGTGGTGTTCCATCAACCCATATGCTCATGCTACGGTATTGTTTTGTGTGTCTAGGTGCGAGTCAATGACGTTGCAAGTTGCAATGAATTACATCACCCCTCGTTTTGACTCCCCCCCATGCTCTGTATAAGCATGGAAGCATGTGCAGACGTCTCTGCTGTTCTCAGCTTGAAAAATGATTCTCCTTCAACCTTGGGGATGTTTTTATTTACTCCTGTTAAATGTCACTCTCTCAGATTTACACAGGTCACATAATAAAAACATCATCACCTCTGCTGGCTTGCTGTAAATTTCCCCTGAAAGTTTCCCTCTGCACCAGCTCACCCTGACTTCTTGATATTGTATAAAGAGGCTGGTGGGAAAAAGCCAAGGTTAAGTCAAGGTTAAAAAAAAAAAAAAAGACTATTTGCACTTACACTTGTCCTATTGACTCCAAAAAACAAAGACGAACAACTTTTAAATGTCTTTGCTGAGAATAAAAACCAACAATGCAAAGATTCAGATCAAGTTTCCTGCAGCGTCAAATTTAAAACATAATCGTATTTGGTCAAAGCAAAGTAGAGAAGAAGTCACACACTTTCATTATTTGCCAAGTGGCTCAGACAGACAGTGTGTGCGTGTGTGTGTGTGTGTGTGTGTGTGTGCGCGTGTTTGTGTGTGCGTGTGTGTGTTTTGGACATGTGTTCATGTATCTTGGCCAAGTGTGGGTAGGACATGCCCAAAGCTGCACCAAGAGCCAAAACACACGCAGAAAACAGCGTCTACCAGAGTAAATCTCGAACCCCATGTAAGTTTAAGAGTAATCAGTCACCCGCTGTCACTCAGAGTGATGTGTCCACCTCAGATCTCTCCTTTGCACATCAGGAACATGCAATTAGATGAGAAGAATTTTCCACACTGCAGAAATGTCTCTGCTCGGTTTGTTTTCCAGGTTACTTTCTGTAAGAAATTTCTGCCAGTGCATATTAAATAAGCTAGCAGAGAGTGTGTGGTGGTGTTTGTGAGGTAGGAAGAAGTTACAACGGATCACTGTGACCCTGTGAGGGTGAGAGTGGGCAGCAGGAGTGTTTTTTTCTTCTGAGAGTGAGAGCGTGTTTGTATTGCTCTGCCTTCAGCCAGCATGAGAAGAGCAGTGGGGCTTGTTGCTGCTGCATCAGATGGAGGCTGCAGATGGTCCTAACAACAGGTGACAGCCACAACACATCCTCTGGGTTACGGCTGAATATGTCATGTTATTGTGCAAAAAATTTGAAACATGTTGCACAAAAGAAAATTCACACCAACACTTACTTGGTGCTTGTAGCTTTCAGCGTCTGCACCAACTAACCTAACAGTTAACAATAATAGGAATTCAGTCTATCCAAAAGGTCATTATTATTTGTTGCATGTGCACAAAACTCCTGACAACTTCCTGAAAAGTTTTCCCAGGGCTGCACATGAAAACACTCAAATGTTCTTCCTAAATTCATTCAGGATTTTCCTGCTGGCCTACTTGTAAAATTTACACAAACATTCACACTAATCTGATATGGGGATGCAGCAGGACATATATATAAAAAACAGACTTTAAGGACCTGATATACTAAGATCCCAAATAGCGGACACTAAATTGCGCTTACAAACTAAAAAATTGCATGTGCCTATTAGTGGGTGTGTTGCAGGTGATCTACTATCATTGCGTGTGCAATTGATAACAGGTGCAAAAGTGGTGCGGATCACCCTCTTATAACGAGCATTTTGCCATTCATAAACAATGCAATTCAAAGTGCTTTACAGATGCAAGAAGATATACTACAAATCTAAAAAGTGATTCCAACAATTAAAAATTAGTAAGACAAACAGATACATTTTTTGTCTGTTTCGTGTTTGACCTCATTGTTTATGAAAACCGTCATTTACTAGAAAAACGAAATTGATCACAAGTTTTTGGACAAGGATCATGGTGTCTATCATGGCACTTCTGTATCCTTCTCCCACAATGACCGTGCGTAATGCTGTGTTAGTTTGCACATGCCTTTCAAATGTGCTAAATATAGACGCAAAACAGCGGCCGCAATCGGTTTCCAGGTTTGATAAATCACATTTCAGGTCCTAAATGATAAGATTTGCATCTGCCCCTCCCAGAATTTTGCGTGTTCTGATGATCTACATACAATCTGCACATTCATGAAGCCAAACACGCTAAATGGATTGCATGCAATGTTTTGCTCATTTGACAGACGCAATCCTCAGTGCACCCAGTTAGTAGATCAGCTTTTGTGTGTGCTATCGAGGTTGCAAGTGTTTTTGCACACGCAAACCTTTAGTAGGTCAGGCCCTAAGTGTATTGTGCTGCTGATATTCTCCAGAGTCAGAGCATGGCAAGAAGGTCTGCTGTCCGATGTCTTTTCCAAATTTAACCGACTGATTATACAGGAAAGAGCCTCTCGGTAGGTTCAGTCCAGATCAGGATGGATTCATCAGTCAGTTTAAAGAAGAAACTTTCCATCAGGGAAATTTGCATAACTTTCATCCTCTACTTTCCTCTCATAAAGAGCCCCGCGGGAGCCTCATTTGTACACACAGCTGTTAAAGAGTGCTTAGAAGGGATAAATGTTTCGTTGACTAGTAACTCAAACAGGTAAAGTTGTATCATTTTTTTGGGATGGTAAATCTTTGAATGTCCATTTTTAAAAGTGTGAAACCATCTCTGAGAGCTGTTACAGCTAACTCTCAGCCTCACGTCAGATGTGTGAGAGATGGCCTGCCCAGGGTCAGGCAGTTTAAAGATGTTCCATGTTTACCAGTAAAGAGTCAGGAGTACTCACAGTCTGTCCTGGATGAGGTCCCGTCCTCCCCTGAGCGTCTAGGTCGGTCGTACACAAACCCTGAACACACCTCAGAGCCACACAGGGCGGACAGGATCCAAACAAACTGAGAAAAAACACACATCTGACATTAGAAGAGACCGTTGTTCCACTTCTGAGTTGATGTCACAGGAAAGGTGACTCAGTGGGCAGTGGAACAGCAGGGACAGTAATTTTCTGCCATTTCTATGACCTATGTAACATTGGTTAGTGTTACTCATTTTGGCACATTTGCTGGCTTTAAGTTTTTTTTATTCTTAGACCATGGTCCAGATTTCTGATCTGGTTGCCAAATTTGTCAACTGAAACGGTAAAGAGTTACAAATGAATCGGTTACTGGAATTTTTGCTTCAAATACATTTGTGAAAACCCTAAAAGTTATTGTGCTGTTACATCTGCTCTCAAGTCACTGATGCTTTGTCAGTGACTTGTAAATCCTGACGCTCCTCTGTTCAATGTGAGTTGCGCATAACAATCACCTTTGATACGTTAACGAATCGGTGACCATTTAGAAATGACAGACTAATCCACAATTGTTTTGCAAATTCTTAGCAGCAGGGAGGAAAGACGGAAAAGAATAGGGGTAGTATGGGGGAAAGAAAGCTCACAAAACTATCCAAATATTCCTTACGAACTTAAAAAAAAAACACGAGCTAGACATACCACACAGTGAATTGCGCATTTACGCCCTGGTTCTCGCACGGTTACGTCTGAAATCCTAAAAAATCATCTAAAACTCAGCATGGAGTCTTACCGTACCAGTTTGTGCAGAAACATGTTCCCCCACTGCGCGGACTGTGTGTCCTCCTGTGCTATAGGCTGGGAAGTGAGTGATGCTGACTGACTCGGAAACCAGAAGACCACCGGAGAGGAGGACCATTCGAGAGGTGGAGGAGGAGGAGGAGGAGGGGAGTGAGGGGGTGGGGGGATTCGTGTGGGGTAAATTTGGAACGGGAAGCGAGAGGTTCACCACCTCACCTCACCACCAGAGCTCAACTCCAAACTTTTAAATCATATTCTCCGTCTCCAGTTACATTTCTACGGAGCCCCTTAGGGAACATGAAGGAAAACATTTTTTTTAAAAGTTTCTCGAGATTTAGCGCGCAAAACTATTGCAAACCCCCGCAAAACTGTTACGAGATCTCGCAAATGTTTATCTCAGGAGTTATTGGTCAGCGTCAAACTAATGGAACATACGCAAGGCTGTAATCACACAAAATACAGCTTCATCAAGATGTCTACAAAGACACCAGGTAGAAAGCTGACTTGCTTTACACAAAACCCATATCCAAATGTGTTCTGCTAAAATATGATGTTAGTTTTTTTCAATTAACTGGCTGTAATCTGTAGTATCGATGTAAACAACAATTGTTAGTAATAGCGCATTTAACAAATGCTACTTGAAGAATGTGCTCATTTTAAATCAGAGTTCTTAAGTCCTGGTCCTGGAGAGCCACCTGCCTGCAGGTTTTAAGCATCTCCGTATCCCAACTGATGTGGGTGATCTGCTCGTTGTCAATCAACTGAGACTCGACAGGACAGTCTGTCGATGATGAGCAGAATACCCAGATTAGTTGGGGCGGGATACGGAGATGCCTAAAACCTGCAGGCAGGTGGCTCTCCAGGACCAGGACTTAAAAAACTTGTTTTATTGCTTCAGCAAAAGACAGTACTTTAGTCAGTATTCTGCTGGTTGATACAGATTATTGCAAACTGTTTGACGAGCATGCATACCATTTCTCTTTATTAAATATAATCTACAATATAATATAAAACACACAAGCTCGACATAACATGTGTAACATTTGATTTTTAGTTTGTCGATATCCCAGGCCCAGTGCTGTTCCGTTAGTTTATTTTAACTCATTTTCAGCCCCTCTTTAAGAAACAGTTCACGGGTTTGGCGGATGATTTAACAGCCAGTGAAACGCAGAGCAGGTTTTGATGTCTGTAAGTGAAATGTTGTCCCGTTCTTGTCCTTACCGTCCTGTTTTTTTCAATGATGCACGTCTAAGAAATCAGGTGAGTTTCATAATTTCCAAAGGGAATGTCGGAGTTTGATTTTTCAGACCACGGGACAGTTTTCCACTTCACCTCAGTCCATCTGCTCTGAGCATGTGTGTGTACAGTTTGAACTTGCTTTCCACTCTGTCTGTTTTTGAAGTGCTGCCTCAAAGCCTGAAGATAGGAACAGCCAGCTTTGCTCTTTTGTACAGATTTCTCAAGATTCTTGAATCTTTTTCATAATATCATCTGCTTTAGATGATGAAATTCACTCATTTCTGGGAAGAACATGGACTTGTTGAACTATTTGCTCAGTCCCTCAAAGTGTCGAACATCTTCTCATCTTTACCTGAGAGATTTTAAATCTTGGAAACGTCCCTTTTTTACTCTGTCATGTTACTAACCTTTTGCAAATTAACCTCCTTAATTTAAACTTGTGAGTTCATATGTGGTCAATCAAAAAGTAAGATTGCATGTAGTCAGATGATGTTTTTTAGAGGTGTTCAGAGTTAATTCATATGTTTGTGTTATAAAACTCCTGGTGAGTTCTGGAAAAAAGAAATAAAGGAAAAAAAAACAAATATCTCTGAAAGGTTAACAGGACTTGAACCCTTGTCCCTGGGATATATTTTCCTTGAAGTATTTTTACTCTCAAGGAAAATACGCTGGGGATAATTTTGTGCAATTTATACAAACAACTGCACAGTCTGAAACACAAATGAAAACACAGAGAAAACCTCTTTTTTTATGTCATTGCCATCCGGGCCTTTCACGTCACTTTAAAGACTTTAAACAGTTTCAGCATCTTTGTACTTTAATTTTCTGTTTTGAAGAACCCTTTCTAAATCTCTGAATCAAACTCTTGATGCTCGTTTTTTTTTTTTTTTTTTTTTTCAAAAATAAGGATCACTGACATCCTTATTTCCTTTTCATTGTTTGAAAATATCTAATCAGGCCTGAGGAACAGTGCCAGAGTTAACCCAGAAAAAAACGTCTTTCATTCTTGTTCAAACTTTCATGACTATAAAAGTATCTTTTTTTCCAGAGATGATAGCTGGAAACTAAAGAATATAAACAAATGTTTGTGTTTAGTCTCAGTCCTACAGTAAAATTCCTCGGCTTGGTCTTCCTCTCTGAGTAAACAGAGAAATGTCCTCCAGATTTTACAGACACCTCTGGTTCAGTCTGGAAAGAACAGTCAAATGCTCACCACCATCAATCATCAGTGAATGCTGGAATTGATCTGTGAGGATGAGGCGCATCAGAGTGGTGTCTCTGTGAGGGAAAGTGTCAGAGGTCGGCTTCGGGCCATGTTTGCCAGTTTGTGGAGAGGGGAGCGTGTGGTTGCACCTCTCAGACAGCCTGGAAGTGACACTGGAAGTCTACACACTCAAGACTGACTGGGAGTGTGTGTGAGGAGTAACGCTTCTACTGAGTGAACCACAAAATCACCTTATTAACACTGCAACCATTTTCCTACAACATCACTCTGGGGTGTGGAGTCTGGGCTGAAATTTCTTTGTAACTTTGCTTTTATGCCTTTGAGTAGCATGTTTGCAGATCATTAAAAAAAAGACCCCAACTGACCAGGACTAGCTGACATTGTAGTTAGTAGTGATCCTCTCATTACCATTATCTGGGCTGCTCCTGTATCACTGCGGGATATCATCAGCAACTGTGAAAGAGAAACCTTCCACTGTCCTCTATTGTGTTCAACAACATTCAGTTTCTGTGTAACTGTGTAGCTTGTTTCATCATACTGAGTTCACAGTTCTGCATGGCTATTACTGTGGCCAACTAGCCATAAAATATCACAGTATTTGAACTTATGTTGAAAACTGGGAGGCCAAGATGAGGGTGGAGCAACAGGCTATTTGAGAAATGTCACTAATTTACAAAATGAATGTGCGTGTTGTCATTTATTTTTTAAGATGTTCAATTTAAGGATTTATTCACATCAGCAGCCCTGTAACTTCTTCAGAGAAAATGCAGCCTCACTAAACAAATGATCATGCTTTTATTTTGAAGTTTATTAGTTAACACTGGTGGATCATCAGTAACTGAACTAAATAAAAAACAGTTAAAATAACAGGGAAGACGTTCACTTCAGTTGATTTGATATTTTTGAATTCACATTAAATCTTTGGAGTCAGTTTTTCAGTGTTTCATCTCCTCACAGAGGGATGCTACAACTAGCTTCCAGGTAGTCTGCTACCTCTTCTTCTTCTCCTCCTCCCTTAGAAAACATGTGACAACCAGCATAAAGGAGCACTAAATCACAGTGACATCATATACTTATTTTTAGCATGACATAAATATTTTAATTTTAACTTTCAATATCAGAGTTTGACGACAGCCCAGCCCAGATGGGATTTTCTGAAGTGACTAATTTCCTCATTGTTAAAACAGAAATTAAAATCCTAACCATCCAACAAATTGAAAGGTCAGAAAACATTTAGGACAGTCAAAACTGAGCGTCATTGAGTTCACATGGCCAAACTCCTGATCACGTAGTCTGCAAACAAAGTCACATTGGGTCTGCTGTGGGGGCACCATTAGCAGAGCTAGCACCACAAGCTTTTAGTCCCTCCTGCAGGTTTATATGCTCTATGCCTGTCATGGGTGGGTGCGCCAGTTTAAGCTTTTTTTCTCTTTATTTTCTCCATCAAACACAAACAAACCATCCAACACTGCATCTGTGCTTGTTTACATCTGGGCAAGAGAGTATTATAGAAGTATGGCAGTAGCAACAGTTTAGACAACATCTGATTCAGGTCTACAAAAACTAAAATATGAACTATCTAACTGCAAATATTAACTAGTAAATATAGTCCCAACCTGTGACTGTTCTGTTGGTTAAATCAGCACAAACCTACTCTGACATCAACTCCTTGTCATACTGTGGCAACCTGCCCCTCAATACGCTGCCATTATTTTCTTTTCAGAGTCAAGAGTAGAGAAACCCTGAGCTGAGGGTTGAAGTGAGTGGACACCTGAAGAAAATGAGCGAGTAGATCCCAAGTATTAGGACTTCTGTTTAGGATAAAAAAGATGGTTGTTAATGAACTGATTAATTCAATAATGACAAATTCACAATGTTTGACATGGTTTTGTTGGGGAGGATCACAGCAGCATATGATGCATTTGAACTTCCTGATCTGAGTGTGATGTCAGAGGAAAACAGCCACTGAGTGAACCTGCTGAAGTTTAAATGCAGCCTGTACGACTTCAAATGCTGCTGATGATCTATGTCTTTCTCAGCGATTCAGTTGCTAAGTTAAATGGGGATTCACTTCTTGTGAATCCCCATGTGACTTAACTATTGTGTCCACGCTCACGGGGAAGCAGTCCTGCTCCTAAAAGTTTGATGTATTTGCTGAACGCTGACTGAATTAACTCTACTCTGCAAACCCTGTTAATCCGACAGGGATGGCGAGCGCAGAGACCTCCCGCTGGCGGGGCTGTTGCTGTAAGCATGTGAGTTGTCCCTGTCCCTGTCTCTGTCTTTGTCCTTGCTCTCGTGTTTGTGCTTGTGCTTATGTTTGTGCTTGTGCTTCTTCTTCTTCTTCTTGTGCTCATGGTGGTGGTGGTGATGGTGGTGGCTGTGTTCACCGCCGTGTTTCGAGGAAGAGGAGATGGTGTCTTTGGAGAAAGATGGCACTGGAGTGGCAGGCATGGAGAGTATGGACTGCTCCACTGATGGAGGCTCTTTTCCTTAGATGAAAAAGAGGATATGAGTGAGTGTGTAGAATTTTTAGGAACAACATATGAAGAACAAAGCTGCATATATGCACTCACCTGGGGTGGATGGTCTCTCTAACAGATTGAGGTGATGGTGAATGAAGGCCTGACTGTCATGAACAGTCTCCATATCGATATCTTCGTCTTCCATTGTGTTGAACTACAACAAACCAACAAAGCAGGGCTCAGTATTAAACCAAGTCTAAATCAGTCAAAGCAGAGAGCAGGAGACTCGACAGGAGGAGGTCAGCAACCAACAAAAAACAGCAGGAAGTCAAAGGAGATCTACTGACACACTGAACTCTGCAGCAGCATAGTGTTGGGTCGCTGTAGAAGCCTGAGCTCCTCAGACACACACACTCAAATATGGACACAGCATGGTACAGACTGCCAGTTAAGACACCATTTTCTGCCTTCTCTCCAGAGTGTAACACAGTGAAGGTGTAACTGTGGGTCACCTCTGACCCTCCCTCCGGAGCAGCAACAAAGGAGTAGTAGGGAAGATGGTGGGTGTGTGCAAAGTGAAACAGTGAGTGCGTGTTTGAGTGTGTATGCATGTTATGCTCCTGCAGTACTGCAACTTGATGTGAAATCATATACTGAGAGCCAAAGTTACACCGTTCCAGGATGCAGCGAATGAGTACAAATACATAGAAATAGCTTAATTTGATTCAGATGAGAAAAGGGCATAAATGTCCTAGCCTGTACTGAAGTGAGTGCTCACTTTCAAGACCAAAATGCAAAGGTGTTTGCACATCAACAGTTTATGCTTGGCATTGATAAAAGTGCAGAAACATAGCCTGGCTGGGCCATCCTTTGCGTGAATCACTTGCCGTTCCTTCCCACAACAGACTTCGGCCCCTGTTGACAGTGGAAACACGGTCTCGGTTATTTTCTGATCGGGAATACACGCTCCCAATGAGCCGAAGTCCAGACTGTTGTGGGAAGGAACGGCAAGTGATTCACGCAACAGGATGGCCCAGCCAGGCTAGCAGAAACAGTCATCACAGCAGGTCTCTGCAGCTTTGTCAGCTGTGCTTTCAACAGCATGCTGTTGGTGTCATCTCCTACCCAAAACCCTTTTCTGACAGCAAAGATTTCAACATGTGAGAGACCAGCTCTGGAAAGTTCAGAAAACTCCTGTGGATATGCAAGGAGGCTTCAGAGACCCCCACTGTTCCCCCAAGATCACTGTTCCCCCAAGATACTAAAAGGAAGTTAAAAGTCATGCCAGAAGAGTCCATTACCCTGATCTTGTAGCGTCCCCCTCGTCCTTCATCATCTTGTTGCTGCAGGATCTGTCCTGGCTCTGGAGGGGAGCCCAGTGGGGTCTCAGCTTTCCTCTTAAGGCCCTGAGGGGGTTGTCCTACCCCACAAACACCTAATGAAACAGGATCTGGCTCTTCCTCTACCTGGTAAACACAAAAAAGACACTAAGCTTTTCCTTGATATTGAAATGATATTGGATTATAAATCAAGTTGGAGTATAAATCTGATGGATTCCAGTCATGATGAGGAAATAATCAGCCTGTTCTCATGTGAATAAAAGTAAGCAGTCATGTTCAGAATGATCAGTATCTAAGATAACACTGATCCAATCAGTCGTCATAGAGACCCTTTTAGAGCTTGAGCTGCGCTGTCTGCAGTCATTCAGGACCAGATGGTGATGCAATGGGAATGATGTGCAGCCAAGCACCACTGGCAGCTCCATATTCCCCACAATTACACAGATCCAACCCAAGATAACACAGTTTTGATGATACGGTTTCTATTTGTGTGCTATCTGAAAACCTTAATGCAACATTATTAAATCAAATTCAAACGGAGGGAAATAAAGACCACCAAGAAGCTCCCTGATTACATCTCCATTAGCTAAGAAACCAATGAAACTTGAGCGGTTGTTGCATGGCGGATGATGTCTTCAACCCTCAAGCTCAGTGGAGTGAATAACCAACATGACCTGGCAAAATAACCTTTAATCAGAAATTCACATACTGTATTTCAGTCTTCACGGAGCTGGTTCTGACAAATGATACCGTATCACTTACAGCTGCATAGCTCATGCCGACACCGTGGATGCCTATACTGGCGGGGGTGTCCATGACAGCGCCGACCCCCAGCTCAGGCTTGATGGTGGGGTTTAGGACAGCTTTCTTCTCCTTCAGGTTGAGCACCAGGCCCAGTTCAGGCAGGGGCAGGCAGGATGGCCGAGTCAGACCAAACAGAGCGTAGTAGAGGTTCACAGCGTCACAGCGCAGTCGCCAGTCATGAGAGGTACCTGAGGAAAAGAAAGGAGATGAGGCAGAGACCAGATAGAGGGGAAAAGGAGAGCTGTTAGGATCAAAAATGGAGGAGAAACAAGAAGTAAAAGTCCTGTCTTTCTCTCCTCCTACTCCTCTGGTTTTCTCTGTCATACTGGATATACAACTCCATCCAACTGAAAGATCTGTACATGCTTTCAGCCTTAAGCCGGGAGTTGTACAGCACAGATGTTTTTGAAAAACAAACAAACAGAGCTGTAAAAGTGATGGTGTCTTAGCCTCTTGCTAACACATTTTTTCAGCTGGGAGACAGCCAGATAGGGAGACTGACCTCCAGCCAGATAGGTAAAAGCTGAAAGGAGGCGTGTGGCCACCAACTGAAGAAGAGGCAGACATGCTGCTGTCAATTATCTAAGTCTTGCTCAGGGCTTGTAAACTGGGACACAGAAAGTAGTCCAGTTCAATGACCAAACTGAGCTCAAACACTGCATCACCTGTCTGATAAGGTTAGGTAACCACTGTAAATGTAACTCGTTAACTATTCATTTCTGTATCATGTTGAATGTTCCAGTTTTATTTCAATGTTAGCTTAAACAAAGTTTTGAGTTGGACTTCCACATTTGGATGAAGTTTCTCATTTTTTACTGTTGCTGCATATCAGTTGTATCTGTATTGTGTCATCCTGAAAATCTTTATCGGTCCACCCCTGAATATTATTTTGTTAAAACTGTGTTTTTGTGTCATTATGACATCACTCATTACTAATTATGACTTTTAAGTACATTTTAAGTGTGATTGAATTTTTTTCCCAATTTCTATTTTTTTTCTTAAACTTCGTGATAATCAAGGAGACTTCCTCTACCTGCCCCCTGTGACTCTTCTGTTGGCAGTGCTGTGTTTAAACTGGACAGAGTGAAATGCTGGAGAACGCTGAGCTGACAGACTCCAGGGTAGGCGCCCATGGTTGTTGGGGATTGATTGTGGCTTTTAGAAGAAAGTTGTAATAGATGAGTGTAACAGCAGCAGAAAGAATAAGAGTTTATGTTCTTTCAGCGCTGACCTTCAGCCGCTGAAACATCATCCTATGTGAGTGTGTGAGTTAAACACATGGGGGGCTGTGGGTTATGTGGAAGGGGAATAACACAACCAACACATTTATGAAACATAGCATTAAGGGTTAGCACACTGTGGTCACTGTGTATTTAGACTGGCAACAAAGACAGGCTGTCCATCCCCCCACCCCACCCCCCCAAACACACACACACACACACACACACACACACACACACACACACACACACACACACACACACACACACACACACACACACACTGACCGGCCTTCAAACTGAAGTTCACTGCAGATAATAAAATAATAATTCCTAATATTTTTCTGTAAAAAACATGACAAGCTTGTAAGTCAATAAACTGATAACATGCTGCAGAAAGAGCTGGATTGTCCTGAGAGATGTAGAATTGTTAACATAGGCTCTTATTTGGGTTTTGGGCTGGTAAGTATTTGGATTGGCAGACTGAAGCATGGCTGACTGAGAGACACATCGGACCCCCTTGAAAGGGAGAAATGATGAAACCTGAGGACACAATAGGAGGCATGGTCTGTGTGATACAGGCAGCAAAATGTAGACCCCAACCTTTACAGTTGAAGAGTAAGAATAAATAAAGGAAAAAACATGGAGGAAACATTACACCTGAAACACACCTGAACCTACTGAAATGACAGTCATTAATAGACATAGAAATTTGTTCAAAGACCTGTAGGTGGGCCTTTATGTCAGACTTGATGTATGATGTATGAGCCAACAGTATAAACAAACTAAGGCTAGCTAACAACATCCTCCTAACACTAAGTATGCTCCAAACAGTCAAAGGAACCATGGCCATCAAACCTGAGATACAGGGGCTTACCAGCCTGAGCACTGGTTTGTGCACTTGTGGACTCTAAAAGGAACTGAAGAGCTGAATCTCAAACCAAAAGGACAAGAAAGACCTCTGAACATACTGCATACTGCTGTTTGTTATGTACTTACTTTTGTAGCTCCTCTTCTTTTATTGTAAATGGAGCAGCTGTGATGAAGGTCAAACTTCATACTGTCTGACAAAGTCATATCTAATCTGATCTCATGATAAGTAAGGGTAAGAGTGTGACACTTTAGCATTATACTCACACAAACTGCATTACCCTGTTTTTCATAACCAACCTAAAAAACTCCGTCCAGTAGCCCAGAGAGGAGTTGGTGCTACTCTAGAACTGTGTGGTCTGGCTCAGGGACAGTGTCTTTGGTGGTGGAAACACAAAGAACTGAGTCTAAATCAGGAACTGGCTCTCGATTAGCACTAGAACCAGCTTGGTGGGAAAGGGGTTACAGAGCTAAACAGAAAAATGATCTTCAAAGTCTTTAATCTTAGATTTAAATACATTTCATGACACCACCTCCCTCGGTTTCAATGTCTTTACAAGCTTTCAAGACAGAGAGCATTAAATGTTCCTGCGAATGTTCTGAATACTGTCCAGCACTTTCCCTAATATAAAAACACAGCGTGTCAACAGTCCAATATTTGCTTTACCCACTTGAATGTTTCATGGAAAGCTACTGTTGGAAGTGTTGACCTGAGACTCTGATGGTGCTGCTCACAGTAATGTAAAACTTTATTTCAGACCCAGTTAGTCCGTATCATACAAAGAACAAAAAAACTAAACTAAAGTAAAGTAAAAAGATGAGCAATAGTTTTTTTTAAAATGTGTGTGTGTGTGTGTGTGTGTGTGTGTGTGTGTGTGTGTGTGTGTGTGTGTGTGTGTGTGTGTGTGTGTGTGTGTGTGTGTGTGTCACCTGAGTTCATAAGCTTCCAGAGCTGGTCGACCAAAGCTTCATTGCACAGAGAGGAGTCTGTGGTCTTGGTGAAAGGAGGATTCTTACAGAGCATTCCCAGGATCTTATGTCTGATAAATTACAAAGAAAGAAGATGAAAATCTGCACTGGCTCTTTTCAGCAGCTCAGGGTTGGTTATTGGGTTGTTTGTACATGTTGTTTGTAATCACCGCTGGTCAAACACACCGCAGTGTGACAGTCGTAAATAACAAATTTGCTGGCTTCAGAAAGAGGTTGCACAAACATTAGCAGAACTAGAAACAACACATCTACAGTGAGAGAGACTACATGCAGTAAATGTGAGTCCATGTGTGACTACCTGACATAATGAGTTGGGTCATTCTGGACCATATCGAGTAGCCACTGCAGCTCTGCTGAATTTCTTTCAACTGCAGGACAGACAAAGAAAACAAACACAAGAAATCTAAATCAAGGAACCTGTCATTGGTAACATCTCTGACCAGAGGAAAAAAGGAACAGAAACACAGAAACATAGCTGGCTATGGCTGTGTTTCAGGAAAAAGAGATTGTTCATCAGCCATAAAAAAAATTTAAAACAGCGAAGTTCTGAATTCAAGGTTCACTCTGAAAAACTGCATTTGGCTTATTTGGCTCCCATCGAAGGAGGCCAAATAAGGGCACCACCTCTTGACATCTATCCTTTTATCAGTTTTTTATCAGAAACACATCCAAGGATGGATAAAGAGCCAAAGATGCTGAAGAGTTTGAGCCAGGTCAATAAGCTTCACAGGACTGGTGGTTAACCTGATAAAAAGCACACCTTTGTTAAAAAGCTCACCTCGTGTGTAATCCACCAGAGCCTCCAGTGCAGCAACGCGAACGTCCACAAAGTGTCCGTACTCTGCGTATGACTTGAAGAGTGATGCATCGCTGGGAATGTGTCCGTTCTTCTGCAGCTGACGGATCGCTTTCAGACAGCTGTATGGACGTGAGGGAGACAGGATGGTTTTGCTGTGTGTGATATTACTACTAACAGAAGACAACATGTCTTTTCTATTTCATAAGTCATCACTGGTGTTTAAAGATGTTTTTAAGATGTGTAATACAGAGACAAAGCACTGTGAGGATAACAGAGTTTGCAAAGGCAAACACTCTCCACTCCTGACCTCACAGTGATGGTGTTTCTGAAGCTGGGCAGCAGTTTCTCCATGTTGAGGAAACGTGTGATTTCCTCCAGGATGAGACGGACGTCAGCGTTCAGGTTGTCCACTGTCCGCACCTCGTTGTTGATGCTGATGGCGGGGGTCAGAGAGTTGGTGAGCGCCTCAATCAGATCTGCACGGTAGTAGTTATCTGAAAACTGAAGAGGAGGCAGGAGGGAGGGGAGGAAAAGGAAAGGAGAGGAAGGATGCTGGCACTTTTAAATTTCATTGTGCATTTTACATGTTACAATGACAAGAATTCTCTTCTATTCAATTCAATTCAACTCTATGCTGATCCTAGCAAGGCCACTGGTTCACTGTTAGCATCTGTGGAATGACAAACTTTTCACCAGCTTTGTAATATTTTAATGGTACTTGAATCATTCAGTGAGGCATTTTAACAAAACATGTTGATGCTGGAACTGACCATGAAAACTGGGGTGTGCTTTATGATTAATTGATTTGACTGCTTCTCTCTACCAAGTGTGTGTGAATCTGAGTGTTTACTTTGTTTTTTCTGTTGTCGTTGTACTTGATAAGGTCCAGGATGAAGTTAAGGACATCTTTGGGACAGAGGTTCTGGACATCTCTAAGTAACGCCATTGCCACCGGCATCGTCTGACGTGGAAAAAAAGGAAAAAAAAAAAAGAAATCATGACATGTTAAAAAACACAACATGAAAGCTTTGTTGAAGAGTACCTCTGGCTTTCATTCTGAATACGCCCCTGTGAAACATCTATTTTTGACCCAATTTGGAGTAGAAATTCTGCAAAAGTTATCTGATCGGAAGATTTTCCAGAATTTATCAGCGTTTTCTGTTAAACTAAGTATCTATCACTGTCTGCAAATTCCATAGAATAATAACTACCTTTGCTTTTCGAGTTAAAGACGTAATTCTCATCAAAACCAGGGATCATAACTGATTGATTTCTTTTTAATTTTCCTGAGCTGTAAGCTGTAATCATCAAGAATCAAAAAAAAAAAATCTGTGAATATTTCACTTTGTGTGGGATGGATCTAGAATATCTGGAAGTTTCACTTTTTGAATTAAATTATGGGGAAAAATGAATTTTTAAGACATTGTTATTTTGAGCTGCACCTGTACTTATTGTAAGGTAGCAATCATCTGGGAAGATAGTTTTTAACAAATAGTGCATATAAACCCAGGCTTTATCTACCGTAGATCTGGTCATTATGTCTGGAACCATGTGCAGTCATGGCTTTCTACTTGTCCTTTTCTTGTTATTCATGATGCAATAGGACAACGATTACACTCATGTTAGCGGCTTTTCTGATGGTGTTTCTAGAGCTGCAGCAGTGTTGTGCATCTTGTAGTGAAACACATATCTACTACTTCACCACAAGCCTGTTTAAGATGCTGAAGTCTGCTGCTGCTTCCTTTATTTGCAATAGCCTTTAAACAAATTTTGCGGCAGGCTGTGGCTTGTTCAAGGTTTAATTCCCCAAATTGCACCAGTTTCAAACCACTTTGGCAGGAGTGTTGTCAGTATCTTGATCTAAAAAAGGGAGATGGATTTATATGTTGGCTGGGTCTGGTTAAATTGGCATATCATAACTTAACAGGTACAATGTGTAACTGGTGCAGGTATGTGGACAATTACCTCCAGGAAGGACTGACTGATGGTGCTAGCTCTGCTGGCAAACTAGTTAGTCTTAGTTTACTCACAGACTCTGTGATTCGTCTTCAGCTGTGCTCATAAAATTGTTGAGATTTTGACCGTTGACCGTTTCCTTCACCAATTGTGGAGAAGTGTTTTCTGTTGGCTCACCCTCTGCAAGAAGTAGCTCTGGAAACTGATGAAGTTGTTGGTCTTGACGATGTTGGGGCAGCTCTTACAGCAGAACATTCTTGTGAATAGAGACTTCATAGCTGGTGGGCCCTGCCACGTGCTCACCATGGAGTTGGCTATCTGCAAGGTATACACATGAGTACACAAAAATGCACAGTTATCCTTCCAGTTCTAAGTGGCCACATGTGAGGGTCAGCATCTGTCAGCTGTGTTTCATCTGCTGTCATCAGGATTAATTAATGGCTGAATCAAACTTTCAAAATTTGTGCAAAGCATGTGGAATGTAAAATGTACACACAAGTATGAGCTGCACGCTCTCTGGCTGTGGTAGTTACTCCAGAGAAACTGAATGGCACATAATGACTGTTGTATAACAATGTCCTTTCTGTTCATTTTAACTCTTGTGGTGAGAACAGAGCTACAAAGTAAAAGCCAAATGTACACATGAGAAGCACATGAGGTTTCCACAGGTATGAAGACCAGCAGCTCCAGCGGTCTCTGGGCTCTAACAGGATATTGGGGAATTTATGTTAATGTGTAATATCAGGTTAAGGGTCACTGACACAGGATGTTGTCATTTGGTAAGATAAATAAAGGGAGACATGGACACCGCAATCCTTCTGCGCATACATTCAAGAACACGTGCGTTTTTGTGTGTCAGTTTTAGACAAGGGAATGTCTTTGCCGGTTTTTCACATTTTCAGCCTCAGGCTGTTTCTTCTTTCTCCCCACATTCTCAGCCAAAAACAAGCAGGGAAACGCCACCCCAACCAATCAAGATGCAGCCAAGTCAATCTGAGGGTCCAAGCCAGTCATAATTTACTTTGTGGTAACTGTGGGTTTTCACGTCTGTGACTGTGTGTGCATGTTGATGTCAATGTTGGAGTATGTGTGTGACAATATGTATGTGTGTAAAGGCCATTACGATGGAGTCTGTTGGGGATTTTGTGGCCAAACATAGCAACTTAATGAAAAAAGTGAAGTGCTGCCATCTCAGCCTCCCCTCAGTTTATCGTGCTGGAACAATATTGGTTCAGGTGGAACCCAGATGGCGGAAACCCAGTGGGGTTAAAGCTGGAAACGACCAAATCCAGAGAATAGAGAATTTCCTGAAGCCACAGAATAGGATTATTCAGTCGGCTGAGCTCTGGTGCAGAAAGGGTTAAACTGCTGGGTGGCCTCACTGGTACAGAAGTTCGATGTTCTGGAAATAAAACTTTTACACAAAAGTGTTTTGAACTTATTTCCCCAGGAAACAACAGACAGAAATGAAACAGATAGAAGTGCCAAATGAGAGACTGTCAACAGAAGCTGAAGTGAGTTTGTTTCAGAGTTTTTCATGCAGGTAGAAAGAGAGAAACTTGTTATACTCCTTCTTTGTCCCTCTCTCCATGCATAATGGATCCAGGCCTTCTGCTTTACATACTTACTGTTACTTTATCTGCAGATCTATCAGAGCTTTTCTACCCCTCCCTCCCTCTCTGTTCTCTGATTCTGCTTTCATATTCAGTATTTTTCTGTTAACACTTTTCCTTTTCCACCACTTCAAATTTAGCATTTCCAGAGAAGAATGTGAAGATGGAAACAAACATGACTGGACTGTTTCTCACGTGTGTCACACCACAGACCACATTCACCACATTTCTGTGACCTTTGACACCTCTCTAAAATCTGAGCCCAGAAGCAAAACACCAAACCACAGAAATTCAAACCCGTAATCTTAGGAGGGCCAATTTTAACACCATACAGTGTTAATCCTTACAATCACTTTATGAGGAAATCAGTCTCACTTATACTTCAGCCACAAGTGCCATGGGATATTTGAAAACAATGCCACTACAGTGTTGTAAGTAAAGATGCAGTGGTTTACCAGTGTAACTATTAAATCAAGAATGACCATGAAGTAATTCAGGATGACTGTTCACCAAAACTTGCAGCAAGGAACTTGTACCTTAAGGGACCAACATATTTAAAACGAAATGTCGCATCTACTTGTCTCTGTGAGCCGTAGTTACCAAGATTCAAACAAACAAAAAAATGAATGTTTGAATGAAAGCCTTCTTTTTTGTGATGAACCTAGACATATGGCAGTTTAACTTTTTGAATTAAATGATAGAAATAATAAAATATTTTAGGATTTTCAGGGTTTTTTTGAGCAGCACACGTATTATTATTTTTATGCTTTAGTTAGAGAGGTGTATTTAAAGTGTTTATTAATCCAGTATGGGATTTCTTCTTTAAACATCAGCAAACATTCAAACCTTCCCTCTGTGATTCAGTTTGAACATAGACAGATCATTTTATCCTCATGCTTCTGGAATTTTGCTCAACACAACCTTTAAGTCAACCAGAATCTGACTCAGAGACTTTAATAACTCACCCACCCTATTCTAGTTAGGCTTGTGTTAAAGCTGACTCACAGGAAAATGATCCCTAAGCTGCGCTCTGCTCATACCATCATTTAACACATCTTAGCACTGACTTTATATCCCAGCATTGCCTGAGTACAGAGCACTTACTTGTGGGGTTGGCCATGTCTTGTATCTATACTGTGTCTGCCAAGGTAAACAAAAGTGGCCGACCTAAATGGCTTGAAATGGCAACAGCCTGCCTAGCTATTCAGCTATAATCACTGCATGACTGATTGAACTAATGCAACCCCTGCAGCATAAAATTTATTCCAGAATAGCGTCTTTGATTGTCTCTGCCAAAGAAAATGCCTTTAATATTCTTTTCATTCACTGAGTTAGGCCTATACCATGAACAGGACCTCACCAAGCAAACCCTCTCTTAACCCCTACCATGAGACACTCTCACAAGGGTCAGACCTTTTTTCACAAAGTTTAGGATTGTTATGATAAACAGATTCAAACATTCATTTTCAAAATGACACTTGTTGATAAGATGTATGGAAGACGAAAAGAGACAGAATAAAATATATAAATACATATTTAAATAAATACTTAAATATGTCATTAATGAATTAAAATGGGAATTAAATGATAAAATGTGTCATTAATTTATTGAAATACCAGATCATTCCATGTAAAAACATCTATAATTATTTCACTATTTAATGAATTATTTCATGGACCTGTGTTGCAGTACTTCATGAATTTATTTTATCTGTCAAACTCATCCATCAAAATCAGTGGGCGGATCCTAACACCTGATTGGTTACTCGGCACATCAAGTCAAGAAAGAGAGACTCCAGACAGATATTGGAAAACGCCACTCTATAGTCACAAATAATGCTAAGAACAGCACCTAACTTCATTAACAGTACATATAGGGTCCCAGTCATCGCATAAGCCACCAAACATCTTTTTAGCTTAGCCTAATTTCTTTAGCAAAGAGACTAAACACAACTCACCTACTCTCTTCCAGCAGCTGCCTGTTTGTGGGGGGAGCCCTGACGAGTCCATCACCGAGTGCAGCAGATCATTTCCATGAAGTAATAATCATCATAATAATCATTTTGCACTGCTGTCTCGGTAGTTCTTCTGCTTTAGCGTCTCAGTCTGACTGCATTTCCATGAAGTAATAATCATAAATGTTCTTCCTTGAGCTGTAAAACTCATCTCTCGAGGGGGTGTCTAACTCGGTGTTATGGTGTGTTTGACCCTTACTTTATTTTACGCCAGAATATCCCTTTAATTCCTCTGCTTTACACACAGCATGCTCTGGGTCAGTCACGGCACCTTTCAATAATGCATAAAATATCACGCCACCCCAGTGTTGAGTACAATTAAAAGCGACACTGCAGAGCCTCACTCTAAATGCATATGTCCTGTTTATTTAAATGGGACAGTACCAATGAACAGAGCATAATACCAACTCAAAATGCACCAGAGATAAGCAGTAATGTTTTGTTCCATATAAATATCTATAACCACCCCCCGAGAAAGTTGGAGCATATCCTCCATAGATGCTATGTTTTGAAAGACTTAAGGCTTCAGACCAAAGTAATGGATCACACGAGCTCAGCATTGGTCCCGCGTACTGATTTGAACGAGTTTGACAGATAAAATAAATTCATGAAGAACTGCAACACAGGTCCATGAAATAATTAATTAAATAGTGGAATAATTATACATGTTTTTACATGGAATGAGCTGGTATATTAATTATTCAATGACACATTTATTTATTTAGTTCCAATTAAAGATAATTATTGGCATATAAAAGTATTAATTTAAATATGTATTTAGATATTTCATTCTGCCTTTTTTCGTCCTCTTTAAAGATGCAGTCACACCTCCAGTCTTGTATTTTCTGTCTTTGGTGAGGAAAGCTATGACCCAGAGGCCTTACAGTGTTAAAACTAGAAAAGCACTCGGAGAGCGCAGACCTCTGCCAAGCAGCTCATGTCCCCCCTTATATTGTGATTCACACCAAAACTTTTACTGTTACGTGTCTTTTATTAACTTTTAATTGTGTTTAAACTGGTATGTTCACTGTTCATAATGTTCCTAAAACAGGAAATGCCCTGACCCCGATCTGAACCCAGGACCTTCTTGCTGTGAGGTGACAGTGCTAACCGCTACACCACTGTGCCGCCCATCTACACCACTGTGCCGCCCATTGGTTTTTTTCAGCATTGAAAATTCCAACGACACCCTTATTTTTGTGTGTTCTGGATCACAGTATCCGGAATTTTGTCTGGATCAGGATCAACCTTTCACACCTTATAAAACTCATTGAGATCCTTTTGTTTAATTTTTTACTAAAGACTCTGGACATTTTTATAGAGTTAAATGCAAAAATTCCTAAATGTGCCCTATCTCACAATGATAAAGAATCCTTCAAAAAATTCCTGGATCCAGAAGGCGATGCGGATCACCACCAAAATTTAATGGGATCCTCCTGGGGCTGAGACGCACCTCTGGTGAAAATTTCAGGTCAATCTGTCTGTTACTTTCTCCATAAAGTTGCTAATAGACAAACAAACTAACAAACAAACCAACAAACAAACCAACGCTACTGAAAACATAACCTCCTTGGCAGAGGTAATTAGTGTCTGAAAATACACAGACACCTGCAGACTGACACATACCTTGGCCAAACAGAAGCAGGCTTGCATGCGGACTTTGTAGAAACACTGTTCTTGTTCCAGGATATCTGTCAGAGCCAGTCTGGAGGCAGGAGTTGGGAACTTTTCCAGTGCTGAGATCGCCTCCTCCTGAAAGAACAATAAAAGTCAGCAATGATAGAAGACTGTTTGTGATTTAAACCTCTTAAAGCTTCTTTGAAGAGTTGATCATGTTTATGAAATAGACTGAAATTCATATTGATTCTTATTCATGAAAACCCAAACATGACCATAAGCAATAGCACTGAGAAGCAGCAAAGCAGCTAACAGTTCTATTCTTGTGAATTCAGCATCCACATTTGAGCATCCAAAGTCAGCAGGGTGGCTAAAGGAGACTACTGAAGCATGTGACAGACAAGAACAATGTGGACTGTTCTGTCCACTGAATCACTGAAACAGACACAACTGCAGGTTCCTCAAAGGGGCTTAAAGTGAGAAGATTTGGTCTATTGTCAATACTGAAGAGCTTTGAACTTGAGAAATGTTGGTCAGTTCACATACTTGTTCCATTATCCCTGTGACTGTGACCAAACATCTGTAGGTACTTTTGTTGTTTATCTCGTTCATCTCTCTCTTTCTCTGTCTTCCTCTCTCCTCTCTAAACTGAAGATGGGATCAGAGTGGGTTTGAACGCAATCCAATACGTCTCTATTTTGGTCTTCCGCTAAAAATCATGCAGTCTGCTGTAGACCAGCTCTCTTTCTTTAAGCATCTTGGTATTATGTTTGCTGTGAACTAATGCTACATAAATAAAGACTAATTGACTGATATTTGTGACAATTTTTGTCTTTACATAAACTAAGTAATGCATTTATGAATCAAAAAACATATACAGCCATTTTGTGAGGAACGAGTATTATTAGTTGTGGGTCTTAATGCAATATATCGGCATTGTTTCATGTTCATATTTTGAAAAGGATTTACTTTCAAGTATGAATCTTTTCATATTCTTAAACTGACCTTCCAACATTTCAACCTATCTTCATATGTCATCATTCTGTTTTGTTTTTGGTCATCTCTATGCCTGTCGGTAGGTTTTTAAGGTTCCAGAGCTGAGTGTTGAAAAAGGCATGTTGTTGAATCTCATGCTGTGTTAAGTTATAATAGTGGAGTAGAGAAGTGACATGATTGTTCTGTTGGTGATACAATCATGAAAATTGGCATGAGCATTCTTCATGGGTCACTTGACTGGAAAAGTGTCCCAGCCATTTGAAATTTCAAGGAGGCGGCCATTTTTCAAGATGGCCGCCACCTAGGTGGAACAAATAAGTGTTGACGCCTATTAAGTTGGTGATATAGGCGTGAAAATTGGTATGAACATTCTTCATGAGCCACTCAACAATTGAATGTCCCAAGCTGCTTTTCAAGATGGCCACCATTTTTAAGATGGCCACCATCTCATTAGAGCGCACTAATGCGCACTTCTCGTGTGTGAATGGGTAATACACCACCTTTTGCCACAATGGCACAGTGCTCCTTAACTAGACAGGCCGCTAAAGGAAAACCACCAACCATGATGAGTAATTCTTCATCTGTATGAGACCGCCATCCCCAATCAATGAGTCAACAATGACCTCTTGCGCTACACTCACACATATGATGCTATTAGCATTTGCTCTGCGGGTGATCAAAGAGACAGAGAGATTTTGTAGGCCCCTCCTTTTAATTTAGGCTAATGACTGTAGAAAGCCTCTCATATCCTTATGCTCAGCCGGTTGCTGTTACTCACAGTTTTGGAGCGGTATTACAACAACAGGTGATGGTTCATGCACTGATCAGCTGTTGTGATAACTCAACATTTAGAACATGATTTGTGTTCTATGGGTTCTTGCTGATGAGTTTTCTCAAAGATTAGACACAGTAAGGTACAAAGACACTGCAGGAGGGAGACAGGTCACAGTGCTGGTAAAAGAGGAGAGAGGAGGGTATCGGGGTGGATTCTGGGTTTATGCCCATGATGCCCCCCACATCCTGATATTTGATTATTATATTTTGTTTTATTTTGTTTATCATCAGCTATTTGGCTGTGATAAAAGAGTAGGCAGAGCTAATATTGAAAAGTATTCAAAATCAAAGATTAGTTTCTAAGTCTTCTTGCTGTTTTCCCACCTGTGCAACAACATCCCTTTCAAAACGCAGCTGATATTGCCACATGAAGTCCGCCTGCTCAAACTCCACCTTCCTCAGGATGGACATGTCAGGGTCAATCCGGATCCAGAGGAGAGGAGAGTCAGCGCTGTGGACAAGAGGGGAGCCATGCGATCACATAAAGATCTATTTTTATTGTTGAGATATGTGCATGTAACAGTATTTATTATGTGGAGGTACAGTATGCTGAACAACAACGGCTAGGCTCTTTGATATGTTTTGAACAGTAACATGAGAGATGTCTTACTCCATGGCTGATAAATCCATGTCCACCTCCTCTCCGTTCATCAAAGGAATCTTCTTTTTCTTGTTTCTGAGATGACAAAACAACAGAAAAATTAGAGACAGAAGAGTGCCACATTTCCTTTGAGCACAGTTTTCTCAGAACAGCAGAGACAGAAGGAGACCGGGGACGGAAGTAGCATCGATGAAAAAAAATGCTAACTAGAGGAACAAATCAGGAGGTGATCTAGGACCACCAAAGTCAAATAGAAGTTTGACATAAACTCAAACACAGGGGCTTACAGATAAATGCGAGAGGGTATTGACTTTTATTATACAACATTATATCAACCACAAAAGCACTGCAAATAATATGCTCTCAAATTTTGACTATTAAAGTCCAAGTGAAAGGCTTTTGGCCTCTTGAGCTCTCTTTGACTGTAAGTTTAATGCAACAGAATCCGTAACTGTGCCAGTAAACACACGAGAGAGAGCCAAAACCCCAGTGAATGTGCTGCAGTTAGTGTTTGCAGGATTCTGATCCAAATAAGTTGGCCCAAGTCTGAAATCTTTAAAGTCACGCATGCTGATGGGGTTTAATTCCATCCAGATAGAGGTGAGTTAGAAGAGGACCGATCAGCTCTGAATACAGTTTGTGTACCAGTTTATTTAATTTACTGCTGTGACACAGCTGAACGAGCTTTGTACTCATTTAAAGTCATTTAAATATATCTGACAGTCAACATAAAGTTTACACTTCTCATTTAATGAGCAGCTAAAAAGACAACAGACCGTAAACATTTGCAGATTTTCCTGCTTCACTAACCATGTCAACACTTCAGGTCTCCCTGCACAGAGTCTAATAAATGGGTCAAGTACCAGCCGAAGTCCATTGGCCAAAGAAGAAGGCGGTGGTGGGATAAGGTTGGAAAACAGTGAAAAGAGCTTAGTGAGCAATTTTCTGTTGAAACTAAGTTTAAAACTCATCTATGGCCACCACTGAGGATACAACCCAATTCAATCCAAGTTTATGTACAAAGCACATTTAAAAACAACTAAATGCTGACCAAAGTGATGTTCAGTAAAAGTTAAAAACAATAAAACAGACAGTTAGCACAAACAGTTAATCACAGATGCAGGACCACATGAAGAACAGGAGGACATGAAGGGATCAGAGCCAATTTCTTAATCAAAGCCAAAATCCAAAGAGTAAAAGTGTGTTTTCAAGTTTGATTTAAAAACAGACAGTGAGGGGGACAGTCAGACTGGAGGAGGAAGTGCATTCCAGAGCTAAGGCGCATCTGCTGAAAAACCTTGGTCATCCCTGAACTTCAAACTTGACCCTGGGACAGTCAGAAGACACTGGTAATGAAATATGGGGTTTTAAAAGGTCAGAAAGATAAGAAGGAGCAAGCCCATTTAAAAATCTATAAGTTTAAAGCAAAGAGCAAGTCAATCCTAAAACACAAAGGAAGCCAGTGAAGAGAGGCTAAAATGGGGGAAATGTGGTCATATTGACGTTGACCAGTTAAAAGACGAGCTGCAGCATTTTGATTAAGCGTAAATGATAAAGGGAATTTGGCTGGCACCAAAATAAAGTGCATTACAATAATGGAGACTAGTTGTGATAACAGCGTGCATAACCTTCTTAAAATTGCTGTAAGATAAAAAAAAGCCTCAACCTTGGTTAAAGGACAAAGATGATAAAAAATTGGCTTTTACAGCTGCATGTATCTGTAGATCCATTGTAAAATCGCTGTCCTTTATCCCTTCCAGATTTTTGGCAGAGTCTTTTAGAAAGGGCTCAAGAATGGACAGATTGGCTCTAGGGCTGCTGCCATGGGGTCCAAGATGAGAGCTGCATTGCGACTGGGTCCCGCCAGGTTTCTGCGGGACCCAACACAAATCTTGCGGGAGCAGATGGTTTGAACCCTGCTGCGGGCGGAAATGGGGTTCAGAAATAGTAAAAGTGGTGGAAGTTCAGCATAGAGCACTTCCCAGCGCTCTCTAAGCTGAGGTGTTTCATCTACAGCATATCCGCATCCAGTGCAACTTCAGAGCGGGCCTTTAGTGTTTGTGGCACATCTTGGAGAGAGACGCACAAGATTGGGATCGCAGTCGCTCAGCAATGTTCTCTTTCTCCACAGCAATATTATGGCCAAGTGATTCAATAGTTAACTTTGTTCATTATAAGCTTTGAGCCACTCACAGCCTACTCGTGTTGCTATTTGTTGATCATGGTACATAAAGAGGTGTTAGGATGTGTTATTGAGTGAAGGCTGATGAAGTTTAACAGAACAGAATACCTGCCACGTTTGGCTAATAATTTTAAAACTACTGTTTTATATGTTGTTTGTTGGAATACATTTTTTCCAAACAGTCTATTTCTATGTGCCGTGTGATGGTGCAAAGTGTTTGATAAAACAAGGGCATATTTAAATGTACAGTGTAGTGTTGTCTATCTGCTGATTGTGTTATCTTTAATGTTTCTTATTCAGGTCTCTCTCAGAAAACAGACCTTAACCTCAATCAAGGTAGAAAAATGAATAAAATACAGAGGAAGATAATAGAATATAAAACTGCCCTTATTTCACTGAAAACAAAATGAAAACCACGAGATAGGAGCACTGTTCCTGACCAGTGTGTTAAAAGACATGCAGGCTAGGGAAACCAAACAAAAAAACCCAGGTGGTAGTGTTCAGAAATTCATCAGTAGTGGGATGAAGAAAAAAGTCCTGTGCACGGCTGTAGTCCAAAAACAAAGACTTCAGTCCTACTCTCATTTAGCTTGAGAAAATTGAGAGCCATCCAGATTTTAATGTTTCTCAGACAGTCCAGCAGTGGGCCCAAGGTGTATTTGCAGCTCCTATTTTCAGGGGTCAATACAGCTGTGCATTGTCAGCATAGAAATACATTTTTATGGACTTTTAAAAAAGGTACAAAAAAGTGTTTTTTTTTTTCCATTTGGTTTGACCCCTGTGGATGAATTTTTTCCTCAAATCTACCTCTGTGACAAGTTTCATGTGACAACAGCTATTTTCTCACCGCATTTCATTAATACAGCACCCAAAATAATTGTGACAGTGAGCAGTCAATCACTCATATCTGTCCATCAGGATTTGTCAGAAAAACACCCTCCTAACATTAAAATGAACTAAGTCAACTCCCAGGGCTGGACTTTCATGTTGTTATTGGTGAAAAGTATTCTGTGTCTCCTTTTATGAGGCTCCATTTGATAAAACCCTGAGAGCATTGAGCACCTGAAGGTCTGGGCGTTGAGTTCTGCTGCAATACATACCGTCTGCTCTTGGAATGACAGGGGATGTCATGTTTGAGGCTGTTCTCCTCAATCTGCAGTGTGTGGTTAAAGGATCCATCCAGCTCCTGCACTGTCACCTTAATGGGGCCCTGCAGGGAAACACACATGTGATCATTAATACCTACACAATAATACATTAAACCAGTGGTTCTCACCCGTACCAGGGGGCGCAAGCACAGGACGGGAGGCGGGGGGACTCTATTCGTACAAAGTAGATGTAGCAGAGTCCCAAGCTGTTGGAAATAGACCAACTTACAGCCTAACTCATCAAGACGCTGCAGCACGGCATGGCAAGTGTCAATAAAAGTTTCCTATTATTTTGCCCCAGCCACTCAAACAACCAAGTAAACAGGACAAGTGTCCTGCTCCGACTGACGGTGACGATCAGTCTCTACAGGGAGAAAGGCTCACACACAAAGGATCCCTCACAATGTTACACACACACACACACACACACACACACACACACACACACACACACACACACACACAGAGCAACGATCTGAAGTAATTATCGGTATAAACTGTATAAACTTCATCACCAGAGTCTCTCTCATCCACACAGACCCACCTGTGTTCACAAAGCTACAGCTTTCACAGGAACTCATCACACCACACCACTGTTCAACAGAGATCTGATATAAAATAACGAAGGAAACGTGACCTCAAAAAATATAAAACATCCTGATCTCTGTCCACCATGTATTCAAGCAAAGACATAACTGATCAAACCTTCAGGATAAATTTTCTTTTCTTTAAATTTCTTTCTTTTCTCCTTCACACTGGTGGCTAACACAGTACGGTCTGTGTGTGTGTGTGTGTGTGTGTGTGTGTGTGTGTGTGTGTGTGTGTGTGTGTGTGTGTGTGTGTGTGTGTGTGTGTGTGTGAGAGAGCCACCTTTGGGGGGCCCAGCTCGCAAAAGGTTGAGAACCCCTGCATTAAACAAACTCAGCAGTGTAAAACATTGTGAGTATGGAGATCAGGTCTGTGGCCAGCTGAACAGAATCTAAAACCCTCTATGTCTGTATATTCAAAAAACACACACATATAAAGTTTGTGAGTGCCAGATGTACCCTCATTTCACAAACTTCAGCTTACCAAACTTCCCCCCTGGGATAAATGAAGTATTCTGATGCGGATTAATACTCACCACGTATTTCTGAGTTCCAGATGACGTGTAATCCTGTCGAATCTCCAGCTCTAACACATTTCTCTTCCTGTTGAAGGCAAAGCTGCCAAAAAATTTCACTACAGCGCTCTGATCGCTGAGGACACAGTTAAGAATCAACAACAGATGCACATTATCAGGACCAGCTGCTGAGAGAGCAGGAAGGTTACATTTAAAGGCATCCACGCAAGACCTGACCTGCTCCTATAAAGGGACGATGCTTATTGTTATCTACTGTGTGTAATACACTTTCTATTGATAAGTATTCACTCATGTTAAGAGTTGTGTTTGGCTCATAAAAGCATCTCCCAGCAGAAACAAAATATGTAAATAGTTTATTGTTTGTCTAATACCATGAATATGCTTTAATTTGAACAATAAATGTTTAAGTGAAAAAAAAGCGTGGTTAAATGTAAAAACATGAATGCCTATTTACATCTACCAAATCCACAGACTGAGACTTTAAAGGCTACCTCATCTTCATTGAAGGTATTAACATGTTTTGCAACTCAAGACATATTTTCGAGGGTGGTGGGGTTGGCAGGAGAAAAAGTTCCTGACCTTATCCCATCTGATCTTTTCACATCTTGTCTTAATTTATACAAAAAAGGCCAAAAAGCAGGAGTATGATATTTAATAATAGTAGAAGCAGCAGGTCAAATGGTTTCTTCCTGGCTAAGGCAGTAGTCTGGCCATGATAGTGAATAATCATCCTACACATCCAGTCCAGAGAAAACCTCATCCAAATGAGTAACAGTCGTTAGACTTGGACTTTAACTGTCTCTAATTTGGTTGCAGATTCCTCACAGAAACAAGGATACACCCATTGTTTGATGAGGGGGCCGATGTCCTTCCCAGAGACGTTGGAGATTGATTTGAGGAAGGCGTGAGTGGACAGAAGCATCTGGCTCCACATGTGACTCTGGTACTTCTGAGAGGAGGCGGTGCTGGCCAGGCTCAGCAGCTTGTTGAAAACCTACCAGAGAGGAGGAGGACAGAACACAACAAATAATTAACCCAGTTTTCCTCACATAAACCAGTACCAACTTAAATCAGAAAAGGCCGTTTGAGTCTCACCTGCAACATAAACTCCATGCTGATCCTGTTTTCTATCAACCTCATCACCAGGTGAGCCTTACACTGAAACATCTTGTAGTACTCCCAGGATAGGGTGTGGGGGTGTTTGATGGAGAAGTGAAGGTGGGGAGTTGGGCTGAGGAGAAAGACATTTGGTCAGGATTCTTAACCTAAATGGTTGTATTTAAATAAAAGGGATCCAAGTTGAAATGTAATGTATTACTTGTCCTTCTCTTTGCCTCCACCGAAAGTCGGGTGCAGCAGAACTCCTCCCATCTTAAGTTCATACTCCACAATCTTGTCCAACTCCTGCAAACAACAGCTCAGTACTGATAAAAGCCCCAGGAACACATATACAATTATCTACACTATCACTAGCTGCGTTTACATTGGCACAAATAATCGAAAAAGGCCCGATCAAAACAAAAATGCGTCATGTAAACATGTTGATTGGAAGATTCTGATCAACTTTGGCTCAATCAGAAAGAAACTGTATACCAGAGGGGTGGTTTATGCTGATCGTTATTCCGAAATGCATCCATGTAAACACTTTTTCTGATCGTAAGTCTCTAACCTGACTCGATCTTCACTTTTTAACTGCCCATATTTATATAGGCAGTACAAGAGGTTTCATTGTTAACACTCTGGCATAAAACACAACTGCAGGTGCGTTACCATAACAAGACATAAATACAGCGTAATGATGTCACATTGGCATGCACAGTGCAACCTTTGACAGGATGGTAAAATAAGTAAGCAAGGGCACCATCTAGTGACAACATTTAACAGAGAGAAAAATCCTGAATTGGATGAAGTGAGCCACTACAACTCGGGCGTAACTACAACTCTTCTTCTTCTGTGGTTGTTTTAGCGAAACTAGACGGCTCTGCGCATGTTCAAATGCCTTTAATCTGAATAAAGCTTGTCATGATCAGATTATTTGACTTTGCTCCTATATAAATAGTGGATTCGGATTTTCTGATCCCTCAAATTTTTAATTGGATCAAGAAATTTTGCCTGTGTAAACATGGCTAATAATGTTGGCCAATAACCACTGGCCTGAAATTAATGAGCTATGTAACAATGGCAAAGAATCATTTAGTATGTGACTTCTTTCTTACAAAGACCACAATATTGTTTTTGATCAACTATGGGGTGGTGGGAAGGTCAGAGAGAGAAACTGTGAAGCAGAGACCTAGTGATGTGTTGGTCGGTAAAGACTTGGCTCTAGATCCAGCTCTTGTAAACAAAGGAAATACCATGAGGAACCATGAGAGCCTGTTCTTGCCTAGCCAAAAATCTGCACTGTTACATGGGGGCCTTGCCCCAGCAGGTACAAGAGACTTACAGAGAACAGATGCACACTAACAATTACTATGTTCTGTTCCTCCAGTGAAGATCTCTCATCCCTTCACAAAGACCCCTCAACATATATTCAATGTATTTGGTGAAAATATGGATTATGAAAAGTAAAGAAAAAGAGGTAAAAAAAACAAAAAAACACATCCCTTTAACCATCGGCTAAAACAATCTATGTTCATCACTGACAATAAGGATTGTTACCTCTTTGATCCAGTGCCGGTACTCATTGACTCCAAAGGTCTTCTTCAGGTACAGACCATAGATGTAGCCGGAGATTCCTTTCAGCACCCATTCATCCGCCCTACAGAAGCAATGACATGTTACTGCAGTCCAAGATCACAATAAACAAACGGGTCAAATTCGAACATGGGAGGTAATGTTCTTCATAGTTTATGGTGCGAGTCTAAGCTTTTAACTGTACGATGGTGATGTAGGTAGATTAATTTAGACATGCTCAGGAATACTTTCAATATAAGAGCTCAAAGGTTTCTCTCCTGTTGCCTCACACTGTGCTCAGCTCTTAAAACAGATAGACATCTTTTGTTAAGGATACAAGGCCACACTTGATCCCCCCCTCTGTGTTGTGGTGAGTTTTACCATTTGTGTATTTCCCTAAAGAACCGTGGCACAGAAACTCTCATAAATCTATCAGCCTGGATTTACAAGCTTGTAAAAAGAGAAACACAATATGTCAATTCAGTTTTGGTGGCTTCACTGCTTGATGCTGAAGTGAGTCCAGTCTGGTTCATGTGGTAACATTATAGTAATTGACGTTGTGGTGAGAATCCTTCAACTGTTCAACACACTCTCTACCCTTTTACACTGTTTATGGAAAATTGTAGAACTCTAAATTTTCTTTCATCAGGATTTCCTTCTCCTAGATGAGAAAAAAAATAAATATTCATGTATTCAAATTTTTACAACAAACAAAAGCAGTTTATAAGGCAAGAAAACCCTTAGGTATTGTAGGGGGTCCAACCTATCCCCATAAAGAAAAATCACTACTCAGATGTAGAAGGTGGAAAAGAGAGATTCTGTGTCTTGTTCCTCTGCAGTACATAACAAACCCAGCTCTTTGCCAGTGTAGTTTCATTGATTTGGAAAACAGAAGCTCCATACATCTGATGGGCTGCTGAGCACAGCCTGTTTTCCATTACAGACCCCAGTTAACCCTCATTCTGATAATTGATAGCAGGCAGCACCATGCTATGCAAAAAATCAAAGACCATTCTGAGTTCACGTCTCACAAACACCAGCCAGCGCCACAGCAGCGCCAACCAAGGCAACACATCTGATGTGTATTTAGAGGGGAGGGGAGGGGTGAGGAAAGAAGAGAGATAATTACTGTTCTGTACACACACACACACACACACACACACAAACACACAGTTGTGTATATATACACTACAGGCAGGCCAAAAGTTTGGAAGCAAGGCCATTACAGGCCGAACAGTTGGGAGTAACTCCAAGTTTTTGTTCACAATGCTTTTTTTAAATCCAGCATGAGTTTTATGTATTTTGGGATGTATTTACTCCATGATCAGATGTTGCTTTCATGGAAATGCACCATTTTACTCCATTTACCTTTAGATATACATTGATGTTAACAGACCATTGCTAAATATTTGTCAGCAAAGATAAGGGCTTAGTTTTAGGGTTGAAAACATTTGCAAGAGTCACAACTTCAGTGCAAAAGCAAAAAAGACAAATCACAGTTGGATTATTCACTTCAACTTTTTGCCTTTTGAGAGTCTGCATACAAAAATCCTAATAAATCTCAACTGCGTTCAAACTACCACAAAAATGGCTAGAAAGAAGTAACTGAGTAAAGAAACAAAAGTACAGATTTGTACATTGAGGAAAGAAGGATACACAGAAAGAGAAATTGCAAAACGCCTGAAGGTGTTTAACAAAGGAGTCCACTACACTCTGAAGAGACGAGAGGAACCTGGAAGTTATGATGGTAGAAAAAGACCTGGATGAAAGAGAGTTACTACAAAAGCAGAGGATAAACATAGCACTGTCACCAGTAAGAGAGATCGGTGAAAAACAGCACCAAAAATAAGGGAGGAAATCAACATGACAAGGTCGAAACCCATATCGCTGACAACCGTGAAATGGCGTTTGAGAAAGGCTGGTCTGAAGGGTTGTGTATCTGCAAAAAAACACTACTTCATCCACAGAACAAGAAAAAGAGATATGAGTGGGCAAAAGCTCACAAAAATTGGACTTATGATGACAAGAAACAAGTTTGCTCTGTTTGGTTCAAAACGCAGAGTCTATATCCGCAGACAAACTGGTGAACGTCTGAAAGCACCATGTGTTACACCCACAATTCAGCATGGAGGTGGTAGTTCCATGGTATGGGGATGTTTTGCAGGTGATGGAGTAGGAGATTTGATTGAAGTAAAGGGTATCATAAAGAAGGAACAGTACCACTCCATCCTCCAGCACCATGCTGTTCCATCTGGACTCAGACTTGTGGCTCATAAGTTTGTTTTGCAGCAAGACAATGACCCTAAGCACTCTACCAAGCTCTGTCAGGGTTACCTAGACAAAAAAGAAGAGGAAGGTGTTCTTCAAAAGATGGTTTGGCCCCCTCAGTCTCCAGACCTTTCTCCAACTGAGCTTTTGCGGGATGAATTGGATCGATTGGTCAGAAAAAATGTGTCCCACGAATCAGCAGTCTCTTTTTAATGAACTTAAGAAAGCTTGGAATGCAATCCCTGGAACATACCTTAAAAAACTTGTGGAACGAATGCCAGGTGTATGCCAAGCTGTTATTAAAGCCATTAAAGGAGGTTACTTTAAAGAAAGCAAAGTCTAAGCAACAATAACTCAAATACCTAATAATTATAGTCAAAATGTCTTCTGATAAGTTACTCTTTACACAATAGTCATGTTTATTGTGTTGCAAATTGTATATATGAAACTATGATCTTTTTTTGTACAAATCTGATCTTGCTTTCAAACCTTTGGCCTGTAGTATATATATATTTATGTGTGTGTGTGTGTGTGTGTGTGTGTGTGTGTGTGTGTGTGTCCCATGGTGTCCCATGGTGCCTTGCACGAATTATGGGCGTGTCCTCTGTTACCGGACACAGAGCCGGCATTTTCCATAGTATCCGAATGCTAATTGCGATTATTAAAGCCATCGAGGATGAAAAACAATGTAATAACATTATGTTATCATTCCCCTGCCCTCCTTTATCGACGGGTTTGAGGACGATATCAAGAAATGGCTTTGTATAATGCATACTGGGGATGGGCGATAAATTACTGTTCACGATAAATCATCAGAGAAAATCCTCCATGATAAATATTTGCCATCTCACGATAAATACAATAAATGCAAGTTGATGACATAAGTGCGAGCGATGGAGTCTCAGCCATAGCGCACACAGAGCAGAATAACAAACATGGCCAAAGGTAATGCAGAAGACGTTTCTGAGCACCGCCTCACTGAATGAGGCTCTGCATGAGGGATTTTCTTCAAGATTGTGGTTTAGATGAGTGCCATCAGGACAGAGGATCTGCTGCTACTGGTCACTCTGTGCAATAAGAGTTTTCAACGTTTGTTGAAAATGTTTTCACATTGGGGTCATTAGTTTTCTCCATAACCTACCATTTAAAGTTGTGGTTAAGTATGTTATTTGACTTTCCAACTGGTGTTCTCAAGACAAAATGAGTCAAAAATATAGATTGGAATTATAAAATTTTTAATAGGGACTTTTATCTTTATCGTCAGAATGGAAAATCTTATCGTGATAATTTTTTTAGCCCGTTTCCCCCGTCCCTAATGTATACTAGCATTTAGCTGCTTTGTTATCGCTGTTGCCGTAGACGGGGTGGCTGACTTGTCAGCTCCTTCATAGCTTCAAGGTCAGTCACATTTCGTTAACAGAGGTTTGACACAATCATATAAACTTCAAAGCAGATGTAAAGCCTAGTCAGAGCTTTAATGTCCCACATCACTGTGCCTGGGTTTTAGTGTCAGCTCCAGGTGAAATACACACAGCTGCTCATGTACTGCAAAAGCAGAGCAATCCTGCAGCCATGCAGCTGTAATTCTGTGGAAGATGTCTTGGCAGATTTTTTAGACAAAATTATGAAATCAGTACATTTTATTAATTCCCACATACCTGAGCAGCACAAATCTAGAGAAAAACTGGAGCAACTTCAAACATTTTGATAAGTGTTAGTCGTTTGTAAACAGTATATTAATTATCTGCCTCTTTGGCCCATCTTTAAACTACCAGGACTCTTCTTTAAAGTCTCGTTGATGGGCTTCTTTGCACAAGCAAACTCTCCTAAATTATTCCCTTAATCTATCATGCACTCCAACCACAGTCTGTAAGTTGCCAGGCAGTAGCATAGTGAGGCATCATGTCTTTTAGGTCAGCGCTGGCCCAACTTTTGACTCCAAGTTCTGACAAAACAGCTTAGCTCTGCTGTATATCTCTCATCACCTTCCATATATGAAAACATCTGAGGGCTAAATGTTACCACACTTTTCAAAAAGACCAGATTGCAGTGGAGACAATTGCTGGCCTCTATCTTTAGTGGTTTGTACCTGATGTGAATCAAAACACTAATGTCAGTACTTTTCCATTCACATATATCTGGCTTACAAGGCTCCCTTAAGTCATTCTTTCTTTCAGTGTTAGACAAACAAGTTGACAGAAGCCACATCTACAGGCTGAATGATCTGTTCCTGTTTCAGAAGGTCACCATCAAAGGTGGGCAGCTGTCATAGAGAAGGGCAACACATAATGAAACACACAGACAGAGATAAGGCCTCCACAGTGTTACAGTCAGCCGCACTCATGAAAGAGACAGAGGTCACGTTGTGAAGAATAAAGGCTTGACAGAGAAGTTCAAACACTCCACAGACCTGACCAGTTCCTGTTTAGAGCAGGCGTGATTGATAAACTTGAAAAAACTTCCTATGTGCCTGTTCACAAGCACACTGAGCTCTTTATGCCAGGGCTCATCTCTGAGCTGGCTTGTGCATGTTGAAGAACTGAGACTCTAATTATGTCTGAAGACTCTAAGATTCAGATTTGTTTTTGCTTTAGCATTATTATTTTACAGCTGTTTCTTGGTTGATGTTCATCTGAGTAGCAAGGAAATTATTGTGGACAATGATGGGCCTCACTGATGAATCTTGTTCTTGGGATATCAGTCCACGGATCTGGGATCTGGGACTACGAGGCAGGATTTGAAGTTACTAAAGTAGAGTTGGGGTTAAATCAGGGTTCAGATTTTTGCAGAGGTGTTTCACTTTTTTCCAGGGTGAACCATCATGATAACATGCTGAACACCTTAACGTAACCTGTGAAGAGGTTACAGCTCCAGCCAGGTATGAAGCAAAGAGCACAGTTTTGTTGATTGTTCATACAAAAGTAGCTGAAGTTTGACCTCTTCAGACATCTTTCCTACTGTGTACAGCCTGACATAGGTGAGGTTAAATTCCCTGTCTCTTACCATGACATCCTGGAGATGAAACAGCCGAAGAACTGCTGAGCCAAAGCCTGGGCCAGGCAGCGGCGTGTTTGGGGGGTCTGGTCTATAATCATGGCACTGTGAAGCAGGTTGGTGCTGAAAATAAGAGCAGACAACTGAAGCTGAAACAGGGTGGAGCTTAAACAGTGGATCAATACTTAACACAATCTGCTACAATTGAGAATTTCCTGGTATAATAATACTGAAAATCTTTAGCAACTAAAAGTCTCCTATCCTTACCTAAAAATGCCAATATTTCCTTGTTTTAGCAATAGAGACAATGAGGTACAGTGCCTTGAAAAAGTATTCATACCCCTTGAACTTTTTCACATTTTGTCTCTCTACAACCACAAACTTGAAAGTATTTTATTGAGATTTTTTGTCATAGACCAACACAAAGTAGCACATAATTGTGCAGTGGAACGAAAATGATACATGGTTTTCAAAAATTTAAACAAATAAAATTTTGAAAAGTGTGGTGTACATTTGTATTCACCCCCCCTGTGTCAATACTTTGTAGAGCCACCTTTCATTGCAAGTTTGCACATTTAGAAACTGACATTTTTTGCCCATTCTTCTTTGCAAAATAGCTCAAGCTCAGCCAGATTGGATGGAGAGCGTCTGTGCAATGCAATTTTCAAGTCTTGCCACAGATGCTTGATGGGATTCAGGTCTGGACTTTGACTTGGCCATTCTAACACATGAATATTCTTTGATCTAAACCATTCCATTGTAGCTCTGGCTGTGTGTTTAGGGTCATTGTCTTGCTGGAAGGTGAATCTCTTTCCCAGTCTCAAGTCTTTTGCAGCCTCCAACAGGTTTTCTTCCAGGATTGCCCTGTATTTAGCTCCATCCATCCTCCCATCAACCTGTTCCTGCTGAAGAAAAGCATCCCCACAGCATGAGGCTGCTACCACCATGTTTTACAGTGGGGGTGGTGTGTTCAGGGTGATGAGCAGTGTTACCTTTCCGACCACACAAAGAGCTTTGCATTCAGGCCAAAAAGTACAACTTTGGTCTCATCTGACCAGAGCACCTTCTTCCACATGATTGCTGTGTCCCCTACATGGCTTGTGGCAAACTGCAAACAGGACTTTTTATGTCTTTCTGTCAACAATGGCTTTCTTCTTGCCACTCTTTCACAAAGGCCAGATTTGTAGAGTACACAATTTATAGTTGTCCTGTGGACAGATTCTCCCACCTGAGCTGTGGATTTCTGCAGCTCCTCCAGAGTGACCATGGGCCTTTTGGCTGCTTCTCTCACCGGTGCTCTCTTTGCTCGATCTGTCAGTTTAGGTGGGGGGCCATGTCTTGGTAGGTTAGCAGTTGTAGCATACTTCTTCTATTTTTGGATGATGGATTGAACAGTGCTCCTTGAGATGTTCAAAGCTTTGGATATTTGTTTTTAACCTAACCTTGCTTTAAACTTCTCCACAACTTTTTCCCTGACCTGTCTGGTGAGTTCCTTGGTCTTCCTGATGCTCTTTGTTGACTAGTGTTCGCTAACAAAGCATTGAGGCCTTCACAGAACAGTTGTATTTATGCTGATACTAAATTACACACAGGTGGACTCTATTAACTAACTAGGTGACCTCTGAAGGCAATTGATTGCACTGAATTTTATTTAGGGGTATCAGAGTACAGGGGGCTGAATACAAATGCACACCACACTTTTCAGATTTTTATTTGTTTAAATTTTTGAAAACCATGTATCATTTTCATTCCACTTCACAATTATGTGCTACTTTGTGTTGGTCTATGACAAAAAATCTCAATAAAATACTTTTAAGTTTGTGGTTGTAGAGTGACAAAATGTGAAAAAGTTCAAGGGGTATGAATACTTTTTCAAGGCACTGTAGTTATGGGTTTATGTTAGCCCACTAGCATTTTCCTCAGTCAGTTCTCATGCTACACAGACAGAAAAGGCTGTGTCCAGTGTCTTTCTCAGAGCACAGGAGTGTTGGTTTAGTCTGGAGCAAGGTGCTAGATGGGGCAGGACAGGGCAGCCAGGAAAACAGTTTGCCTGTTAGTTACAACCAAGGGATTTAGTAAATAGGAAGAAATAATAATAATGGAAACAAATCAACCCTGCTGGTTCATGATACAACAGGGCTGTTTCATTTCTTTGGGGAAACTGGCAATACCCATCCTGATTTTAACCTTTGTAAAGGCGTCTTTGTTGTCACCAATGACATTATTCAAAATTTCATCTGCAGATATTTTAAAAAAATGTCACACTGTCGGTAATATGCTGCTTTTCATGTTTTCCCTTTTTAATTAACAATCAGAAATTCTTCCACAGACTCTCTATCCTGTCTGTGCTGTGTCACTTTAAAACATAAAACATTCAACACTTTCTTTCTCTTTACAAGCAAGGAAGAAAACTACTCATCTTAAACATTTTGTATTATGACACCAAAATGCTGGAAATAGCTGGAGGACAATCAGATACAAAGTAATGCTGGCTCTGAAGGTGACATTTTTTCGGGGTAGCAACTCCAATTTTTCCCCTGTGTCTAAAACTGTTTAAGAGACAATACATGCATGTGACTTATTTATAATTTTTTTTAAGCAAATTCCGTTTTAAAGCCTTCATAACAAACAGATATATAACCAGATGTGTTCAAAATTTACCAGAAATCAAGAAACTAATATTCTATAGCAGTAGCAATATATCGTGTCAATGTACTGTATACTCAGGAACCTGCTAGTAATGTGATTTGTGCGGACATCATCTGAGCATTAATAATAATAATTAATTATTATTAAAATTGATGCAGCCACTCTATTGTCAGTATCTTAGTCGGAGAGTGCAGGAATAACTTCAAAAATTTCACCCCAGTGTTGAGTACAATTAAAAGCGACACTGCAGAGCCTCACTCTAAATGCATATGTCCTGTTTATTGAGACAGGACAGTACCAATGAACAGAGCATAATACCAGCTCAAAATGCACCAGAGATAAGCAGAAATGTTTTGTTCCATTCTAAGTGCTGGTTTTTTATCCATGCACGCACACACCCACACCCACACACAATAATCTGCAACAAAAGAGGAAGAGAGATAGGCCTACATGTGCACAGCACACAGGCACGTGTGCCTGCTCAAACTCACTGGCTTCTACCTTTGTGAACTTTGGTGCAGACTAAGAGCTGGTGGACGAAGGCTTCCACACACTCTGCAAGGTCTAAAATATCTATAACCACCTCCTGAAGAAAGTTAGAGCATATCCTCCATAGACGCTATGTTTTGAAAGACTTAAGGCTTCAGACCAAAGTAATGGATCACACTAGCTCAGCATTAGTCCCGCCTACCGACTTTGATGGATGAGTTTGACAGATTTAAATAAATTAATGAAGAACTACAACACAGGTCCATGAAAAAAATAATTAAATAGTGGAATAATTATATATGTTTTAACGAGGGGTGTAATGATTCATCTACAACATCGATGTATCGATTTCTATTCTTATGATCCAACTACATTGACTGTGCTCGGCAAGCTGGCCTCCCTGACGACATATATCGATCTAACACCATTTTAAAATGTAATAAATCGGTTGTGGTGATACTAGGAAATAACCCAATAGATTTAAGCCTGAAGACTGTACATGGATGTGGGTTTTTTTCGCTTTTAATAATCAAGATGTTAAACGTTACTCGATTCAGCATCCCAACAGTCAACAAAACACAGCATGGCGGATGGAGGAGAAGTCAGCGAGTGAGAAATGATCAAGCCACCATTGCGGTCCAATGTATGTTGTATTTGTATTATTTCTATGCTGAAAAACAACAGCAGAAGTAGCAGAAATGTTAGATGCACTTACTGTACTTTCATTCAAAATTAATAGAATATTTTAAGACCCACTCAAATGAAATTTCTGTTTTTCTTGTTGTATACATGTTCATATGGCATTTTTCTGAAGCTACAGGACATATCATGAGAAAACTAAGAGCAAAATTGCATTTCTGAGTATTTCTGCACTAAGATCTCTGTGAATCTCTGGCAGACCCAAACAGCAGGTTCAGATACAGTGAGATTTCCTATGTCACAACTGCAAGCTCCGCCCCCAGCACCCGCTCTGCGGGCTAGCCTCGGGGAAGCAGAGATGATGATCGCAGAACAAGTGTGTGCATTAGCGCATTGCAATGCTCATAAGAAAGCTAATTATGTTAGCTTTCATCATGCCCCCAAACACATTCATGTCCGAGAGCTGAATAGCTCCTATGTTTCCTGCCACTGCTGCACCGGCAGTATTACGCAACAAGCTAGCATGAAGAGGGGTGTGCAGAGCAGCGCTGTCTCCACCCACGACTCAGAGGCAAATTGCTAATGAGCAGTGTTGTTTTCGTCATATTTCGTCAAATATTTTCGTCAACGTCAGAGTCAGAAAAGGGAAATATTTTCGTCAACGAGAACAACACTGGTTGTTTTCGTTGACGAAAATATTTCCCTTTTCTTCCACGACGAAGACGTAACATTGACGAGCTAAACATGAGTCGGAGATGACTAAAATGTGACGAGACGAAAGTACGTTTACGTTGACGGGACGAGACGAGACGAAAACAACGAACAGAGTTGCAAAATTCAGTCAGTTAAACACTAAACATATAGGAGCAGCTTCAGTCCGCTCTGACAGCTCTCATTAGCCTGCTGTGCTCCTCCAACACACGGACACACGCACACGCGGGCGCACGCGCACACGTGCAGTTTTGTTTTCGTTGACGAAAATATCATGGTTGACGAAAACAACACTGCTAATGAGCTACTGGAGCTCTGCAGTAGAAAAGCCCTTGAAAATGACACAGGTAACATGATTTTGGCTAAAAAGTTTATAATCACAATTAAAAGTATTAATTAATTACAATCAACTGTGATTATGAAGTTTTTGGCTAAAAACTTCATAATCACAATTAAAAGACCACTGAGATCACTTTAAATAATACAAAAATACGATTGGAGTATGACTTTAACCATCTAATACTGCTTCCTCCCACAAACTTAACTTATCCCTTACCTGAAGATGCTCATGGAAGCATATGAAGATACTTGTACATAAGCCTCATCCACAAACACAGTCTTAAAGCAGGAATAGGGATATCGGCAGGTCAGGATCTCCTCATAGAACTCAAATATCTCATGGAGGTAAGACATGGAGTGTTTTAGCAGTGGGAGCAGCTGTGGCAAACAGAAATGAGTCACCTGAAAAGAGAGAAATAAAAGTATAAGATCAGTGTTATTTAATCAGCAGCATATTTCAGCATTGTATCTTCGACATGTTAATTAACAATGCTTGATTACTGTTCATGTAATTGGGACTGTTTCACCCTCTGAAGATGAAATTATTGTAGTTATTTTAGAGACATCTTGTGGCCATTTGTAGAAAGTACAAGGACAGACACTGTATTTGCTGATTATTATCCAACCCAAAAAAAGATCAGTGCCAACCTTTTTTTACAGTACACAATTGGGGCTATAAAATGAGTTGGTTGGCATCAACCCTCTGCTTTCTTTGGGCCCTGACAGTGGCTTCACGTTTCTGGTCATTCACCACTGCAAAATCAAAAACTCCTGGGTATAACTGTAGTGCAAGAAAGCAACCAAGTGCATTTAGGATGCTGCAAAAAGGCCTGGCAATGGCCAACGACACTTAAGGGGGATCAATCACCCCTGCCAGGGCTTCATAGTGAGGGTGACTTTGACTAAAGACCCCAGAGTTGAGTTCCTTCAAAGCCTTGATTTTCTATAAAACAAACCAACCTCATGCATGTAGGGATCTACAAGAATCTCAAAGGGCCCCACAGCCAGAGAGATATTTGGAGCTGCAGTGGGGATGGGGAGAACGTAGTGGAAAGTCTTCTTCCTCATGTCATGGGTATAGATGGTCTCCACCAGATCACCACAGGATACCGCCACCATGGATGCATCCACAGTGAACTCAAGTTTCCACGTACACAGCTCTGAGTAAGAGTCCACACAGGGGAACCAAAATCTGTAGAGGAGACATACTGATGAGTATAGAGCGCACACACACACAAACTAATGTGCAGACTCTGGCCCCTTCATACACTGAAAAAGCCACTTTGAGAGTTAATTGGGTCATTTCTGCTACTTCCAATCCAATCCAGGTTTATTTATATAGCACATTTAAAAACAGCGCTGACCAAAGTGCTGTACAGTAAAATTAAAAACAAAGTAAAAAGAGCCAGACAATTAACATGAACAATAAAACAAGACACAGGAACACATTAAAAACGGGGGGACATAGATGATTCAGTAAAAACATGATTAAAAAGCCAAGTTCTCAGGAGTTAAAAGCCAGGGAGTAAAAGTGCGTTTTCAAATTTGATTTAAAAACAGGCAGTGAGGGGGACAGTTGGACATGAAGTGAGGAAAGGCTGTGGCCATGTTAGACATGCAAATTGAACTCGTGCAAACTCACAGTGTGATGTACGTGTGTGTGTGAAGGTCTGTCCAAGTGACCCAAAAATCATAAATAAAACAAGATTATAGTAAGTCAGATCTACCCTTAGGCGATCACATGATCCATGTAGATGTGCCCTCACTGCCCAAACGTGCTCAGATCTGCCCTGTAACTAAGTGCTGCAAAGCTGCTAGAGACGGTCAATGCCAGAAACCGAAGACCAGAGGGAGTAGTCAAACCACTGATATCAAATCCTACATCCAACTGATGGTCCGGTGGTCTGACTCTGCACAACCCGCTCATAAGTTATAGCCGCTAGCTAACCACACACAGTTTGCTGAGGGGGAAAAGTATGTCAGGCTTCTTTTTGTTCCAATATTTTTCTTTAGTCATGGGCAAAGTGCGCAAGAGACATATGTATCATTTTAATGTCAAGTGAGTTGCAGTGTTTTTCTTACGTTTCTAGAGGCAATGAGTCATAGACTGTTATTTTACTAAAACTATGCAATGTACATTCATATTCACACGATTTAAGACCATTACAGTATAAATACAGCAATAATAATTCGAAGAAATTGAATTTCGATATTCTCAACCTCTCATTTAAATATATTAGAATAACATTTGTATATATCTAAACACAAATTAAATATAATATGCCTGAATATAAAGTACATAACTTTTATAACCTTAGGGTCTTGCGCAAAGTGGGAAGTGAAACTGTATAAAAGCACAAATACATCTAAATACATGATTTCCATAGAATTTAATTATATTTTACTTCATTATTAGCACTATGAATAAAAAGCTCAGATTATGAATCAGCACCATGGAGCTAATTATTTCATTCTGCAGAGATGTGTTGTAAGGAGAGGAGGTTGAAACAAAAACAAAAGATACAAAAATATACAGCCCTGGTTCTGAGTAGGGATGGGATATTCATGGTTTACACGGCCCCACAAGTCCTGCCAAGTGTAGCTATACTGAAAATAGACACTCTGTAATGTTTCATGCAACATGTTTGTTGTAGGTGCTCTGTACTTTGAAGCAAAGTGTGTTACTGTTTGTGGACCTGGTGGAGTTTTGGTATCCAAAGGAGAACACATGAGCCCCTCTCTCTGCCATGCTGCCTTCAACATCGGGAACAACAAAGTGAAGACCTCCTTTGGGCTGGTCCAGAGAAAACTCGATGTAAACCTTCAGGACTTTTAAATCTGGTGACACGAAAAAAAAAAAACAGGTTCATCAGCCCTCCTACTACATTTTTTTATCAAACTTATCAAAGACAATAAAACTTTTCCGTTTTTTGTATACAGCTAATGTCTTCAGATTTGATATGTTTGTATAGTAAAGGCTCCATAAAACCTTTTTTTATTGTTAGGAGCTCTTCATCCCATACTCTTACCATCTCCCTGTTTCCAGAGTTCAGAGGGAACTTTGATGACCAGTTCCCCATGTCCTGCATCTGGGTCCACAGCACTCACTGCAGCAGTGTAAGCACTGGAGAAATAATTCAGGTTCCTCCTACAAAGACAGAAAAGAAATATATGGTCATTTTGGGATCCAGAAAGAAAATGATATGATTATTTTTTGTCAGGTAACCTTTTAAATAAATGAAAACACTTGCAATGCTTTAGCAAGGGCTTTTCAAAAGTATTAAGATTTTATGTTGAACTTCATTATTCTATTCAATTCATATCTTTAAATCAATTTAGCTCAATGGCTCACTTCTGGGTATGTGGTTTGGTTGTAGAACTACAAAGCAGTTGATACAGCAAAATTTGTCATTAGCAACACCAGTTACTTAATGTTGATTTACTGTAAAACCATTTACTATTTTCAAGAAGAACAGACATCATTCTGGTAGGTTTAATGCAAAAAAAATCAAGGATATAATTTAACAACAGCAGTCTATGGCAAAATTAATAGGCTGTGGTTTTATAAGTCCTGATAATAGAGATATATGGGAAAAGAAAGATAGTGTGATACCCACTGCTTTGACTCATGGTGACACACCTCCAGAGTGGGGTCATTGTAAATAAATGGGGCTTCCAGTTCATTGACACGGACTCTATAAATTCGACACTGTTTACTGTTGAGTTTGATCCTGTTCAGGTTGACCACTGTTGGGAAAATGGTCAGCTCAACATAACCCTGAAAGATGAAAACAGGGCAGAAAATGAAGAGCAGCTCAACAGAGTGCAGCTTTAAAAAGGAGAACATTCCCCAAAAAAAGTTAGATTCAAAAAGTGAAACTTCATCACATCAAGTGGAAAACTTACAGCTTCTTTTTGTTTGAATCTTGATTATTACGGCTCACAGCTTATGAAAATCAACAATCCCCTCACTGAAAACATCAGAATATGGTGTAAAAGTCCAGTTTGTTGTTCATTCTTTCTGTCCTGAAAAGATCTCTAATCAGCTGATGAACTCTGAACACCTGCGAAAGGTTTACTGGACCTTTATTCTCTCACTCTGGTTCAATACACACAACCACAACTATGGTTCAGACTGCTGACTGATAGTCGTCCAGAGGACCATCACTGACCCCCTCCACAAGGAGGGTCAGCACCAGAAGGTCCCTGCTGTAAAGTCTGGCTTATCCCAAAGTCTGTGTGAAGCAGATCCATGGAAAGCTGACTGAAAAGAAAAGTGAGGGAGGAAAAGGAGACCAAGAAACAGGGATGAGAGCAGCCTGGAGGGACCGACAAAGAAAGGAGATTCAAGAACTTAAAGGAGCTTCACAAATGGACTACAAGTGTTGTGGTACAAGATAACGAACTGGACTGTTGCTCAGTGGTCCAAAGTCCTGTTTTCAGATGAAAGTCTATTTAGTATCTCATTTGGAAAACAAGGTCCCGTGTTTAGAGGAAGATCAGAGAGGCCCAGAATCCAAGGTGCTAGAAGTTTCCTGATGCTGCTGGTCCATTGTGTTTTATCGAGTCTAGAGTCAACACAGCCTAAAGTCCACCAAGAGATTTCAGAGACCATCATGTTTCATCTGCTGAGAAGCTCTATGGAGATCCAGATTTCCTTTTTTCAGCAGGACCCGGTACCTGCCCACAGCACCAAAACTACCAGAAACTGGTCTGCTGACCACGGTGCTGCTGTGCTTGATTGTCAGCCAGCAGGTCTGACCTGAACCCCATAGAGAATCTCTGGATTATCATCAAGAGAAAGATGAGAGACACCAGAGCATCAATTAATTTAACATAGTCTGTTATTACTCATTTTCTGATCCTGTAAACTGACCTCATCTTCTTCCAGTATTATTAGCTCTGTAACCAGGACTCTGTATGAGCTTCTGTTGTTGTTGTTGTTGCTGTCCCCGGTCTCTCTCTCTCACTCTCTCTCTGTATTTCCGTCTATCCCCTCTCTTCCTCAACCCAGTGGTAGCAGGTAGTTGTCCAACATGAGTCCAGTTCTGCTTAAGGTTTCTGCCTGTTAAAGTGAAGTTGTTCCTTGCCACCGTAACTTGCAAACTGCTTCCAGTTGTTGATTCCAGATGGGTTAAATCTCTTCCCATATTAAGGTTGGTTCATGAGTTTTGTCTAGACCTGCTCTTTTGGAAAGTGTCTTGGGATAAAGATTGTTGTGATTTGTTGCTACATAAATAAATATTGATTGACTACAGACGAGCTGAAGGAGCTATCAGAGACCTGGACTTCAATAAGGCCCCAGCAGAGACACAGACTGATTGATTACAAGACCTGAAACACTGATGCAGGAATTCAAAAGGAGCCTTGACCAAGAACTGAGAGCAGAAATGAAGAGAATTTTCAGAAGGTCCACACGTTTGTGAATAAATCCTTTTTTTCTGTTGTTTTCCCCTTTTTTTTTAATTTGGCGTTTTAAATATTCTGATGTTTTGAGACAGCGGAATTTTGATTTTCATGAACCGTGAGCTGGAATCACCAAGATTCAAACAAAAACAGTCTGTAAATTTATCACTTTGTGTATGATGATTCTATATTATATGGATGCGTTATTATTCAAATTTAACTGTGGGATCAAAAAATGAACTTTTTCATGGATATTCAGATTTGCATAATTGCATAAATGCAAAACATCTAGTAAATGCAAATAATAAATCAATAAATTCATGACTAAACCAGTTTCAGTAAAGTATTCTTTCATTCCCTCGAGGTACAGTAAGTATTTATTCATGACTAAGGGGGCAGTGTAAAAAAGAGAGAAGAGTGTGACCATAATGGAGAAGGTAAAGCCATTTTAGTACCTCAGGGATAATACTTGGATTAGCATTAGCTGCCTTGCATCAACAGAATGAATAACACCCAGAGAGACTTCTCTTGGAATGCTGTACTCACAATGACGGATTTTCTCTGGAAGTTAATGTTGTTGATGCACACCACCTGGTGGGTCGTAAAGGCAAAGATGGAAAAACAATATCAATATGTGATGCAGATCTATTTGTATCCTATAACTAACTTTTTTTAGTCTAATTCAGACGGAAGATATATGGTTTCAACAGTTGTGTACTTCATATATCATGTGAGTTCCAAACAATGTTACTTATTGTAAGGAGCATGTCAAGATTTTCTGGGACTCAGGCAGCAACACTGGGAGAAAAACCTCTGGAGGGGTGGAACGAGGTGTGTGTATCATTGACTGTATATAGAATGGAAGTCATCTGCCTCCTCGCTGGGTGAAAACTAAAAAAAAAAACAGCACCCCCGGTGACTGGTTGCAGTATAGGTCATAAATCCCACCTCCTCCTGCAAAATAAATGGAGCTGTGGACAAACTTTAGAAATTGATTGTAGAAGTATGACAGAATGTAATTTTTTTCTCTGCCCTGGTTGCGATGTTGACATGTAGTTACTGTAGGACAGGTTTGTGCTCAAATCCTTTTTTTCTCTGTGCAGCTCAATTTTTAAAAGTTATTAGGTGTTCATCTGATACAGCCTATGGGCGTACAAAGATTGCGTAGATCATCCAGGGGATACGCTGTTTGAGCTAATGAAAGAAATCCCTGAAATACTGAAAGCAATTTGGTTTCAAATTTGTACAATGACAGGAGGCAGAGTCCTATTGGGCCCAATATCAGTTTTTAAACAATGCTGATAGTATTTCTGAGAAAGCTTGTTGGCTGATGGCTGAAATGTAAAAGAACAACTGAGAACCATAACAAATTGTAGACAGAAAAATTTTTGCCTGGGTAAAATGCTGCCACAAAAGGCTTTGTGATTTCAGCTCAGATACTGAAAATTGGTAGATATATTATAGAGGGGTTTCTTGCGTACAAACAATACTAGGTGTACGCGCAACCAGGGTGCAAAAGCGTGCTTTGGAGTGAACTGATATTAATGAAGACGCTGTATTGTTTGCAAATTCTCCCTGACACATTTTCAATAAAATGTTATTTCATTGAAAAATTGCTTTGTCTTTCATTGCATCACAGATCAGAAAAACACTTGCTGAAATGTCCATGAATTTCACTCAATTTACCAGGTTGTGATGTTGTTTTGGATGTTTCTAATATCAGGAGCAGGGTCGTAATGTTAGTGAATTCTAACATAGTCAAAGTAAAAGTATTTACGACATGGCTACTCTAAGGCCTGCCAACATTTTAAAAAACCTGCCAACGTCACTGTAAATATAAGGCTGACAGCTCCTTCGCTAGATCTTTACAGAGGTTGCTCAGACTGATCCTATCAACAGCCTAAGCAGCTCAGACTGCAGCGATTACCTGAACAAACTTGTCCTCAGCGCTGGTGAGAAATTACCAGACTCATATAATATTCAGAATAAGAAATGGATTGCAGATATGTCCAAATGGCCAGCTACAATACAGCCAAACATATATAATTATCTAATTGAGAAGCCTAGTGTGTACACAAAGGACAGTTCGCGCCCATGCAAATAATTATGTACTTTGCCATGTCTAAAACTTAAAATGTTTTGACACGAGTTCAGGGTTTTGCACTTTGAGAGCAGGTGTCCTGCCTAGCCAGAGACAGGGAGTAAAGGCAAAACCTTATGATGCCTGCACCTTCAGGACCCCAATCCACTCTTTTAATGGCTTGGAGCCACAATCTTCTCCTCTTGGCAAAAGGATGAGATCCCCTTGGGATGTCAAACATTTTCCATCCTCCCTTAGCCGATTTGTGCAGTTTACAGCACAACAGCTCCTTGTCATTTTCTTTCTCTGTTGACTCTGCAAGTAAACGAGAAATGTCCCGCTTTCTGCCCCCTGGCTGCGTGCGCATACCTGCTATGACACTGCACAGAAACCCACCTTTATATACCATGAAAATATGAATATTCCTTTTAAACTGCTCTTATCACTATTCTTAGCATCAGAGCACATTTCATGCAAAACACCTGACTGTAAACTATGGACAACTCGGTTCCACATTCCACCAGGATACAGATTTGAAGCCGAAAAGCTCTTAGTATTTCAACAATTTTTCTCCACTTCCTGAAGTAGCATTGTATACGTTTGGCGGGAGAGTCGCTGTGATGACGCTCCGCTTAAACAGCGTATCCCCCGGGTAAGCTGCACAATCTTCATACGCCCATAGGCTGTATCAAGTGTCAATTGTTGAAAACATGAACCCCTTAATAACTTTTAAAATGGAGCTGCACAGATAAAAGAGGATTTGAGCACAAACCAGTCTTACAATAACTGCATGTCAACATCACAACCAGGGTGTAGAAAATTATATTCTGTGTAATCATTTTCTAAAGTTTGTCCACATCTCCATAGGGATGGCTGGAGAAGGGTGGAATTTATTACCTAAACTGCAGCCTGTCACCTGAGAGTGCCATTCTCAGGGTGGCTTCACCACGCAAGGAGGCAGACAGCATCCGTTCTATACAGTCTATGCTAAACAAAGGCCTGTGGCTTTTTTAAATTTTAGATGCTGTCATTGGCTTTTCATATCAACAGATAATGGTGATACTGGCTTTATGAGAGTCTATAGACAGGTTATTGTGCAACTTCATCACAGGTACGCACGCGCAGCCTTGAGGCAAAAAGCAGGACATTTCTTATTTGTTTACTAGCAGAGTCAACGGAGAAAGAAAATGACAAGGAGCTGTTGTGCTGTAAACTGCACGAATCAGAAAAACATACAATCTGCAAACATGACAACCCTGCTCCTGATATTAGAAACATCTAAAACAATGTCACAACCTGATAAATTGAGTGAAATTCATGGGTATTTCAGCAAGTGTTTTTCTGATTTCGATGCAATGAAAGACTGCAATGGAGCACAAGGGCCACATTGGAAAGAAAAAAATTTAGACCTCGGAATTACTGACGAGAATAAAGTCATAGTAAGATAATTACTTTCAAGAATAAAGTCTTAATAAAATCATTTATTGCAAGATAAAGTCCTAATAAAATCATTACTTACGAGAATAGTCGTAGCTAATAGCTAAAAGCTATTCGAACCTGTTGTTAGTTGTTAAAATGAGCGCTGTGGAGTATTTAGATAAATTGAACTTCAATAGCTAGGTTTCACAAACAAGGAGATACTAAATCCTTTGGTGTTTTAGTATCACATTGTCATAAGTATCAGAACATATGCAAGAAATGCATCTTTTCCACAAATAGAACCAGATAGACTTGTAGGGAATCACTGTTTTTGAGGGGGGGTGGCTGTGCAGAGGCTAAATCCCTCAATGCAGCCGTTTATAGCAAGATAGCTTTAGTTTATCGTATCTACATGCCATAAGGTGTTGGTGCCTCTGCAAGTGTAGGTTGCTGCCAGTGTTTTGCCGGCATCAGAGACAGACGCGGTGCTCGTCGGAGCTCGACTCCCCCTGTATCACTAATGTTGATCATCAGTTGGATTGTTGCTTGAGAAACCACGGAAGCCCCCTAAATGGCCCACTGATGCACCTACTGATAACTGCAGTTGACCTGTTCCAGCCATTTCCTCCTCCACAAAAGCAGCTTTGAGACTTAATTTAATTTACGACTTTATTCTTGGAAGTAAATATTTAGTTACAACTTTTTTCTCGTAAGTAATGATTTTATTACAACTTCATTCTCGTAACTATTCTATTACAACTTTTTCTCATAAGCAGTCATTTTATTACGGCTTTATTCTCATAAGAAATGATTATATTACGACTTTATTCTTGTAAGAAATTATTTTACTACGACTTGATTCTCGTAAGTAACTCCGAGGCCTACTGATCTGTGGCTGATCACATAACAGTGCCATTAGTTTCAAACTTTGATGGACCTGTCAAATAAATTAGTTTATGAAAACTTTTTCAATCATTACAGCAACTTGTGCCCTGCTGTAAATCCAAAAAGAAGATTTTAACAAAAGTCCAGCCTCTGACAATACAGACAACCAGTCTCAGGTAAAGATTTGGGGTACTTGAGGAGATAAATCACATTTTCATGCCACCCCTCTCCACCCTTCTAGGCATACCCCTGTTCACTATACGCCAAAGATAACTCAATTACTATCCGTTGCAATACATTCAATGATTAAAAAAAATAATGCGCTGAAAAAATACTTATAATTTAAATGGTCGCGGGCTTTCAAATCCTTTGTCCTTCTTTCGGTTCATCCTCGTTTCTTGAGTCCTGACAGTAGTTCAGAAACGTCTGCTCCGCGCTGTCCCCTTCAGATGCCGGTGTTGGCTGCCGTTACATCGTTACACTGAGATTTAAAGAACGAGACTGCAAAATAAAAACATGAAGGGGTTGAAACGCGGTGTAGGGTTAGCGGTAGGTGAGGATCACAGTCCCTGCAGCAGCCGACACAGTCTTTTTGCGGTAAGAGCTGGATCTTCCGGAGATATCTTACAGTTCTGCCGTTCAACCACAGGGGATACCAACAACTTAATCGGGGTGCAGGGGTGCAGAATTATGGATATGTCCAAATAATGATTTCTTGCCGTCGCTAAACTGTAAAAATCGGAGTATATGTGCTATTTCCCCGCCAGTTTATGGCAGTGTGATTACATGTCCTGAGTTTTCCGCCATTTTGGTTGTAACTTCTTCTTCTTCTTCTCGATTTGCGGCAAGAGTAGACGCCGCGAGGTGTGTTACTGCCCTCCACTGGTCTCTTGTTTAATCAGCTCTTGTTATAAACCCTAGTTTCATACAGGAACAGCAGCACTGCTTTGGATAGCATTTGGTGGTTCTCGTTATGGCCAAATAAAGAAAAGATAGAGAAAACCTCCTCTACTAGCTCTGACATTCTTGCAAATAAATGGCTTCTTTCTGTGCTATAACCACTGCATTCTTCCCACAGTGTCCAAGCCTCATCCTGCACAGCTTAACTGCATCTCTACAAGAATTGATGTTACACCGGCATACTCTTCACTATGTATTGGACAGTAAAATGATGTCTCCCCTTATTCTCTCTCTCCCAGCCTGCTTGCCACTCCTTAATAACACCCTCCTTAATTAGTCCCTTTAGTTCCATTCTCCTCAGGGGCTTGTGAATACCTATTCCTTTGCCAAGAGGTCCACCTTCTCATTGCCCTCAACCCTAGCATGCCCTGGAACCCAACAGAATGTGACCTCTTATCCTGACTAGATTCGACACATAATTTTTAGAATTTCCATCACCGGATCAGGGCGCGCTTTGCTTTTACAAGCTCTTAAGGTCTCCAGTGCTGCTGCAGAGTCAGAGCATATGGCAACCTCTTTAGGCTTTTCCCCGCTCCACCCATTTTAGAGCCCAAAGGATTGTCATCAACTCTGTTGTGAAAACTAAAGTTCTCTTTCATGATATTTCACTCAATGTCTCACTATGGGATGCACGCCTCGCCTGCAGCCCTCGGAAGCATTTATCTCATTACGCCAATCCTGACTGGCTGGTGAAAAGTGTCCGTCCGCCTTAGGTAGTCCCATCTACCTTAAATGGCTCATGAGTAATATGAGTGAGATGTCTCACTAGACAACCCTTCTTGCTTGGGTGAGTGAGAAGAGGCGCTTATCATGAATGAGGTGGTGCCATCTGCCTGAGCCATTTAAAAACTAAACAATTCAAGCTGTTCTATATAAACCCCAAACCCTGCTCTCCGACTCACTAGGTCTCTGGATCCATTAGTGAAAATTAACATCTTATTCAGCCTGGTAGTGGAGCAGACAAGTGACATAATTGTTCAGTTGGTGACACAAGCATGAAAATTGGGAAAGGCATTCTTCATTTTAAAGATGGCTGCCATCTCATTAGAGCAGTTAAATGATGTAAAGTTGGTCATATAAACATGAAAATTGGTAAGACCATTCCCCATAAATAACTATAAGATTTTTCCCCCTATTTTTTCCTTTTTTTAGATTTCTTTTGAACATTTTGTGTTTCTCTTTTTAACTCAAACATATGTTTATTGAGGAGCCTCTAAAGGGTTTTGCAAAAGAGGTGCATTGTTCTCCTGTTGGAGTTGGGATACCACAGGGTGTATCCCCACCAGAGAACAACCATTGGAGCGGGAATACACCCCGTGGCATCCCTGCTCCAACCGGAGAACAGCGCACCTCTTTTGCTTGCGCACGTGACTGTTTTGTGTGCGCATGCAAGTGTTGTTCCTTTTTTTTTGTCTTTTTCTCCATGTCTCTTTAGGGGCTCTGTAGTGTATATACTTTTCATATCTAATTGTTTTTTGTTTTTGTTTTTTTTACTGTTAAGCACTTTGAGATCGTTGACTTGATGTAAAGAGCTATACAAATAAAACTCATTATTTTTTTTCGAATAGAATAGACATTGGATAGAATATGTTAATTGTCCTGGTACAGTGTGCAATGAACTTTAAGTGG